TCCTCAACTTTCCAGAAAACTGTGTAAATGCTGTAAACGCTGTTACGCTGCTTGCCTGCGATACGTTTATGTTTCTTTTATGTTATAAGTACGATCAAAATGTTATTCGATCAATTGATGATACGATCAAATGATATTTCGATCAAATTATTTCGATCATATTTCCGGCAACCTATAAAAACACTGGAATACAATAGCAGATAGCAGTTATGACAAAAAATTGCCTTTAGTTGTTCAACACACATTTTGAGCGATTTATACGTTGAAAAAAATCAATTTTGAAATTAAATTAAATTTTTAAGCAAGTTTTAAATGTATGAAAACATGAAATTTGACTAGTTCGCTGGATTCCTCTTTCCAAGTTTCCAGTTTTCCAATGAGGGGTCACAAGGCTCAAGGTTACATTTGAAAAAATCATGTTGAGGGTGCTTTCAGCAACCCCTGAAAGAAGATAAACGAAAAAAAGGAATTGTTGAATCAGGCAAAATTTAATTGAATGGAGCAAATAAAAGTGTCTTATATGCACGACAAAATATAATTTTGAAATGAGTAAATCTATATCTTGTTCAAAGTGAATTTGAAGTTTGAATCAAGTATATATGTCTTGCATGAACTCTGAATCTTCTTCAATCAAGAGATATTGAATCAAACAATCATTTTGTTCGATTCAAAATAGCAAGATATTGATTTAATCAAATATTTAGTCGATTCAACGAAATATTTGGTTGATTCAAAGAAATTTTTGTTGATTCAATGAAATATTTGGTTGATTCAATGAAACATTTGGTTAATTCAATGAAATATTTTGTTGATTCAAAAGAAACTATATATCAATTCGACAAATTGTTTTGCTAAACCAAATTCAATATTCGGGAATTTTTTGAAATTTCACATCAATAGAATAAACAAAACTGGGAAACTAGTTGACTCCTAGTATAGATCTTTAGTCTTTACTTATCTTCAGCTGATGGAAAGCTATTTCGGGTTGCTAATCATCCTAAGTTCGATTTATCCAGCTGATATTTCAAACTCGAAGAATCAGGCTTCATGTATATAATGAATTTGAGGCAGGCATAGACGAGGCGAAATGATCGCCATCTGGAGGCGAAAATTTAAGTTGATGTAGAATGAACAAAATATTTCATTGATATTACATATTTCGTTGCTCTATTCAAGCGAAATAATCCGTTCGAAACGAGTTCATTGATACATCGGAATAAGAAAACTTGTATGTTGTTTCAAAGTTATATTCTCATCAAAATGATCATTGCTTGATCAAATCAACGAAATGTTTATAGTTGAATCAACATCGACATTATTTTGGATCGACGTAATCTGTTTTTGAGGAAACCATATATTTTGTTGATGGAATTGATATTATATTGTTGATTCAATTAGACTACATTCTTGATTTGAACAAGCAGCTTCCATGGAATAATCATGTATCTGGTTGATTCAACAAAAAATTGCTCAGCCCAACAAAAATAACTCATGCATAAATAAATTGTTGATGCAACAAATCCTTTTTTTCTGTGTATTCTCGATCTTGCTTGCAGAAGGAAGGTAAATAAATTAAATCGTTGACGTATGTCGAGAATTTCCAGAAAAAATATCCACCTCCCCGCTGACAAATTTATTACAGTTAAAGTCTCCACACTGTATTGTAAACAATTACTCAATACCAAACAGCCAATTCTGCATAGGCCTCGTCAGTACGTCAGTAATTGGTATTCCGAAAAGAATTTCCACATTATCGGGCCAAATATTTTTTAATCGTTAGATCGATCACGTACTGGCTTTGGAGCAACTCGGAGAGGGGTTGGTAGAAAGTGATATGTGACCAAAATTGGAATTCAGTTTCGGAAACAAATAATGGAAAATTATTCAATTATGATGTTAGTTATCGCTATGCCACCTGACACTTGAAGTGGCCGAAGATAAGTGACAAAATGGTGTTTTTGAGTGGTGGTAGGTACTAATGATTACGACTTATTTAGTAAATTGGTGAGGTATCGTATATTGATCTGAGTTGAAGAATATTCAAATGAGAAGACTTCCTGATAGCTTCTTCGTGTATCACAGTACCATTTGCATTTTACTCATCATACAAAAAAAATATCAGAAAAGATGCTCGAAATGTTTTCGGAGAACAAATTCAGCTTTAAAATTTGCGGTGAGGTGGATAGTCCATTCAAGACATTCGTTCAAATTACTCGACAACCAATAGAGATATAACATTATACAATTTCAAATGAATGTCAGTCACATAACAGACTGAATTCTGACTCCAAGACGACAACAAGAAAATTTGATTCCTAACAAAAAATCTTCCATCGATTATTTTCTTCGTATGATTTCGAAACAATTAGAACGTTCAAATGAGTCAGGTTGCCTATATAATTTCAAATATACGTGGATACAATCAGATATATATTTTTTATTCAGATATTCTGAACTATGTAGTAGATGCTCCTAATTTATTATCAAATATCTCATTCCATTGAGTCAGGTTGCCTGTATAATTTCAAATATACGTGGATACAATCAGATATATATTTTTTATTCAGATATTCTGAACTATGTAGTAGATGCTCCTAATTCATTATCAAATATCTCATTCCATGTTCCTACACGTATCCTTAGACAAAACGAGCTATTTTCAGTTCCATTTCGTCGCACAGATTTGGGAATAAACTCACCACTACACAGAATGCCAACTCTTTATAAAAGAAAGTTTTCTTCAATAGATCTATACCAGTTTTCACTAAATGTTTACAAAATAAAAATAAAGAATTTATATTGCACAAATAATTTACAAAATGTCACATTATTGCCAATCTCCAATATACTGGGTGAGTCATTAGTTTGGCAAAGTGTGATAACGTATTTATTGTTTGAGATAGATGAACAAAAATTTCAGAGATGATCTAGGCTCATGAGCAGCAGTTTTCCAAATTATTTCTCTTTATACAGGGTGATTCAGAAATGCGTGGCGTATCAAAGTAATACTTGTTCTTATGGGACACCCTGTATAGCTGATTCCATCAATGCATCACACTTGAGGTCTAGCGAGAATGATTTCAGAGGTATAGGGTGTTCAAAATCAAGATTTTTCATCTGTAGGATTTTTTTGCGTCGAAACTATTCATTATTGGTCAAAACGGCTTTCATGTCCCTATCTCAACTTTTGATTTACTATCTACTGACATTTATTTGAAACAAATACAGGGTGGTTCAAGATTCAGCATTCTGATCACCCTCTTGTATCTGTTCCAATTAATGTCAATAGATAGTAAATCAAAAGTTGGGATAGGGACATGGAAGCCGTTTTGACCAATAATAAATAGTTTCGACGCAAAAAAATCCTAAAGTTGAAAAATCTCGATTTTGAACACCCAATATCTCTGTAATCATTCTTGCTAGACCCCAAGTGTGATGCATTGATGAAATCAGCTCACAAAGGAGAATTCGAAAATGCAATGAAATACAGGGTGCCTCATAAGAAAAACTATAACTTTGATACGTCACGCATTTCTGAGACGCCCTGTATGAAGCGAAATAATTTGTTAATGTGCTGCTCAGGATCCTAGTTCATCTCTGGAATTTTTGTTCATCTATCTGAAACAGTAAAGCCGTTATCTCACTTTGCCACACTAATGACTCACCCTGTATAGGTTACATTTACATATATTTGATTTTATATTAGATTTGTTTTTTATTTTATCTCGTGGATGAATGAGATTTAGTCAAGGCTATTCACAATGAGTCGCACATAACAGAGAAACATAATTTTCTCTGAAAATTATTCTTTGTGTCACTCCATTTTCTTCAAATGGAACCCCTATGAGCCACCTACATTTCTATCTAGAACATACGTTGAGGAAAAAAAGACAAATAATCATTTTTGTATGTCGGTGCAGTTATGAATTGCATACATTCTATAATCAACAATAATAATAATTTTTCAACTAAGTAAACTGTGAAAAATTACATTTTTGAATCTTGTCAACTGATTGTGATAAAAATATATTCCTCTGTTATGGCTCAGACGTTTCCTCGTCTTTCCGCAGACGTGGAGAAGACGAGGAAACGTCACTCCATTTCCTCGGCGAGTCCGAGGCGAACGGAAGGCTGAGATTTGAAATCTTTGGAGTAGACAAACTCCAACAGGAGGAATTGATTATATTAGAGTGGACGGACATACTGGCCTTCATCAGAAGGTCAGGGAGATTCGTAAAGGAAATCTAGGTGAAGGAAGCGTAGATATGTGGAGAGCAAGGGTTAGAAAAAAGGGCCCATCGGGGCCTACTTGCTTGGCTACAACCCCCCCACCTACTACTACTACTATGGCTCAGACTGAAAGGTGGCACAGGTAGGTTTTTGAAATCTACCATTTATTTGGTATCGGATAGCATAATTCTTCTAGTTCTAATTCTTCTCGTTATCAGATCGCGAAATCGAGTGCAAATTTCCGCACAGGATAGTGCCATCACAGCTCCCCTCTATGAACTCGGAGCTGCCGCTACCTCCAACCTGGCGGTCTTCTTGCGTGCCCTCATATTCGCCAATATAAGTTGCTTCACTCAACCCTTTCACAAACAATCTGCGGTTTCCACCCCCACTTTTGTCATTTCCAGTCATGAGCGCGATCACAGCTCCCTTTATGGACTCGGGGCTGCCGCTACCTCAAACCTGGCGGTCTTCTTGCCTGCCCTCATATCCGCCAATATCAGTTGCCTCACTCAACCCTTTCACAAAAAAACAATATATCCGTGGACGGATATGTGATTTCCACCCTCACTTATGTTTTTTGCAGTTATATGAACGCCATCACCGTTCCCCTTTATGGACTCGGGGCCGCCGCCACCTCGAACCTGTCGGTCCTCCTGTTTGCCCTCATGGCTGCCAATATCAGTTGTCCCACTCAAACCTTTCACAAACGATCAATGAAACCATGAAGGCATCTTTGATTTCCACCCCCATTTCTGTTATTTGCAGTTATGAGCGCCATCACAGCTCCCCTTTATGGACTCGGGGCCGCCGCTACCTCGAACCTGGCGGTCTTCCTGCCTGCCCTCATGGCGGCCATAGCCTACTTCCAGTACGAGCAACTAGATCCGGAAAGCAGGCCCGTCGACGTACCGTCAGACGAGCTTCTGGACAGATACGATTTCATAGTGGTTGGAGCGGGATCTGCTGGTAAGAACTATCTTCGTCGAAACATTCTGATGGTTGAATGGGATCATTTATATCTGTAATACAGGGTGTACCGAAATCATCCTGCCAAACTACACCAGCGGCTTCTACGACAAAAAATAGGGAGAAAACTTCTAATAAACATTAGTCGTGAAATGTCTGCTGAGGGAGCTACGGCCCCCTGGAAAGGAGCACCTGAAATGCTGCAATTCGGTACGAGAACTGTACTTTCCATGCCCTATGCTGTGAAAATAGCAACATTCCAAAATTTCATTCAGGAGTGAGGTTGAAATCCTATATAGACATAATATGGGTCTAATCCAATATTTAATAGTGTGAGAGTCCCCCGACTCCAAGGTATACCCACTAAACACTCCACCCCGTTTGTAGGCTTGTCTGACCGATGTCTCCGGCGACAGTTGAGCCCAGTGGCCCATTGTATCTTACCCATATACGACTAATGGTTCTTATTGAGGACCACTTCGATATGAAAGACCCTCTTCGTTCAGATTCCTGAAGATTACTCTTCCGATTCCTGTTCTCGTCTACGAAGAAGGCCAAAAGTTTTCTTTTTCCTACAAGTGACGACGAAGGGGTTGGTTCAGCTCAGTGGTGCTCCCTGCACAAGGCTGAGGTTGTTTACTCTGAGATGTCGCCATGTTTCCCAGGAGCCCCGTTAGCGACATCAAACCTTGGAACCATTCATTCATCGCCACGGGTCGCCAACCCCTTCAAGGAGCTGTGAGACCTTGTCGCGGTGAAAGGATTCAGTAGCTGCAATGAACCCGAGAGCGAAGCCGGTGGGAGCGCAAGCTACCGGTAGGGCCTCCTATGCCGGCACGGTCGAGGGGGGCAGTGAAGCTAAGCACAGCTCAACAGGAGAAAACTTGAAGAAAAACCGAAACCCAAGAGGTTAGGCGACCCGTGCGAATGGGTGAATGGCCATGAAACAGTTGGTCACTAACGGAAAGTCCTAGAAACGCGCGCCATCCAGGAGAAGAGAGCCTTAGCGGGGTTAGGGCGCACTGCACCACCGGACAAAAACGACCCAGCTCTTGGGAAAGAAATGAACGAACCTAGCACTGAAAAAGGAGATGTCTTTACACCGTTAGGAAAGGAGGAGGCAGTATGATGAGACGAAACCGAGAAACTGAAGGAAAAATTAAAAGAAGAGGCGACAAAGAAAGCGAGTGAGGAGGCAGAGAGGAACATGAGAGAGGTATTCGAAAGGAGCCTATTAGAAGAATATGAGAGAAGGCAGTCTTTAAGTTATTCCCCACCAAGGGCAAGAGTTCTCGCAGGACTGGACATGCCAGAAGCAGGGGCACTACTGCAGCATGATCGACCGAAAGCGAAAGACCCTCGCTGACACAAGCGCCCATAGCAGCCAAGGGAACAAAACCTGAAAGTGAAGAGATCTTTAGCACACCAATGGGTACGGTTGAAGGGGACACACCAGATGGATTCCAAGACGAAGAGCTAACGAGGAGCCCAAGCTATGGTCTTATAGGCAGTATAGGGATTAGAATTGAGCAAATGGAAGCAGAACAGCATGAAGCGACCGCATGAGATCTAGAAGACTCGATCTCATTGGCAATTGTCAACTCGGACGAGGAGGCAATAAGAAGCGCTGTGGATAAGGAGGCAATAAATAGCGCAGCGGATAAGGAGAATTCGAAGCGGAAGAGATCGAGTGATAGCTCGAAACATACGAAGAGGGGCAAGCAAGAGGGTCGCCTACAGTAGCTTCGAGAAGCAATCCTCAGACTGGGCAGAGAGATGGAGAGATTGATAAAGGTTGCACGAGCAGCACCTGAGGCGCAGACGAAGCTGAGGGCGGTAGCATGGGAATTAAATGCCATAGCGTGGACTGTCAAAGAAGAAAGGAACAACTACGAAGGTGTTATCAAAGAGTCATCGGTACATAGTAAGGAGATATCAACAAAAACTGATAGAGGATTTGAAGAAATCAACGAAATGACGTTTCGGAAATATTCAAGAAATATCATCTTCACTCATATTCATTTGAACGATTCTTCCTATTTTTGGCCGTACAAGCCGCTGGTGAAGTTTGGCAGACTAATATCGGGACACCATGCAATATTCATAATGAATGTACGTTAGACTAACGGCACTACGAAAAATACTTCATCAGTGCTCTTTGGCCGAATCTTTTCAGTTACTCATTTTCGAATCATCTCGATCAATTGATGACGGTTAACATAACATCTGAAGAGAGTACCTTGCCGTCGCTGAAGCGCTTAGGAATGAAAGATGATTATGAATAACCTTACGAATTCTTCATTATCTTCTCACACCTATGACATATGGAGTGAGACTAATGCCTAAGCCTACTAGTTATAGGTGTTTGTTCAGTTTGCAATTGCCAGTTAGCTTATTAGTATTTCTCTAGTTTAGGGGGTCTATGAGGCCCTCCACTGCGTTCCTAATGGGTGCGCCTATTGCCTATCCTAAATGAAATGTCACCCATCCGATCTACATTCCTAAAAAAGCTGACAGTTTCAATGGGTAAGCAACTTTCTAGTTCCGATGGCGAGAAACTCTACCTTTGAATCGTCTCCCAGCTAATGCAGACGACAGTCTACAGTCAGACATTGAAGTTCGGCGACCTTCCTTGCGGGATTATGAATGCCTACAACTAGAACAATCTGATTTTGCGAGGTTTTGCCAGGTTAGAATCTAAGTCAGTGAAGAGAATACCAATTGACTGTTCAGCACAGCTTGGTCCATGCATTGAGTGCAGATGCTGTTACTGCTTCTAAGCCTTGCCATGTTTTGCTTTATATTACTTGCAAGTAACTACCCAATATCCTCATTTTATGTCGAGGAACAATGGACATCTTCGCACATTAACGTATTTTTGGCTGAAGGAAAGCGTCTTGGGGGAATAAATTAGTTCAGATCTTCTATTGTATATGTGGATTCGGATTTGTTGATACCATCGATTTTCCAGGGGCAGTTGTTGCGAATAGACTGAGTGAAGTTGAAAATTGGAAAGTTCTGTTGCTCGAAGCTGGTGGGGATGAGACAGAAATTTCAGATGTGCCCCTGATGGCTGCTTACTTACAATTATCCGCTTTAGACTGGAAGTATAAGAGTGAACCTCAGGGACAAGCATGTTTGGGTAAGTAACCTCAACTCCTACTTTCAATCGTTGTTGGTTATCGAAATCATCACATCCATGAATCTTGAAGACTATCATCATTGCACCAGCTCGAAACTATTTTTTGTCCAATAACACGTTACTTGGTGATCACGCATGCCTCGAGATATCGAAAAACATGAAGAAAACGTGGAACTAACATTTCGAAAATGCAACAAAATCGTCACACATATGCGTCAAAACGACGAATAGCAACAAAAAAAAACAGAAAAAAACTTCATGAAGCCGTCAGAAAAACGTCAATATAATGTCAAGTAAGCGTCACACATGCGTCAAATGAATTTTGTCGATGCTTTTCGATGTTTTGACTCATGTGTGACGCTTTTGTGACGTTTCCGTGACGTTTATCCCACGTTTTTTCAACGCTTTTCGATGTTTTGACGCACAAACAATGGAATAATTCGTATTTCAAGCTATGAATAATGGCCGTTGCAACTGGCCAAGGGGCAAAGTCATAGGCGGCTCGTCAGTTCTGAACTACATGCTGTACCTGCGAGGCAACAAACGAGACTACGACCTCTGGGAATCCCTCGGCAACCCCGGTTGGGGTTCCCAAGACGTTTTGTACTACTTCAAAAAATCGGAGGACAACAAAAATCCCTACCTGGCCAAGACCCCTTACCATGCCACCGGCGGCTATCTGACGGTTTCAGAGCCCCCTTATCATACCCCACTGGTGGCAGCTTTCGTCGAGGCTGGCAAGCAGCTGGGATACAAGAATAGGGATATCAATGGGGAGTTCCAGACTGGATTCATGATGGCTCAAGGTTAGTTGTTGGGGTTTTTTACAATACACTGCTTCACTTAGTGGCGTAGCTATATACTATGCGTCAAAACCCCGTGGTTGCAAGGGGGCCCGTCCCTCGGATGGGGCCCTGGGTACACCAACCACTCTCTATATTTTAGGAATATTTTTCCAATTTCGAATTTATTCTAGGTTGATTAGGGACTTGGTTATGATCTCATTATTTCTGCAGCTATACGTTCACGGGAATAAATGGATTGATAAAAATCTGAAACATCTCCCATCCATTCTGAGGTAGTTTTGAAATATACTATGGGATATTTACCAGTCTGACTTCATCAAAAATCATAAGCAGGACCCCTTTACCAATATTTCTTCTTTGAAGCCATTATCTTGTACATATTTCCCTCCTTTCTAAAATCACTCTCTGTATCACAAATACAGCATAAAATACCATATAATGAATTTTATCTAGTCACTGAATCGAAGGTAGGCGTTGGCTACCTAATTTAAGGAACCAAAGTTGCCAATTTACTACCAAGGGAGGAAAAAAATATTAACTCCTTTACCGTCGATATATCTCATTCAATCTGTGCAATCCAAGTAATCAGTTTCTTTATCACTATTATAAAACAAATAACAATAATGTCCTTTGGCGTCAATTGTCCATGGCATACTATACCATTGGAATGCGATTTGGATCCAGAGATAGACCGCCTGAAGCACAATTTCAAGAATGATGCTTCAAAAATAATGCTTTTGTAGATAAAATCATATATATATCATGGGAGCAAAGGTTCATTTTCTCCCATGTGTGTTTAATGCCCTGAGCTACGTGTCGTTCATCAAATTTCACACGCGGGAGGAAATAGATACCTTCCCTCCCTCGATATATAAAGAGATATTTATTTAATTCTTCCTTGTGATTTTTCTCATTTTAATGAACCTACATAACCAATATTTTTGTTCAGAAATCTTCAAATCGTGACAAAGATTCATTGATATGTCGAACAATTCGAGTCAAACAGGCAAAAATGACGTCCACATCAAACAAATTTGATCAAATTGTTTGACCGTGAGACACGGCCTCAGTGGTGCCGACACAGTGACTTAGGGGTCTCTCGGTATAGTAACTATACGCCACTGGTAGTTGTTTTTGTGAATTTTTTCATTCATTTAAGGCACTATCCGAAGGGGTTCGAGATGTTCTACAGGAAAAGCGTTCTTGAGACCAATTCGACTGCGCACAAATCTGCACATCGCGATGAAAACCCACGTTACCAAAGTCCTCATCGACCCCACTACCAAAACTGCTTACGGGGTGGAATTCTTCAGAGATGGGAAATTGTACAGGTACGATATATCTATAGGTAGGGACGGTAGGATTTGGAAAATTTCACATTTCGTTTATTCAGAATAGACGATCAGTAGAGCTTTCAAATGAGGTGTGTTACATGATCCCTGTTTGTATTCGCAATAATCATCCATTACATCATCATAAGACGGGTCTTCAAAAATGTAAACTCAACATGATTTTGGATTCTTACAAAAGTCGCATATTTTTGAAATAATGAATTTATTCCATGCATTCGCATCGTATCGTAAATGAGCTGTATATAAAATCATCACCACAGTTTTCCCACACGTGAAATGAAAATAGTATATTATGGTACAAGTATTATAAACGTCCTTTCAGTAACGAATATTTCAAGCACGGGTGCAGCAAAGGAGAGTGTCTAGAGGAGTTCATAAACGCGGTATATACTATACTTCTTCTATGACCTCATAACTCCTCTCTTCGACAAGCTTCCATAATCCCAAAATTTACCTAACCTACCAGCTTACCTACATAAAGATTCGAAGGGAATGAGGATTGAGAACATAATACTATACAAATATATGCAACCAACGAGATCTGTTGGTGATATTGATAGTAGCTGTGTCCAGTTCACCTGGATACATGGATTTCTATAAAAATGTCCAACTCATTTACCGTTGTGAATCAGAATTTTTCATCTTGCGTAGAAGATAAAAACTCTTCGATTTCCTGAGGTGATTTCAAAGTTTTCGAATTCTCAGTTTGTATTCATATTCTGGAGTGCGTTTCAGGTATGCAAATACTTTTGCATATTTGCTCATATTAATACTGTGTTTTGAGTTTATAGTCATTGTCAGCATATGATAAATTGCCCACAATGATGAGAGATCCATTTTTACAGAGAGTTGTTGGAAATGTGGAAGTGAAACATTCTCTTCGATTCCACTTTCACTTTCATCTGCACACATTTTCAATGAAAAATTCTAATACAAACAGAAATCAGAAATTGTTTGAATAATTATGATTGCCACCGATTGCAACAAAATTGACAGGCAGGATGGGACACAAACGACTCAAATTGTGTTCAATACTTTTGTTGCCATGGTAATGTGTTCAAGACACTGTGTCGCCATAGTTATGGCGAAAATATCTTCAGATATCGTTATTTCCTGTTGTTTTAGGTTCTTCGTCAAGATGAATTGTCATTGTGTACATGAACTTCATAGTAGGAGGGCCAGTTGCAAATTTAAATGTTCCTTAGGCATGTAAAAACATAATATTTCATGGAACGGCACCTGTGCCGATCACTATCCTGAGCAGAATGGTGAAAAATTGCACTTTCCTGTGCGGTAATTGGCACTCAATTTCGCAATTTGGTAACGAGATAAGAGTTATGCTGTCCCATACCAATTGAATGAGAAAAAGACAAACCTATGCGACTCCGCAATCTGATTCAAATCCTCTGCACAGCGGTGCATTTGTTGCCAATATTATACGGACATACTTCCGTCATGTGATAACGAGTTGGAATAAAAAAACAAATAAAAGGGGATCATGTCCCCTTTGCGAATATCCAAACGTGCCGAGATTCAAACTGATCGAAGTTAGTAGCAGAGCGTCAATATATCCGAGAATATTTCGCCACTGTCTTAAGATAATATCCGATGGACCAGTATAAACCTCATGTGGTGCCGCACTACAAGTATTAAAATCTATATAGTTTTTGGTTTTCAGTCACTTCAGAGTGTTCATTGTCGATTCAAAGTGACAACTGTCAGTTCCAAATGACAAGGTCAGTTCAGAGTGATAAATGCCACTCGCCCCAAAAGTGACAGTTGAAAAAATAAGGTGTTTGTACCTCATAGCTGCGTGGAATGAGTACTAAAACAAATGTCAATGAATATTAAAATTAATTCATATCTTCTATTGTATTTCCGTTATAACCAACAACTATTTAGATTGGCTTTCATTCTAGGATTCGTGCCAATAAAGAGGTTATCCTGTCGGCAGGATCTGTCAACTCTCCCCAATTATTGATGTTGTCTGGAGTTGGCCCGAAGGCAGAGTTGGAAAAGCACAAAATTCCAGTGGTGCAAGACCTGAAAGTAGGCCACAACTTGCAGGATCACATCGGGTTAGGCGGTTTGGCGTTCCTGATCAACAAAGAGGATTCTATCACCCTCGACAGAGTGTATTCAGTAGGTGAGAAAAGATAGAAGCCTCAACGATTCAACAACATTCACGAATAATTAGATAACGTTTTGCCTCCATGTGCTATGGCAACACTCAAATAGAATTCGCGGTAGTCAAGGTCATCATCATCATCTGACGTTGCGATGACATAAAAACTACGGGAAAACATTCCTAACTCCCGGCTAAGATCGAAAGTTAGACATGTTTTCCTGTAGTTTTCATGTCACCGCGACGTCAGATGATGACCTTCACTACCGTGAATTATGTCTGGCATATGTGAAAGAGGTGCTTGCAAAGTTCTACTACAAATCGAGTTAACTTATGACATTTATGTGAAATAGTCCGAATAAACAGGAACACAGAGTATATAATCCACCAGACAAAAAGAGTCTGTCAAGTATTTTTTTTTTGATTAAGTAGATTGAAATACAGCATTTCTTGGTATAACGAATTTTTTTTATTTATTTGGTGAAAAATAGTGAATAAGACAGAGCGATATTCATCCTTCCTTCATTGGCCATCTATTTCTGCTTTCCTAACTGCTTCCTTCTGATTTCTTCTTCCCACTTTCTCCTTCAACTAAATCCATTCAAAATCTCCTTTATACTTTATCCATCTTCGCAACATTGTCATCTCCTTCAGGGGCACAAGACTCATAAATCTTCTACTTTTCTTGGATGATATCTTTTTCTTTCTCTATAGTTTCCGATCTTTCCTATTGGCATCAGTTGGCCAAATCTCCTTCTTTTTTCTCCTATCCAAAAGTTTAACCTCACGAAGATCCGGAAAGGACAAGCCGCGGCTGCTCGGCAGATAGACCGTTATGTGGACATCTTTGTTCGAATCACCCAGATTGGACTGTTTTGTGGACATCTGCGTACAAAGATTTGGCAATTTGGTTATGTGGCTGCGGATTGATTAAACGAGACTCTGGCAATCTAATCCAACATGTAGGAACCCGTGACGAGAGATGAATAACACCGAGGTTATACAGGGTGTTTCAAAAAAACCTAACCCCCTTGCTAGGGTAGGTAGAACATTGCAAAATAAGTTGGGTTTGCTCAGTAAAAAAATGTCGTAACGCCATCCGTTTTCAAGATACAAGGTGTTGAAACAATATTTTTTTTACACATTTTTTACGATTATGTTGAAACTCCTAGCAACATTGCGATGAAATTTTGTATGGATGTTTCTTAGAATCTGACACATCGCATGCATTTGTTTTACTATCTGACTCTCATAGAGGGCGCTAGTTACACGGTTCGTACCGACTAGTTTTGAACATAACTTTTTTGAGGTTAGATTTTTCAATCCAAATTTGATGTGAACTTGAACATCATTCAATTTCACACCAAAAAGGTACTCCTGGTAAAACTCGATTCGGTGTTCCGTTTTCGGAATATTTCGATTTGAAAATGATGAAGTGGTAACTGTTGCTGGTATAAAGCTATGTATTAGAGTGAGTATTATAAAAAATTATCACCTATTCATTGAAAACCGAAAACAACAATACATTTCTGATGCAAAACTCATTGATTTACCAATGGAACACAAGAATAACATTGAAACAGATTTGACTAAGAACATGGATTACACAGTTTTGTTGTATCTTGAGCAGAAAGTCTATGCTACATAGGTAAATTCACGTCCAGAGTTGTGAGACATAATTGAACATCACTTAAATGACCTAACAGCTGATCCTCAACTGTTCAGAAGAATGATACATTCTTAAAAAAAGAATATAGAATCGTGTATTCCTCGAAACACAGGACATCTTGAACACTTACCCTAACTGATGCAATATTTCATGTTACTAGTCAAATATCTCTTAATTTTCTACTTATGATTCTTTGTTCCATCAATAACTTCAGCACAAGAATAATTTTATTGTTATTGAACCTGAATAAATAGGTAATTGAACTCAATAAAATTCATTCTATACCAGCATCATTACTACTCCATTATTCTCAAATCGAAATATTCCGAAAACGGAACATAGTATCGAGTTTCACCAAGAGTACCTTTTTGGTGTAAAATTGATTGATGTTCAAGTTCATTTCATATTTGGATTGAAAAATCTAACATCAAAAAAGTTATGTTCAAATCTACTCGGTACGAACCGTGTAACTAGCGCCATCTATGAGAGTCAGATTTGAAAACGAATTCATGCGATGTGTCAAATTTCAAGAAACATTCATACAAAATTTCATCACAATGTTGCCAGTAGTTTCGGAATATTCGTCAAAAATGTGTAAAAAAATTATTTTTTCAACACCTTGTATCATGAAAACGGATGCCGTTACGACATTTTTTCACTGAGCAAACCCAACTTATTTTGCAATGTTCTACCTACCCTAGCAAGGGGGTTAGGTTTTTTTGAAACACCCTGTATGATCTCGTCTAACGAGACCTGTGGGAAACAGGGTGATATCTCAGAGTAAACAGCTTCTCAGTATCGAGAAGGAAGGTTGGCATGAAAGGAAAAGCAAATTGGATTGGGTTGGGTAGGCCGGAATCATCAACCAGCTACTGAAACACGGATAATGTATACCCATTTCACAGTGGTTGATGTGGTAGTTTCGCACCGGGCGATGGTGTTAGCCATCTTCCACCTATTGCCGTCCTTTTAGTCACCTTCTACGGCAGGCAGGACTTACCGTTGGATTATTGTAATCTGACCGTCACAAAACTGTCCCACCCGAGTGATCCGAACTCAGATGTCCACATGATGGTGAGATTGAGATTTAGAGAAAAAGAGAGAACAGTTTGCCATCAAGAGAGGCAAGGAGGGGAGATTGGAAACTGAAGAGCGAAGAAGATACCATCGAAGACATGTTGAAGACTGATGAGTATCAGTTAAGGTTATCCTGGGTTCGATATACCTGTACTCACGAGTCGTGAGCCCCTGTCCAGTAAACACACTTACGTCGAAATAAGGTAGTAAAAGAACCACAACGGTCGGTTGAAATAACGCAAAAATGTCGGTGACATACACAATAACACATTGATTTTAACCAGTAGACAAACATGTTACCAACTAATCTTCTTCACATTATAATATACGTTTTCAAATAATTAATTTTTTAAGTATTCTCAACATTATCAGTTTACGATAACACTTTGAAATAAACAAAATTGGTTGTTAAATTCTATTATTTTTTAGAATTATTAACGGGTTATCCCTGGAATTTATTCTACCCTACATTGTGAAGGTGTCATTTGATTCAAATAGAATGTCGTGTTGTTGCTTGAAAGTATCAACGTTTTGCCTCAACGTTTAATAGAGGTTGTTAATCCACACAATGTAATGCATTGTTGAAAATAAAACGGCTGAATAACGTGTTGATTTCTTGTTTCTTTCAACCAAATTTCAAAGTTGACGTCTTCAACCAGTAACGTTATTTTTATTTCCACGATTCCAACCGTTACTCAACGTTTTATAAACGAGTATGTGTTAACTGGGTGGGGACTAGAAGGACCTTCCAAGAAAGCCGTATTTGGGAAACCACATATCGAGCCAAAGCCACATAACTCACACCATGAAGAAATTGTGATGGACTGGTTTCAGTAAAACAGGCGTGAGTGTCACTTAGACAAAGGTTAGACAGGCCTAAACCGGGGTGGAGTGTCTATAGTGGGTACACCAGACATGGTAACTTATAGAAACTCTCACAGTACCAACAAGGGATTCGTGCTTTGGAGCAACCATAACGAATTTCGGCGGGTATACCAGACATGGTTACTTGTGGAAACTGTCACAGTAGCAAGAAGGGATCCATCCTTCGTGGTGTCCATAAAGAATTTCGAACAACCCCGAAAGAACAAACCTCCTCACCGTTCAAGGTACCCTGATGCAGTACGCCATCTTTGGCGGCGACCCGCTGACCACCATGGGCGGTATCCCAGACATGGTAACTTGTGGAAACTCCAACAGTACCGAGGAGGGATCGGTCCTTCGTGGTGATCATAAGGAATTTCGAACAACACCGAAAGAACAAACCTCCTCACCGTTCAAGGTACCCTGATGCAGTACGCCATCTTTAGCGGCTTCCCGCTCACCATCATAGGCGGGTATACCAAACATGGTTACACGTGGAAACTCCTACAGTACCAAGAAGTGATCAGCCCTTCATGATGTCCATGAAAAATTCCGACCTAACCCGAAAACGAAACTTCTCATCGATCAAGGTCCCCTGTTGCAGTACATCATTTTTGACCAACACCTAAAAACAAACCTCCTCATCTTTCAAGGTCCCCTGTTGTACTACGCCATCTTCGGCGGTGGTCCGTTCACCATCATAGGCGGTGGTCCGTTCACCATCATAGGCGGGTATACCAAACATGGTTACATGTAGAAACTCCTACAGTACCAAGAAGGGATCGGTCCTTCATGTTGTCCATAAAGCATATCGATCAACCCCGAAAAACAAACCTCCACATCTTTCAAGGTACCCTGTTGCAGTACGCCATCTTCGGCGGCGGCCCGCTCACCATCATGGGTGAGTATACCAAAAATGGTTACATGTGGGCACTCCTACAGTGCCAAGATGGGATCGATCCTTCATAGGGTCCATAGAGAATTTCGACCAACCCTGAAAAAAAACGTCTTATCGTTCAAGGTCCTCTGATGCAGTACGCCATCTTCGGCGGCGGTGCGCTCAGCATCATGGGCGGGTATACCAGACATGGTAACTTGTAGAAACTCCTACAGTACCAAGAAGGGATTGAACCTTCATGGTGTCCACAAAGAATTTCGAACAACCCCGAAGAAACAAACCTTCTCACCGTTCAGGGTACCCTGATGCAGTACGCTATCTGTGGCGGCGCCCCGCTCACCATCATGTGCGGGTATATACCAGACATGCTTACTTGTGGAAACTCCTACAGTACGAAGAAGTGATCGGTCCTTCTTGGAGTCCATAAAAAATTCCAACCTAACCCGAAAAAAAAAACTCCCTATTGTTCAAGGTCCGCTGATGCAGTACGCCATCTTCGGCGGCGGCCCACTCACCATCATGGGCGGCGTGGAAGGACTGGCCTTCGTCAACACCAAGTACGCCAACGGCACCGACGATTATCCCGACATCGAGTTCCACTTCGTGAGCGGCTCGACGCACTCGGACGCCGGGGCGCAGATCAAGAAGGCGCACGGCTTGACGGACGCCTTCTACGACAGGGTGTTCAAGCCGATCACGGGGAAGGACGCGTGGAGCGTGATCCCGATGCTGTTGAGGCCGAGGAGTAGAGGTGAGAACTTCGCACGAATTCGTTTTGACGACCATAATTATTTTTTTTTGATGTATGATAAATTGATGCTCATCATACACTACGTGGAAAGAAATTCTTAATTGAGAAAACGTAATCACGAATCTGCGATTGAGGTCTATAAAAATAACAAGTTTCCATCGTACAAGTTTGAACCCCTTGAACCCACAACAAAATGTATATATACATGAAGAAATTCATTGAGAATTCGCATTCTCCATGTGATGAAAATATTGATTCTTTCTCGGTTTATTCGACAGAAAACAACTACTTTCCTGGCTATATACCACGACGAAAATTGAATTACATCTATTGAACACACACGATAAGAATTTGAAGACAAAATCTTCTGAAGTAGAGAATTTGCATTCTGCTTCATATGAAGATATGCACATAATATCATTCTGAATATTCAACAGAAAACAACTACTTTCCTGGCTATTTGCCACGTCATACAAGTATACTTCTCCTATACATTCCAATTTCCATTTCAAAACTGAACATATTGGTAAGTTATATTTTTACATCATAATACATCATATTATTCTATTCGATTTGAGAGATATTGTCAATTGTCAATTTCAGAGGATTTTGTGTTTTCAGGGCATAGCCCAGTTGCGCCAATTTTAAACAGGTGCAAGAAATCGTATAACCCAATTGCGCCCGCAACCGACCATAAAATCACCAAACTAGTGTGAATATTCAAAGCCAAGACACTGCGCCGATTGTCTCTACGGGAGACCTATTACAGATTATAGCTCAAGAGGATTAAGAGAATAAGATGGGTGCAAGACATTTATTCAAAGTGTACAAGACATTTATTCATATACAAATTTTGTTATAATGATAAGAAAACCAATTCAACATAGGCCAACCATATATTAGGAGGAAACGATAGTTTTGATGATAATTTCGAAATTCTACACGTAGAAAATATAGGAATGAAGCTCAATCATTTTGAATCATTATAGAAATCAACAAACTGAAAAATTCTAACATTTTACTTAACGATCAACTCGACCTCAATAGTCCACCACTGTTGAATTTGGTTTCGTAGTAGAAAATAATATCTATTTGCTATCAACCATTCCAAGTTCTTCCGGTACACCGTATTTTAATGTACATATTGTGCCTATTTTCCGAGAATGAAGTTTTATCGAACCTTTCCACAGGTAATTCTAATCCTCCATGTTGGGAAAGTAGGATATATGAAATTTAGGCAAGCCAAGGTTGATTTACAGAACATATTTTTTCAAAGACTCATTGCCAAGGGAGGTGTTCCCCGAGGCATATAACCTCCAGAAATTCAAGAAGAACACCAATTCCTACCTTATTTCTCTTGGTTCTCACGATGTTCTCTGAACATTACAGGATATCCGTTTTCGTGCAAACCAGAACATAAAAAAAATTGTACCAGTATGAACCTACTGTGTCAGCGAAACATGTCGTGTTATTCAGAATCTTGTGGAAATCTCATCATTTGTGAAGTCTTTACATTAGATCAATTTGAACATGGATGAAAAGACATATATATAACAAGTGAGGTACGTAGTTTTTTGAAGGTATCAGATTAGTATAGATGTAGTTTTCATTAGGTATTATTAGATTAGTATAGAGGTCAGATAATTTATACGACGCTATAAAAGCAGATGATATTTTATCATTGCTCATGTAAGATGAAAGTAGAGGCCATGGCACCATACCATGAGCATATGTTTATATTGAAACTATCATTAGGCACCAAAGGTGTGTATACGACGCTATGAAAGTTCAGAGAACTGGAGATTTTTCCCACAAACTACGTACTTAGCCCACTCGACTGTCTTGGTTTCTCCACACAAACTACGTACCTAGCCCACTCGACTGCCAATAGGGACTAAAAAAACAAAAACAAAAGAAAGTTAAAACAATGCCAACATATTTCTTCTTTGTGGGAAATCAAGACAGTCGAGTGAGCTACGTCGTTACCACCGATATCGGTATGGGTATGGTAACGGCTACGTCCGTAGTTTGTGGAAAAAAATCAAGACAGTCGAGTGAGCTAGGATCGTAGTTTGTGGGGAAAAATCAAGATAGTTGAGTAAGCTAGGTACGTAGTTTGTGGGAAAAAATCAAGACAGTCGAGTAAGCTAGGATCGTAGTTTGTGGGAAAAAATCAAGATAGTTGAGTAAGCTAGGTACGTAGTTTGTGGAAAAAAATCAAGACAGTCGAGTGAGCTGGGTGAGTAGTTTTTGGAAAAAAAATCAAGACAGTGGAGTAAGCTTGGTACGTAGTTTATGAGAAGAAAATCAAGACAGTTGAGTGTGCTTTTTTTACTTTCTTTTATTTTGTTTTCTATTGGCAAGTGATTATCAAGGAACTTGTGAATTTTTTAGTTTTTTCATCGTCTCCCGAACTATTGAATTCAGAGAAAAATGTTATATGGATTTTTTGAAGATTCTATCAGAAGGAATAATTTTGGTTCTATAACATTTTCAGATATTTTCAGTTGTTTTCGAGATTTTTGGAATTATCTGAGAATAACATTTTCAACACTTTTGTTCCATCTTCCAATCAACAAAAGGAAAAAATATTTCATGGTTCAGTGGAAGTCGATGAGCTTCATCTATCGATAATCTTTGTTTTTCAATATATCTTCATGGTACCCTATGGGTTGTTAAATTTTTTTTTTCATATTTTTCACTTTATTTCCTGTACTCGATATATATTGAATTGAAAGGATTTCAAATTTTTGATGTTTTGATTTTCATTTGTTTTTCCATTTTCCGATGGATGCACGAAAAAATGGTGGAATAATAATTTGTTGCGTCATCAAAGGGGCATACGGTGCATTTTTCAAATTTTGATTTAGTCTATTGGTTCAGGAGATATGTTGTTTTAAAGCGAACTGTGTGTTTCGGAAAATCTCCTTGAAAAACCCACTTGGAATTTTCCGATCCTGCTCAATTTCAATAGGCTTCGTCTCTTCCTGATAGAGGTTTTTTTCTTTTCACGAAAAATGATATCGATCGGACCACTTCTGCGATTTGTAGAGTGGTTACAAGAAACTTCCGGTGAAAAATCGAAAAAACCCGGAAAAACCACCTTAGAGTTTTCCGATTTCCTTCATATTTTAATGACATGATATTGTTTCGAGTACAATGAGATGGCGAAATTTCAAGTCGATATGTCAAAGGGTTCCAGAGATATATCGATTTATGATTACCACAGAGTACAGACATACAGACAGACAGACCACACACAAAAACCAAAGTTGCTCAAAATTCGATGGGGATCATTTTCTCCAAAGTTACTATACCTCTATCTCGCTTAGTTTCTGAGATAGCATTTTTGGCAAGGCCGTAGTATACTCCACTATAGGTATAGAGTCGTATAACAAGTTATATTGAAAACAATTAAATGTCTGAAATTTGTATTTGTTTGTTATGTTTTGAATTATATATTTATCGTCGTAGGGAGAATAGTGTACACAACTCGTTGGAAAGTGTATTTCAGCCACTCGTTACGTTCCTCACTACTGTACTATTTTCTATGGCTATAACACAAAATTGCTCTTGTTTCACTGTGTTCGATACATCAATGAGGTACTTTGTATGTCATCAATTTTATTTCCATATCTGATATCACAATGACTCCATTGTGTTGTTATTTTAAAAATCTCATCGCTCATGGAATGTCAAATTTCATTACTTGACAAATCAGATGGCTACAAGACGAAGAAATAAAAAATGCCGCTGTAACAGCCGTAGAAAAATTATAGTGTATAACTCGCACGGAATGCTAATGTTCCACTCGAATGATTGCAACAATCGCCTACGGCTGCAAAATTCATACTCGCAGGAAATCACTATCATTCCGTGCTCGTTAAACAATATTCTATTTCAAAATCTATAGTCGTGTTGTTCTTTTTTTCAGGTTACATCAAACTCCGAAGTAAGAAACCACTAGACCCGCCCTTGATTTATCCCAACTACTTCATGGACGATATGGACATGAAAACTTTGATAGAGGGCGTGAAAATCGGGGTGGCCCTCAGCAGGACTCCTGCTTTCAGGTCGTACGGCAGCAGGCTTCACGAATTTCCAGATTGTGCTCATTTTCAGAAATACACAGATCCTTACTGGGAATGCATGATTAGATTGTATTCCGTTACTATCTACCATCCCATAGGTAAGAACTGCTTCTATTTCTAGGTTTTGAAGAATCATTCTCGCAACTCAGATGGTTTTAGTAGGTTATATGGCATTATTGAGAAGAAACTGCGCCTCCACCACGTGTCGCAACTCAGATGTTGACCCTCCTATAGGTCGTTACTTAGCTACTCGCTTGGCTTTTTGTCGAGAGGTTTTGATCATTTCACCAACCAACCATATTCATCCCCAAATAGAGAGTATTGTTTTTCAAAAATGTGCCAAAAGGCGGAACATCAAAGAACAAACATGAAACGAGCAAACAACAGGAACAAGATGATGGTTCTTGATACTTACATTATGTTATGGACAGCAGCACCAAAGCCGAGGAGATGTGACACCCCCAAAGTGGCACTATTTATATTCGGAATCGATGCTAGATTCGAATTTTTCCACAATGGGAACGGTCTTTAACTTTCGATACTGCTTACCCGTTACCACCGATGGTGGTAACGGCTTACCTCGCGCGGTAAGCGTTTCCTTTGCAAATTATAAAGGAAATGACTATGATGTCTATAGGTCGCATGCACGATGACCGACCCTGGAGGCAAAATATTGAAACACAACCTCATTCTTCTGTAAATTATTGAAACACAACCTCACTTTTTTATTTAGTTGCAGAAGAATCAAAGGATTGAAATAGTTTTTCACAATATTTTGGCATACGAATCGTGTTTTTTGCGCTATTCTTTAATTCAAGCATGCCTTCGCATTGTGCTGTTGTACAATGCACAAAAAATGCAGCAAGAGACTAAGGAATATCATTTTTCAGGTAAATAGTAATCTCACATAGTTATCATTATGAAATGTTGTCATTCCTTATTAAAATTCCTTCTGCCTTCTGCCACTTCTGCAATACAAGCTAATACTGCTAATAGATTGAAAATGTCTACAACACACGACACGATCGTCAGCATGTCAGACCAGTCCTCCCGATTGATTGCATGAATCCAATCTTCTTGCATTATTCTAGAAATTTCAGGTATACTTCTATTAGCTCTTATTGCAGAAGGAATTCCGATGAGAAATCAGAGAAATAACCAAATTTCAAAAATGAAAACTAAATGTGAGTGACTATAGTAGGTACTTACTTTTAAATCATAATGTACCATCCGGATTCCTTCATCTTCCGCTGCAGTTTTTGTGCATTTTACAACAGCACAATGTGATGGCATGAGCGAATTGAGGAATAGCGGAAAAATACGATTTATATGCCAAAATAATTGTGGAAAACTATTTCGATCACTTGTAAACAAGTAAGAAAAGTGACGTTGTGTTTCAATGATTTGCCTCCAGCGTCGGTCATCTGACAGTTCTTGCACGCAACAAGGATCACGCAACCCATGAACTCCGCTGGCCTGATCTAAACAACAATGTACTGAATGTTTTAATTTGGAAAAGTTAATTCATAGTAAAAGGTCTTGAAATGAACGAGAGTTCGAGTGATGTTAATTCATAGGCATTTGTACTTCTTGATAATAAAAAAATCTTCCACATAGTCATCATTAAGTTCGAAATCTAGGGTTTCAGTGTGCTATATTATATGCTATAGGAGGAATTGTGAATTCTAGCAGTTTGGAAACAGTATATTATTTAACGAGCACATAATGATAGTCATTTCCTACGAGAACTTTTACTTATAGATTCGTTCATTTTTGTCTGTTCAATTTTGTCTGTTCAATTTTGTATGTTCCAACTCCAAATCAATAATCTTCTACCGCCGTCAGGGGGCATACTTATTTGAAAAATATCACAGAATGTCAATAATTTGCAGGTTCGTATTGAAAATTGAGATTTTCTCGTTTTGCTCAATAACGCGTGCAACGTTCACCTGCCATTTCAGTTTAAAGATGAAACGAATAGGTATTTTACATACTGTTGAACACCGGTAACAACTCTTCGAGTTACCACTATCAGGTACAGTTCACACTTCACAGTAAAACAACCTAAGTGATACTTGAGCCGTTTTTCATCCAAGAATTACTTACAGTATATTCTTTCAACAACTTTTGACCTTCATCGAGAGATCGCACAGACAGAAAAAATTCGGCTTGGGTAACTTTAGCCCTTGATAGAGTGACACTTTGGAAGTCGAAACATCACTTAGGCCGATTTGCCAAAAAAGTGCACTTAGGATGTTTTGCTTCTCACCCCTTCAATTATTGAATTCGCTGAAAATTTCGTAATATACACTGAGATAAATTATCCGTTGTAAATACCTAAAGATCCCTATACCATACCAAGCGTTGTGGTTGAATAGGCGCCAGTCACTACATTCATCAAATATTACCACTACAAAATAGTATGATTGAGGCAATATGACATACTGAAGCACCATTTATTAGGTACCCTACCTGTACGATTATTATATTCACGCACTACTACAAATGAGTGAATAATACTATACAGCTCGTCGGTGCGTATTTACCACTACAAACTTAATTTGATTCATATTAACTACTACAAACTAGTGACTTTTACTTATAGATTCGTTCATTTCTGTCTGTTCAATTTTGTCTGTTCAATTTTGTCTGTTCAATTTTGTCTGTTCAATTTTGTATGTTCAAACTCTAAATCAATATTCTTCTACCGCCGTCAGGGGGCATACTTATTTGGAAAATATCACAGAATGTCAATAATTTGCAGGTTCGTATTGAAAATTGAGATTTTCTCGTTCTGCTCAATAACGCGTGCAACGTTCACCTGCCATTTCAGTTTAAAGATGAAACGAATAGGTATTTTACTTACTATTGAACACCGGTAACAACTCTTCGAGTTACCACTATCAGGTACAGTTCACACTTCACAGTACCACAGTTTGTAGGTGAGTATATAAATTTATTTCATTCATAATTCACGAGACGAACGCAACGAAAGATGAACTAGGAACTGATGAAACGACCACGCCAACGCCAAGCCACCTGCATAGAAAAAAACGAATGTCGACGATCAGCTTCGTGATTTCGGCATATTACTCTTTGATGTGGTAGATTTGTACATCGAAAAGTAAACCTATTGTTATTACCGTATATACGCACTAATACGTAGTGGTAAATAGAATATCAGGGAAATAACATTCAACACAATCCTAATACGACTACATAAGAGATATTTATTAATTACTGAATATGGAGCATGTTATTCGATGTGGTGAATAATGATTTGAACTAGTAATATTCGGAGGTGGTATGCAATAGGTTTGTCAAAGTATTGATCACTCATATAAGTGATATCTCGAATATGTCTCGTGTTTGATGAAACTAATTCGAAACCACCATTACATTTAGTTATACAAATTTCCATTCATTTTCTCAGTGTAACCGACTCTCTATCTCACATTTACCGAGATCCCAAAGGTGAGGATCGGATTTGGGACACACGATATAAAAGAGTGTTCCTTCAGTTTTCCAGAATACTATTTTTTGAACTACTATCCATTTTGTTCTCCAGGGACTTGCAAGATGGGACCATATTGGGACCAAGACGCCGTGGTGGACCCCCAACTTCGAGTGTACGGAATCAAAGGGCTGAGAGTCATAGACGCTTCCATCATGCCCAACATGGTGAGCGGGAATACCAACGCCCCTGCCATAATGATCGGAGAAAAGGGTTCCGATTTGGTGAAGGAATTCTGGATGAAGACTGCAAAATATGCCCGAAACTTGAACGGAATTTGAATGGAGGAATGTATCGTGAACGAAAAAGTGTCTGGACAAGTGATAATCTGATAGTAGGTCTAGGATGATGCCAAATTAACAACAAGTTTTTGTTTTCCCAAAGATGTTTTATTTATTTTACTACTAAGAAGTCATAATAATATATTATTAGAGGAAGGATCAAGCAGGTTATTAGATTTTTTTCTCCATTCAGCTCGAGGGAGTCAGAAAATATAGAATTATCATACCAGAAAATATAAACAACGAGATTCAGAAGTGTATAATAATTATGTAAATATAACAATAATTGATTATGAATCGATTTAATTGTGTACATTGTATATTAGGTAGGTATTGAAAGTTTTATTACATAATTTTATCCACATATTTTGATTGGCTGTTAAACATTTATATTAGGTATCTAATATATAAAATTCTCCTGTCCCAGTTACGGTGTTAGTGGCGAAACTCCTCCGAAACGGCTCAACCGATTCGTATGAATCTATTTTTTATATCGAAAATTCAAGATGGCAGATTCAATATGACGGACGAGTTTTGTAATCCAATTTTGTTCAAAATTAGTATGGGGATTTTCGGGGTCGAAGATTATAATTTATTCGTCAAAAATAGGAAATTCAAAATGGGGGATCCAATATGGCGGACGAATTTTTTAATTATGAGTCGATTCTATTCAAAATTGGCAACTGGGGGTTTTTGGAGTCGGAGATTATGATTCTGTCGTCAAAATTTGGAAATTCAAGATGGCGGTTTCAATATGGCGAAAGAGTTTTTTAATTATCACCATATGCCATTCAAAATTTGTATCTAATAGTTTTTGGGGTCAGAAATTATGATTCTTTCGTCAAAATTTGGAAATTCAAGATGACGGGCCCAATATGTCGGACGAGTTTTGTAATTATGATCCGATTCAATTCAAAATTGATATCTAGGATTTTGTGGGGTCGAAGATGATAATTCTTTCTTCAAAATTGTGGAATTCAAGATGGCGGATACGATATGGCGGACGAATTTTGTAATTATGGTCAGAGTTAATCAAAATTGGTGACTAAGAAAATTCAAAATGGCGGATCCAATATGGCGGACGAGTTTATCAATTATGATCAGATTCTATTCAAAATTGGTATCTGGGGGTTTTGGGAGTCAGAGATAATGATTCTTCCATCAGAATTTGAAAATCGACGATGGCAGATTCAATATGTCAATAATGAGTATGGTAACTATGATCCGATTCCATTTAAAATTTGTATCTGGGGGATTTTGGACTCAGAGATTATGATTTTTTCATCAAAATTAGGAAGATAATTGAAAAATGTTTGTATTTAGTGTATTAAATTCGTGTTTTCATCGCACATTCGAGAACTTTTTTGGCATCGACCTGAGGTCTTGGCCAAAAATCAACACTCTTATTTGCTTTGATAAAACACTCATTTCACGCACTTACAATACAAAAATAATTTTTCCTTCGAATTTGTACTTTTTCATGAATGCTGACATCTTTCTCTGAATTCAGACTTTTTTATCTTTCGGAGCGCGAGAAAAGGAATCCCTGAAATGTTGAAGAGGGTGCTTAGGGAAGATAGAGAAAGGAGGTAGGTATTTGACTTCTCTTTTAACCTTTGGTTCTTGGGAACCTCTCCATTGGCAAGAATTCCAAAGCTTTGCCGTTTTATAGAGAAACGAATTCTGGAGAAATGTTTTTTGCCATATTTCATGGTTGACAAGGAGAGTATATGTACTGACTGGGCTTGTCGAGTTTGTCTGATTGTTATTGCTAGTGATGGAATAATAGCAAAGATTTCCGAGAAACATTTTTCGTAGATTGTCTACGGTTTTCGATGATGTCAAAGAATTAGTGAGTGTGGCATCACCCACCAGGCTAATGGCTCTTCTTTGGATGAAATCTGAAAGCATCAGTGCACGTTTGGCGCTGAATCATATATATATGGGAAGCGTATTCTGAAACAGACCGTATCTGTGCTTTGTAGATCATGAGAAGCTATTGGGGTGTAAGCAGCTTTCGAGATCGATCTGAAATGATTTTCCCATGAAAGAGTATTGCTTATGGAAATACGCAAAGTCTGAATTTAGAGAAAAAAGTATGAGTTCGAAGAAAAAAATCTGATTTCAGAGGAAACAGTCCGAATTCGAATAAAGAGGTCTGATGCGTTTGAAAAATAATGTCTGGATTCGAAGAAAAAAGTAAGAATTCAGACAAAAAATCTGAATTCAGAAAAACATGTCTGAATTGAAAATAAAAAATCTGAATTCAGAGAAAATATCTGAATTTAGAGAGATCCGATTTCAAGAAAGAATTATGGATTCAAAGGAAAAAAATGTAATTCGAAGAGGAAAATCCCATTTTTTCTAGTATTATATGTAAAATAGGTACCAATTTCTGACAAAAATCCACACGTTTTTTATACTCCTTGGAGGGTATACAATACAAGCATCACTGTGCTTAGATGTTTTCTCAATGGAGTGGGAAAGATTATTTTATTCATACCAGAATAATTTGAAATAAGAAATGTACCTATTCCCATGTTATGTATGTACGAGTACTATATTACTACTGAAGTACTGAATGAATAAAGTCTGTTAAATGATGTTCTGCGCGGCATTAGCCAGGATATAGTTGTTTTTCTCTCGTCATCTACCATTGTTGTTCATTTTATGAACGTTTGTGGAAATGACTTCGAGCTTGTTCTGTATTTATTCAACATTTCATTCCACTTTGAACATTGTGGGTATTTCGTAGTTGAAAAATAAAGGAGCTGAATAGTCGTCCCCGCGAGAATGTTTTCGGATACCTATGTCTTGGTCGGTAACGAATTGCAAAATTCTAATAATGATGGTTATCATTCATTTGAGTTGCAAAGACGATAAGACATTTCAAATAGTTGTTAAAGCTTCAAATTTCAATATTCATTTTATGGAAATACATTCAATGATGTAATATTAATATAACTACCGTTCGTGATGGCGGGTGGTACGGTCGCGTCGTCGCCTGTTCCCAAAGAACACGAGAATTTTACATGTAAAAATTGTCTTAAAAAAGTTGTATCAAAAGTGAAGTGTTACACAAATGTACTGAGATATTCCATCCAGCATGTCTGAGGCAAGCGAGTGAATTAAAGAATGCAGAATGTAAACATGAAGTCGATCATGCTATGAATGACACAAATACTGTGGAAAAGACCTACCTCAAAGAGGAAAATGAATTACTTCATCAAATGGTGGCAGATAATAATAAAATAATTGCGGACAAAGAGCAACTGATTCTCAGATTCAGGAAAAAGCCGATGAGATAATAGACCTAGGAAAAGAAGATCATATGGACCATACTACACCCCAATCAGAAAACCAACAGAAACATACAGCCGAAGGAAGCTACACCCTCGTGAAAAGGCGAAGAAAAAACAAAACACATGACATAGGAAACGGTGATGGTGACGGGAATTTTCAAGAAAACCAAAAAACAGACAAGAAAATTTGGCTTTTTGTATCAAAGGTTCCCGATAAAATAACAGAAGATAATATAAAAGACTTCATCGACAAACAAACAAACATCAAAGACACCTATGAGAGGAAGCTTGCAACAAAAATCGTAAAGACCAACAACCAATCTTTTATGATTGGAGTCTATCTATTGTTGAAAGAACGTGTGTATGAACAAAACTTCTGGCCAAAAAATATACACTTTGCTCGTTTCGACTTTAGACAAGGCCGTCATTTTCTCGACCAGCAACGACCTGGGCAATCAGACAGAACAGATAAGACAAATTTTCAGAGGCCTGCCTCGTTCCAGAGCCCCAAAACCACCTGATGTCAACTATGGTGAATCCTAATTTTCAACGGCTACCCCCTAACCAATCTATCCAATCAGCTACAAAGAATCACGTACATGAACATGAATCAATATCAGTGTTGCATATTAACATACGAGGTATCTCAAATAAGTGTGACTCGCTCAGTGTTACCCTATCATCGCTGAATGTGGATCTGGTATGTATAGATGAACATTGGCTGAATGACCAGGAAATCAAATCAACAGTGATAAAAAACTTTGAACTGACTTCCTACTTTGCTAGAACTCATTACAATAGAGGTGGAGTATGTATGTATGCAAGACATGGACTCAGTGTAGCACCTATCTCATTCAAGAGAAGTGTGGAAAAAAGTTTTGAGGTATGTTTGGCTCATATGACTCTTCCAAAAACGAAGAAAAAAATCTGGATAATCGCTTTGTATAGAACCCCTGACAGTGACTTTAAACACTATTTATGTAGCTTTGAATCACTACTACATGAAATCTACAATAATACTGACCATTATATTATTTGTGGTGATGTCAATGTGAATTTTCTTGAAAATAGTACTATGAAAAATTCCTTAATTAATAAATTGCTGGAGAACAATATTATGCATCATATAAATGAGCCCACTAGAATAACCAATCACAGTGCTACTTGTATTGATAACATATTCTCTAACTTGAAGGCAAGTGATGTAATTGTTGGCAATACTTTCATTTCAGATCACACCTACCAGGTATGTACATTTGATATAGCTTCCCAAATACATATGATCCTTTTCGTAGTCTCTTGTCTCGCGAAAACTGGAGGGATATGTATGAAACAGACACGTTTGATGAAAAGTTTTCTGCATTCTATAATACTTTCCTTTATCACTACAATTGTTCGTTTCCTTTCATGAAGAGCAAAATCAAAACATATAAAGAAAAAAAAATGGTATTCACTTGAAATGAAAAATCTATCTACACCATCAACTATGTGAAATGAACAAAATTAGAAAAGAACTAAATGACCCCGACTATACAGTATACTATAAACAATCCAAAAAAGAATATAGAATACTTGTGGAGCAACATCAAAAGCAAAAAAACAATGACCGGATAATGGGATCGACTAATATTATGTAGAAAAGTTGGAAAATCATAAACGAAGCTAAATCTAATTGTGATAAAAATTCATCGGTTGACATTGTTGATGATGAAGGTGAACCAATTAATGATAAACTGGAGAAAAGTAATTTTATCAATGACTTTTTCATAGATTCTTTTCAAACAATCTCCAAACCCAATTATGAAATGAAAATCGATCAATCCCCTACGAGTTTCTTCTTATCACCTACCACACCAGATGAAATTATAAGGATATTAAACAAAACTACCTCTAAACCAGCTGCAGGTTGGGACGATATCAATGGGAATATCTTAAAAATAGCAGGTGATGCTATTGCAGAGCCACTTTCTCACCTAATTAACGAGTCTTTCAAATCTGGAATATTTCCGGAATTGAAGGCTCAAAATCTGACATAAAAAATTACAGATCGATCTGTGTCCAAAGCCAAATTTCCAAGATATTTGAAGCATCCTACTCAATAAGACTCATAAACTATCTTGAACGATTCAAACTACTGTCTAATACCCAGCATGGCTTCAGAAGTAATAAGTCAACAAAAACAGCAAAATTGGACTGTCTAGAATATATTTATAATGCACTAAATGATAAAAATCACGTTGTAAGTTTGTTTTACGATTTGAGTCGGGCTTTCGACACTATCGATCATGACTTATTACTGATGAAATTGGAAGGCATTGGAGTCCGAGGAGTAGCACATAACTGGGCAACATCATACTTGACAAATAGAAAACAGGCCTTACTCGTTGATGGTGTTAAATCTGATACGAGAGATATACATTTGGGCGTACCCCAGGGCTCCATCTTGGGTCCATTATTTTTTATTATATTCATTAATGATGTCAATGATACCTGCATCTCATCAAATCAAATGATTATCTATGCTGACGATACAAACATACTCATGTCAAATGAAACTCTAGAGCATCTTGTTGAAACAAGCAATAATGCGTCCAAAGAATTGAATAAATACTGTTTAGATAATGGACTCAAGATGAACGTAACAAAAACATACCACATGCGCTTTCTGCCGAAAAATGTCTCACCTGATCACAATTTATATCTGAATGTATGTGGCCGCTCTATCCATAGCACAGAAACCATAAAATTTTTAGGTATAACTCTAGATCAAAAATTGACCTGGGAAGCACATATAGATACACTATCTAAGTTAAGCACTACTTGCTACATAATAAGAAACTTGAGAGAAACCTTATCATTTGACACTTTGAGAATTCTCTACTTTGGGTTGGTTCAATCCACCCTGCAATATGGATTGATTTTCTGGGGTTCTTCCAGTTATTTTGTTCAAGCATTTCGCTCACAAAAACAAGTATTGAGGACTATTTACAAAGCTCCCCCACATTCAACATGTAAACCACTATTCAAACAATTTCAAATCCTCACACTTCCCTGTCTGTATATTTTCCAGTTGATAATGTATATAAAAGAAAATGAAGCAGAATTTCAAAAAAATCGCGATGTGCATCCATATTCCACGAGGAATAGTGAAGCTATCCACCAACACTACTCTAGACTTGGAGTTTCCCAAAATTCGCAGAAATATGTAGGCATTAAGTGTTTTAATAAAATAAGAAGTTTTGTGGATACAAGTAGCACAATAACTATTTTCAAGAAGAACTTGCATACTTTCTTATGTGATAAACAGTTCTATGGAATTGATGAATTCCTCAATTCATAATTTGACTATTCTAATGTAAGTATTCTATAAAATCCTTTAACACTATTGCGAATTTATGATGAATAATCTATTTCTATAGTTATTTCATTCCAAAGTTTTTAGATGCTAGGTTTAAGAGTATTTGACTCCCATTATATGTATTTTATGCTTTTAATTGTATACTTCTAACTGTTTTTGTTTCTGTTTTTGACTAGTCCGATGAGTTTTACATTTATATACTATTCGTAGGTGTATGTAAAATTTCAGTGATGAATAAATTCTATTCTATTCTATTCTACTACAAAATGAGCATTATGTGCCTTTGGTGTTACGCCACTGTTAGGGGTTCAGTTCAGTTCAGATAATAATATGCCTGAAGGGGTACAGAAAAATTACATTCCATCAGCTGTGTAACAACATGACAAGCGTGTCCAGACTATTTGAATGGCGTGAAATGGGATGTTCGAGGTACTCTAACATAGTTAAATAATTTTAAGGGTTCTGTACCATAATACAAAATGACGAATAAGGAAACTGATTTTATTCAGAATTCTGATAATTCATATTTCTGTGAAAATAAACACATTTGTTCTTTTTGCAAGTCGGTATATAAGAAAATAATAAAAATATTGAAATAAGAGCGTTTGCATTTTTATAATGTGTAGTGATGTTTATCATTTGAAACTATCTCATTTATGAATATTCAGCAATATTAACAGAGTTAGGTTCAGATGTTATCCAGCATGTTTTACTAAAACACAATTAAAAATTCGTTCAAAGTGGAAATTTGATGTGTATGAAACAAGTAAGTGATTTTTTTTATATTGCCGGCATTATTTACACCGTTCGTTGAAATGGAATGTATGTTCAACTAAAATATAACACTAAGATTTTAATTTGATATACTGAAGACTCTGAAGCATTGTTGAGTATTCCTCCGTCTTTGAAATCCGATATTTTTCATTTCCAACTTCGATCTCGAACTTTTGGAAAATACCCCTTCAATATCGAAATTTTCGAAAAATCTTGGATTTCATCTAGGAACACGAAATACATCTGGAATTGAAAATTCCCAGTTAGATTAAGAAAATAATTATGCTGATTCTGAAATGGAAGATCTATCGAATATGGGTATAGTGAGCATAGGATGTGAGCCTGATGAAACTATTGAATGTAAGAATATTAGAAATATACTGAATGTGGGCCAAATGATGATCTATTAAATGTGGAAATAATGGGATTATATCAAATGTGGGTATATAGGGGTTATACTGAATGTGGTCCTGGTGATGATCTCTAACCCTCGAGTCGAGTTTTTGTTTCAAGGGTTATGGATTAGATTTTCAGTGGTCATAATGATAATTTTTTGAAGAGCACGAAAGGGAATCCTCACAATATTCGAAGAACATCGCACTTTTGGAGATTATATAGGGTGATTTAAAATTCGATGTAAACATTTCAAGGACATATTGTTGGGATCAAAATACGACTTTTTCTTTGTATAAACATGTGTCCTAAAATTCACCCTCTCCAAGCTACAGCCACTGTGGGTTAGGTAAAGAAAAAAGATATTCTGAAATTACGACTAAAATATCGGATCAAATCTCCTGAAAATTGGCAGACCCCTGTTTTTTTATTTCATTTTTTCTTCAAAAATTATATCAACCCGGTTTTGGGGAAGAATGAAGACACACATTTGCGAATATGATAATAAATTAGTACTAGATTAGTAACAAATTATAGCACTATTGCAAATCTGGAATGTTGAAGTGGTTCTGCTGAGGTTATTGGGGTGGCAAAAGATGGGGCATTGTCTTTCGTGATTCGGCATACATTTTCCTAAAGTTGTGTCGTGCCATGCCATAAGAGAGAACGCATGCCAATTTGCGCTAAGGTCTGGGTTTTGTTCTGCTACATTCCCTCGACCAGCATCAACATTAGGCCGAACATATAGCTCAGCAAAACGGTAACGATTAGGACCCAATCCCGGAAAAAAATCGAGTAGTCGGTTCCTCTGTGGTTTTATATGTTATTGGAGGTGCAAACAAAATTTCCTGGAGCGTTCCGAGATATTAGCAGAAAACAGCGAAATTCTCGCACTTTTTACGTTTCTTTGCCCGTAACTCGGAAATAATACATTATATCGAAAAGGTCGTCCTATAAAAAGTTGAAGTAGATGAAATTTTCTAGATAAAATTGTTCTTGCTCATGAATGTAGGACTGAAGGATGCGGATATAGAGCCAGTTGAAAATTGATCAAATTTGGGTACTTTTCAAAACAATAGCGTTTCTTGTCGGTTTTCACAGATAATGAGTATTTCACGTATAACTCAGAGACATAGCATCATGTACATATTGGCAGAGCATCAAATTTCCTATCGACCTCATGTAAATTTCGTCACTAGTCAAAAAGATGAACGGCTGTTAGAGCGCTCGGACTTCTTGATGTAGACGTCTTTTAGTCGTAGTTGCCATACTCATGTTCATCCTTTCAACTTATATGATATGGATCATATGAACCTATATTCATTAAAGCTATAAAACTTATAAATAAATAGGTCATTGTTCTGTTTCTGTATTCTGTGGGGTGGAATTATAGTTGTTATAAATGCGATACAATAATTCCAAATGCTATAGGGTATTGTTTGAACATTCTGATGAAAAACTTATAAACCATTCAAACCACCAAAATTACCTATTTTGTGATGAATACGTATTAGAATTGATTCTTGCTCATGTGGGTTCCAAGGCGTCAAGGGAAAGAGGCAGCTGATCGCCTAGCAAAAAAGTGCAGAGCTCACATTTTACCTTTCTATGATACAAACAAATGCATTCTGAATTTGATTCAATAACTCAAACAAACTCATTCGACAAGAAAAACAATATTTACCTTCCCGCAAACTCCATGAATCTCAATTGAAGTCATCCTCTTGAAAAGCACTGCCTTCCCATCATTCCTCTTCTTGCTGGTTTCAATTACCGTTTGCAAACCCCTCTCCTTCACCACTCTTGTAGGCCTTCCATCCTCCGAACCTTCATCACATATCAGACACTGTCGATCTGACAGATTCGACCACAGGAAAATAGCTTCAATATGAAACTCGAAAAAAAAAAACGAAAAGAACTGAACTGTAACTTTCGTATTTTGAAATCGCAGTGAGGCAGGTTTATAACAAGCATTCGCCGTGAATTTGACAGTGATCGAAACTCTTCTAACTATATTTCCTCCAAATGTCTCACATTTCTGATATTCGTTGCTAGAAAACTTGATTTTTCTTCTCCGTTAACGAATAACAAGAGGCAGGTAAGGAAATAGTTATTTGTTTAACTAGGCAGCAAAGTAGTAGATTGACTGCCGAGTTGAACATATAATTTTTTCTCCGATTGTTCATAATGATATGAAAGAATATTGTATTTGCGAATTAATACAATTCCCACAATCTCTTTATTCTTCCTGTATAGTGTTCAATTAGAATAAAATTTGATAGAAATCGCAGTTGTTGGTTTGACAATTCATGAAATTTCTGACAGTTGTGCGAAAAAATATCGGTATATTTGAATTATTATATAATGGACAGTGATAGCGACCTGGAAGTATACTTACACCTCCATCAATAAGGGAGGTGGCAAAAAATATAGAGCTAAATTTGTTGCTGGAGAAGTCTCCGATGAAATATGAAGGAAATTATAAACGATCTATGGATTTTTAATTTTGCTGATACATATCAATCAGCAAAGTACCCACTTTGCTGCCTAGGCAGGAAAAGTGATACTGTGAGTGATTTGCTGCCAATCGGAGGAAAACAATATTATTCCTAGTTGATGTGAATATACTCAAGTACAGTGACAAGGCGAGAGTCATGAGAAGGATCATGAGTTACATGCTGACAGAGGTGAGAATTCACATGACTAGGAGTCAGTTTGGTCAATTTTCAACTAGCTCTTTGTCCGCACGCGTAAGTCATACATTCAAGAACTATTAAAATTATATTTAGGAATTTCCATCTACTCCATTATATTTTCGATATAACGTATGATTTCCGAGTTACGGACATAAAATCGAAAAAAGTCCAAAAATTTTGCTGTTTTTCGCGAATATCTCAAACCAGTTCTCAAAAAAGGCAAAACGACCCTACCTAGCAACTACAGACCGATCGCACTGCTATCTATCATTTCAAAGATCATGGAGAAAGTCTCATGAAATATCTGGATCATTCTGGTATTATCAACGATGGGCAATATGGCTTCCGTCATCAGAGATCAACTGGTGACCTGCTCGCTCACGTCTCACATATATGGCAGCAATCTATCGAAAAATATGATGAAACCTTAGCCGTGGCACTTGACATCTCCAAGGCATTCGATCGAGTTTGGCACCACGGACTCCTCGCCAAGCTTCCATCTTATAGCTTGCCTCCCCAGCAATGTTCTCTGCTAGCTAGTTTTCTCTCGAACAAGTCTCTCCATGTAGTGGTGGACGGAGTTTCATCTGACTCTCTTATCATAAATGCTGGTGTTCCGCAAGGATCAATTCTAGCACCAACACTATTTCTACTCCATATCAACGATTTGTTGGAAGCAACTTCATGTCCAGTACACAGCTTCGCGGATGATAGTATACCCTCCATACTGCCTTCTCTTCCAGGGCTCCAATTCCAGCCAGGCAAATCAGAAATGAACGAGGGAGGAATGTTGACATCATAAATATGGTAGATTTCAATGCAAACAAAACACAAGCATGCCTTTTCTCTACAAAAGCTGATCTCACTGTGCCCACTGTGCTTGTCAGGGGTAACCATACATTTGAAGACATCCATTTCGATGCTTGATATTACTATCAGCAATAACCTAACTTGGGACAATCACGTGAGATCAATTGCTGAAAGTGCATCCCAAAAACTTGGCTTTCTGTTTCCGGCCAGGAGCTATTTCACTTCCAGTCAGCTGCTTATGATCTTTATGTCACAGATTCGACCTGTCCTGGAATACTGTCCCCATATTTGGAGTGCATCACCCAAACATACCGTGAAACTGTTGGATTCTGTCCAAAAAAGGGCAATTCGTCTCGTGGGTGATGCCTCGCTCACTAACTCACTCACTTCTCTGGAACACCGTAGAAAAGTTGGTGATCTGGCTCTATTTTATAAACCACTCAGCACTAATTTCGTCGCACACCAAAATATCGCCCCTGTTATAATGTGAATAACTTTTTTCAGTTCAGAACAATTTGAATTTGGTTCACACTGTTCGATAGCCCAGTCCATCAGCTATAATCTCGTACTTCATTGAAACATAAGGGTATTCACATAAAATCTCTACATGGTGTTTTCCGACACTGTGCAAAATTTCGGAATATTCTAAGGCTCTCAAATGGTGAAACTTTTTTTTTTTCTCAACTTCGACAACAGAGGCATGAAGATTATCTCATTACCTCGAGATGTTTCGCGAATCAACTTCCTATCTCTATCTTATTTAGAGAGTGATCTCAAAAAATCAACTTTTTGGTTTTGCAGCCATAACTTTTTTCCACGTCAACCGATCTTAGAAATCTTGAGCTCATTTTGAATATAAAACTTCAGATCAAGAGATATGAATATCAGAATTGACTCAAGATGGCTATCAGAGATCCAGAGTTTTCTTGAAAGTGACCCAAATCTAGAACGCCCTCCGAATCTCGGTTGGGAGGAAAATCAACTTGTTCTCGGAAAAACAATTCATTCTGGATGCGTCCATATTTTCCTCGCTCTCAGTAGTCAAGAATTGTGCGTGAGAAAACACAATTGAAACATGTTCTTGCAAAAACATCAGACCATTTCTCCTCTGTAATGCATGGCCCGTAACCAACGTTACAAGAATCACAATGAGTGACTGACAATCCCGACCACCTAAGGCTCAACATAAATGGTGTACCAACAACCCTATGCGGTCTCGCATTGTCATCAACGAGAACAAAGTTGTCACCCACAATTGCGTTAGATGTGGCATCGAAACTATCGAAATCTGTTTATGATTCGAAAACGACGTCTAACCATATACGTATTAATAAACAATACGGATCATAACGGGTGCCAGGATGAAGCCAAAAATATGAAACAAATGAATATCCATAAGGATTTAGTGGCATGATACGCATGCGCCATGCGCTATTATAGTAGTCATCAAAGACATGCGTTTCGGTGGACAATGACGTTTACTAGCCTTTCAATCGTTTCAAAACTTTTCCTTATGGATAGTCATTTGTCTTCAAAAATCGGCTTTTCGTTTCGCTATGGAAACAGATAGAGATTATCCGTATTGATTATTAATACGTATATGCGTCTAACCTGACTTGTCAGTCACTCACTGTGATTCTTGTAACGTTGGTTACGGGCCATGCATTACAGAGGAGAAATGGTCTGATGTTTCTGCAAGAACATGTTTCAATTGTGTTTTCTCACGCACATTCTTGACTACTGAGAGCGAGGAAAATATGGACGCATCCAGAATGAATTGTTTTCCGAGAACACGTTGATTTTCATTCAGTTCTCCTCCCAATCGAGATTCGGAGGGCGTTCCAGATTTGGGTCACTTTCAAGAAAACTCTAGATCTTTGATAGCCATCTTGAGTCAATTATGATATTCAGATCTCTTCATCTGAAGTTTTATCTTCAAAAGGAGCCCAAGATTTTCAAAATCGGCTGAAGTGAAAAAAAGTTATGGCTGCAAAACCAAGAAGTTGATTTTTTGAGATCACTCTGTAAATAAGAGAGATAGGCATGTTAATTCGCGAAATATCTCGAGGTAATGAGATCATCTTCAAGCCTCTGTTGTCGAAATTGAGAAAAAAAAAATGTTTTCACCATTTGAGAGCCTTTTGAATATCCCGAAATATTGCACAGTGTCGGAAAACACCATGTAGAGATTTTTTGTGAATACCCTTATGTTTCAATGAAGTACGAGATTATAGCTGAAGGACTGGGCTATCGAACAGTGTGAACCAAATTCAAATTGTTGTAAACTGAAAAAAGTTATTCACATTATAACAGGGGCGACATTTAGGTGTGCGACGAAATTAGTGTTGAGTAGTTTAGATACTTCCATGGACGATGCTCTTCTGAAATATCAACAATTGTTCCTCTCATGGCAGTCCCCGCGAGATTAACTCGTCGCTTCGCACCCCTTCGTGGTCACTTTGGAGACTTGCAGAACATCTCTTTCCAAAGACTCGTTCATCCAACGAACAGCGAGGCTCTGGAACACATTGCCAAGGAAGGCGTTCCCCGAGGCATATAACCTCCAGAAATTTAAGAAGAACATCAATTCCTACCTTATATCCCTTGGTTCTCACGATGTTCTCTGAACATTACAGGATATCCCTTTTCCTGGGCACCAGAACATAAAAAAAACGCTTCAGGAAATGTTGTTCGCAAAATTCAGATTCGAATTCAGCACTTCCAAAAACATATGAAACCACAGAGAAACCGACTACTTGAATTCTTTCCAAGCGAAAATACCATTCGATTGGACTAATAGGGATATTTTTATTTTTATCATAATTATTTCGAAATTTCCTAGTTACGGCCCGACCATGTCGACCATCAGCCAACAGATGAACCTGTTCTCCATGACCAGGATGGCCCTGACGTTGGGCCCCGGCCTAGGCTTCCTCTTCTATCTGCATTCGACCACCATCAGCGCAAGGCCTGACGTGCTGGACCGGGAACATCGCGTCAAGGACGTGCCCAGCTATGCCATCAAGGATACGTACGATTTCGTCATAGTAGGCGGCGGGAGTGCTGGGGCAGTATTGGCGAATAGGTAACCATTGATTGGTCAATGATGGCAGTGTTGCCACAGCATGCCGAAAAATAGTAGTAGATTTGGGATTATAAGTGGATTAGATTCTGACTACAGCGGAGTGTAGTACTGATCAAGGATCTTTCATCTCCCTATTCAGCTGTCAATGTCATTGTGAGCGAATATAGTTTCAAAACCGAAACCAGAAGGGGTCTCTTACCCGCGTACCCGCAAAAATTATAGCATTTGATCATGAAGTAAATTCATTAGTATTATACAAGGTGATTCCAAAATAGGTGGTCACTTTGGGAGTATATAGAGTGAGTGAAATAATTACGAAAACCTTGGCAAATTTTTTTTCTGAAGTGCCCCCCAAGAAAGATACAGCCCCTCAAAGGGGGGGGCCGAAAAATGATTTTGTATTATATCTCCAACACTTTGTATGATGAAAATCTGAAATTTTGTTAATCCACTAAATATTCAGTGCCGGTTCGAATGGAGTTAAAATCACCTCAAAATCAAATACAGGGGTGTGTCAAAATAGGGAGGTAGGGGGTAAAAATAACACCAATTTTTTTGTTCATCGCAATTTCAGTTTTTTTACATGACATTATGAGATCTCAGGGCTATTAACACAGAAAAGGAGCTCTTGTTGAATCTCGATAAAATCAACCATTAGCGAATGAAATTTATTTTTCCAAGATTTCATTTGAATTACAATTTCTTATTTCAATAGTTAAAGTAATGAAAGCTTGTTTTCAACAATATTTCTTAATTTATTTTCAATAGGATCAGTCCATAATAACAAAACTCGTCGGCTATTTTGATTTCATGAATTCCGACAACGAATTCTAAATTTCCAACCCCAAAAACCCTCACATACCAATTTTGAATCGTATCGAACCATAATCAGAAATCTGGTCAGCCACATTGGAGCCGCCATAACGCTTTGTCAACTGTCATCTGCCGGATTCTAAGTTGATCAAACGATTAGAAGTACGTAAAAATTCAGTTGCGAGATTTGACCTAGATAATTAAACTCAAGTACATACCAAAATCGCAATTTAAATGAAATCTTGAAAAAATAAATTTTATTCGCTAATGGTTCATTTTATCGAGATGCAACAAGAGCACCTTTTCTATGAAAATAGCCCTGAGATTTCATAATTTCATGTCAAAAAACTGAAATTGCGATGAACAAAAAAGTTGGGGTTATTTTTACCCCCTACATCCCTATTTTGACACACCCCTGTATTTAATTTTGAGGTGATTTTAACTCCATTCGAACCGGCTCTGAATAGTGAGTGGATGGACAACATTTCAGATTATCATTATACAAGGTGTTGGAGATAATGATACAAAATCATTCTCCGAGGCCCCCCTTTGAGGGGCTGTATCTTTCTTAGGGGTCACTTCAGAAAAAATGTTACGGAGGTTTTCGTAACTATTTCACCCACTCTATATGCTCCCAAAGTTTGACCACCTATTTCAGAATCACCTTGTATATACAGTAATGATGTTCTTAGGTTGGGCAAAATATGAATGTAGTTATGTGAGAAATTGAGAATGCTGTTAGAACATCATGAAAAACATGATTTGTTGAGTCATTGTAGTCATCTTACATAAAACATAAGTCTAAAAACTAGGAATAAAGACCCCCTTGTCCATGATTGAATAAAGATGGAAAAGTTCATGAACATGAAAAATTCATCCATGATTTGACCTCAAGACAACTTCCCTCCCCTTACTACTACAAACTGGTTAAAGTACAAACTATAATAAGCCATTATCCACCGTGCCTTCACCCCAAACCAACCCCAAACGTCCCGTCCAAAAAAATAAGAGAATAATTAGATTTAGGTTAAGCCAGAGATAACTCCTCTGTGTTGTCAATGTTGTCATTGATAACATTAAACTATGTGGTCTTGAGAAGTCTAAACAGGATCTTATAGTATCTGCACTGAGTGTAATGGCACTGTTCGTGACTCACCCCTACGTCCGATCAGAGTACAAATCAGTGATTTGTAGAATATGATTAAAAGTAGTAGAGTGATTACGTATTGAAAATTTCAGATAAATCACTCGACCGCCTACTATGATTTCTTTACGTCACAACGAGCGAGACGTTGATTCTACATTTTCCCGCTAGATGGTGATGCTGCTAATGCTGCTGTGAAGAGTGAAAATAAAATGGCAAATGGCATTTTAGGTACGCGGAACATATGTTAAACTGTGATTATTCAACTCTGAATTCGAAAAATCGACGGAACCATTGCTATCGCTGCTCTCGAGAGGTCGAGTAAAATTTCTGAAACAAAAGCGCATCAGTAATTATTACACTATATCTTACTTCCATCATTGATTTGTCGATATTATTATACCAGGGGATTCAATACGCGTGACGAGATACTGAACTGGTCAAAAATCAAGGAACCCGCTTGCATTCTTCAGAACGGTGAAGGTGACATAGATAGAACATGGTATTCACTACTGAAAACTGAACATGAAAATGGTAGATTCAAGATCGATTAATGAAAACATTCTCATTTGTAGATTAAATGTATGTATGATAAATTGACATTCATCATACAGGGCATGGAAAAAAATTTTGAATTGAGACTCTATCACGAATCTGCGATAAGAGGTCTATAAAAATCACAAGTTTCCATCGTTCAAGTTTGAACCCCCTGATTGGGTATGAAAGTGTTGAAAAGGAATATTCTCAGATAAATTATGAACATACAAAAATGGATATATATTTATATGAAGCAATACATTGAGAATTCGCATTCTCTATGTGATGAGAATATCAACTCTTTTTCAGTTTATTCAATAGAAAACAACTACTTTCCTGGCTATATGCCACGACGAACATTGAATTATATCTATTGAACACACACGATAAGAGTTTGAAAATAAAATATGAAAACTTCTGAAATTGAGAATTTGCATTCTCCTTCAGACAAAAAAGTATGTATATGCACACATCATTCTGAATATTCAACAGAAAACAACTACTTTCCTGGCTATTTGCCACGTCGAATCTGATGAACAATAAAAAGGAGAACATGAAAAAAAAAAATAAAAAATCCTCCGGATGGGATTAAAAATGAGACGGTCAAATTGATGGCAGAATATATATCTGCACCTTTGTGTCACATCTTCAACTTATGCATCTCTACCGGAATAGTGCCAAAGGATTTCAAAACAGCAATCATAATACCAATTTTCAAAGGTGGAGTCAAATCAAATGTGGCAAATTACCGACCGATTTCACTCACATCCGTCTTTTCAAAATTATTTGAGAAAATAATCAAAAAGCGACTCATGGAATACCTTAACCTTCATAATATAATTTCAAACAGACAATACGGATTCAGGGAAAACCGAAGTACTCAGGATGCTATAGCATACCTCACCTCACAAATATACGCGGCTGTGGACAATAAACAGCCATGTCTGGGTGTTTTCGTTGATTTAGCAAAGGCGTTTGACACGGTCAGTCATGAACTTTTGCTGGAAAAGCTTGAACACCTAGGCATAAGAGGAACTCCATTGGAACTATTCAAAAACTTCCTCAATAACCGTGAACAAATGGTCAAAGTTAATGATAAAATAAGTAATTCTAGATCGGTTTCCTGTGGTGTACCACAGGGTACAGTCCTTGGTCCTGTACTGTTTGTAATATATCTAAACTCCTTGCTCACCTTAGAAACTTGTGGGGAAATTGTCTCGTTCGCTGACGACACGGCCATTATTTATGTAGCTGATTCGTGGGCTGATTTGAAGGAAAAGGCAGAAGAGGACTTGGTAAAAATAAAAAATTGGTTCGAACTAAACTTGTTAACCGTAAACGTTACAAAAACAAAGATAATACCCTTTTCTTCATATGATACCAACTTACCAACTTACACTATCGATTTTGATGGGCAAAATGTTGCGACGACCCGCAGCGTACGTTATCTTGGAATATTCATTGATTCTTGCCTAAAATGGGATGTCCACATAGAAAATCTTAAGAAAAAAATCCGTTCACTATTGTACAAGTTCTACCAATGTCGATATATACTCCCACTAGAAAAACTGAGATATATTTTGCAATCGCAGAGTCGTTATTGAGTTATGGTATAATAGGATGGGGCGGAGCCCGCAAGACTCTGATGGAGCCTCTGCAGGTCTTACAAAAGAGAATTCTGAAAATAATAACTTTTAAACCCTACAGATACCCATCTGATGAACTCTATAACAATCTTGATATATTAGATATCAGACAAATTTATGTGAAGTCAGTGCTGATGTTCATCTTCTCAAATAAGTCATCCTACCTAAATAAACCTGATCACTCTTATGACACTCGAAGCATGAGAATAAGGAACGCCTATGTACCGAGAGTCAACAAAGCGCTAGGACAACGATCTCTAATGTATAATGCGCCAAAACTATACAATAACGTTCCGGAAAATATAAGATGTATCGAATCAAAGCTTTTTTTCAAGAAAACTATAAAAAAATGGATCCTACAACGTGGAAGAGCATACTTTCACTCGATTATAGATTGAACAAACCCCTTATTTCTTTCATTCCAGTTCCATTTCATGTTATTCATATACACATATCAAGTAGACTTTGTTTATTTTTCAATTTTTCAAATCTTAAATTTTTCAATAATCAATTTTCATATAGCAAATAAATAAATTCTTGAAAGCAAATAAACATAAACCTCTCCATAGACAGTCCCCTCCAGGACTACATGGCGTTTCTGTTTATTTACTTGGTATTTATACATATAATATGTTCTGTAAACATTTTCTTTTTTGTTTGTTACCTAGTAAATAAACATATTCTATTCTATTCTATTCTATTCTAATTCAGAATTGACATTCTTCTTCAAATCGGATGAATAATATGATATATAATGATATAGAAATATAACTTACCAATATATTCAGCATGGAATGTATAGGAGAAGTATACTGGCATAAACTCTGATCTTGATGAGCTTGAAAACTTCCAAAAATAATCATTCATATCAGTGATATGGGAAATACTATCTCTCACACACAGGTTATATGGCTTTATTGCAATAAAACCATTTCGGATTTCTGAATCCTCATCAGTAACCATGATGTCCACTTATTCTTACAGCCATTCTTCATGATATATACAATTTTCATCTCTCTATAATACAACTAAAACATATTTTGCATTTTCATGTTGATAACGGGAGCAGATTCGTTCCCGAAACGTTCCAAGATAAGTAAAAATTCGATGTCTTTTCAATATATCTATATTTCTTTCCTTCAAACATTTTTTCACTGAAAAGCTACTGGATTCTTCTTTTAGGCTCCCTGATGAAAAAATTTGTTAAATGCAGTGACATTTTAGGGAAAATCATCTGATTTGTCCCACTACACTATTGAAATAATACGCGTACTCTTATTTCATAGAAACGAGGAGAGAAAATCCCAAAAAATCAAGTACAATGTTTGTACCACCGATTAACCTACAGAGAGAAAAAAAACATGTTTTTCCCATTTTGATTCTTTTTTCTACAGGTTGAGTGAGAACCCCTACTGGAACGTCCTGCTCCTGGAAGCCGGCCCCGACGAAATCTCCCTCACCGACATGCCCTTGATGTTCCCCACCCTGCAGCAGACGCCCTTCGATTGGCGGTACCGCACCGAACCGGGGGAGAAGTACTGCCTGGGCCTCAAGGACAAGCGGTGCAACTGGCCCAGGGGCAAGGTCCTCGGGGGTTGTTCGGTGCTGAACGCGATGCTCTACATCCGCGGGAACAGAAGGGATTACGATAGGTAGGCGAAATGGCGAAATAGTACCCTCCATACCGCCTTCTCTTCCAGGGCTCCAATAGCAGCCAGGCAAATCAGAAACGAACGAGGGAGAAATCACTATCAATGCTCGGCATCACGGTATCTGACAGTTTATCTTGGCATGACCATGTTGCCAATATAGCCAGAGCTGCCTCTCAAAAGATGGGATTGCTCTTCCGCGCGAAGAAGTATTTCACCTCACAACAGCTTCTGACACTCTATACAAAGCCCAGATTCGACCATCCCTTGAGTACTGTTCGCACGTCTGGGGATCAGCTCCAAAACACTCCCTGAGGTTGCTGGAGTCGGTTCAAAGAAGAGCCATCAGGCTCATCAATGACCCAACTCTGACAAGATCACTGCAAACTTTACAACATCGGAGAGACGTTGCAGACCTATCACTCTTCTATCGCTACTATCATGGACGATGCTCTGTTGAATTGTCATCAGCTGTCCGCCCTGGAATGACCTTTGTTCGCCAAACGCGGCTGGCTTGAGTCTCACACCAATATGCAGTCAAAATTGAAACACCTAGAACAACATATTTCAAGAACTCCTTCTTTTGTAGGACATCTTCACTGTGGAATTCTTTACCCACAGATGTATTTCCAGCGAACTACAATCTATTTACCTTCAAGAGGAGGATCCATCGATATTCGTCCCTCCTTAGTGCTCGCAGTTCCACCACGGGATTATAGGTCCAACCTTTTGCGAGCACTTCCGAATGAAAAAAAAAAAAATGTTGACAACATAAATATGGACTTGGCAACAATTCTCGAATGGGGATCCAATAACTTGGTAGAATTCAATGCAAATAAAACACAAGCATGCCTTTTCTCTAGCAAAGCCGATCTCACGGTACTGTACCCAACATAAGCTTTTCAGGAGTAACCATACCTTTGAAGACATCCATTACGATGCTTGGTATTACTATCAGCAATAACCTTTCTTGGGAAAATTATGTGAGATCAATTAATTGCTAAAAGTGCATCCCAAAACCTTGGTTTTCTGTTTCGAGCTAGGAGCTATTTCACTTCCAGTCAGCTGCTTATGATCTATAAGGCACATATCCGACCTGTCCTGGAATACTGTTCCCATATTTGGAGTGCAGCACCCAAACATACCCTGAAACTGTTGTATTCTGTCCAAAAAGGGGCAATTCGTCTCGTGGGTGATGCCTCGCTCATAAACTCACTCACTTCTCTGGAACACCGTAGAAAATTTGGCGATCTGGCTCTTTTTTATAGATATTTTCATGGATGATGATCTTCTGAAATATCAACAATTGTTCCTCCCTTGGCAGTCCCCGCGAGATTAACCCGTCGAGTTGAGGCTTCGCACCCCTTCGTGGTCACTTTGGAGACCTGCAGAACATTTCTTTCCAAATACTCGTTCATCCCACGAACAGCGAGGCTCTGGAACACATTGCCAAGGGAGGTGTTCCCCGAAGCATATAACCTCCAGAAATTTGAGAAGAACACTAATTCCAACCTTATTTCCCTTGGTCCTCACGATGTTCTCTGAACATTACAGGATATCCGTTTTCGTGAGAACCAGAACATAAAAAAAGTTAATCGGGTGAAGATTTGTACTAGCTGCATACATGCACGTAACTGATCAAAGCGATTTCGGATAAAAGCCATCATCAGTGCTATGATACAGGGTGATTTATCGAATTATTCATTCGTCCATGAGTATCAAACTACCCAGTATATTCTCTTCAAATTTGGTATGGAGCTCATACTTGGGACGTTGAATTTTTGACCTATCGGGTGGAAGAATAATTCAGATTCATTCCATTCTCATCGTAATATTATTAAACATATGAAGTTGAAAGTATGTCGATTTGGAGATTAATAAAATATCAATCATAATGATTGAAATTTACTAGTTGAATAATCGCTGGAAAAAGCTTACTTAGATTAAGTACTTATCGTATTCACTGCTACCAATTTCAATGGTAACGTTTTGTAGGATGTTGGAATTATGTTAATTTGGAAGCATAAAATCATAATGCGATAGTGCGTGATATATAGTTTGTGTTGTTTGTCAGTCTCCACATTATTTCAACTTATAAACAGGAAGTTGCAAAAAGGTCAATTTTAAAAGTATCAAAATCATGGAACTAAAAGTTTACTCAACAAAAATTATGAATATATGGTTCAATACGAACTCTGCGACTAGTATCTACGTTGTTTCCTTTTCATATAATAACTAGCGAAATTCATAATTAGTAATCACCGCCTATTGAAAATACAAATATTAGGTGTAATTCAATATTTTGACAATCAACGAAGAATATCTTACGTACTAGCATTCACTTATAATTTTCATCTTTTCAAATTAACAAAATTTCAACATTCTGCTTCAAAATTTTACCATTAAAGTGACTTTTTTCGAGCGATTATCAAGCTAGTAGATTAAAATAATTATAATTGAAATTCTAATAATCTTCAAATTGACATACTTTCAACATTCTGTTCATTACTGTTACCAGAATTGTTAGCGGGAAAATATAGATCATCAAATTGAATTCAGTTTTGACTCCTTTCCACGATTCCTCTGATGAAATTTGTTGGTTATTAAATACAGTGTTTTTTTATATTTCGAATAAATGTGATTTTTTCCTGAATTCGAACCTGGATTTGCATTTAGCCTGAAAGGTCAATAAATTTAATGTTCCAAGTATGAGCTCCAAACCAAATTTGAAGGAAATATAGTTCATTACTTATGGAATAGTGAATAATTATTACAAATCGATGAATCACCCTGTATCTCCGTTGTAAAGAGCGTAAGACTCATCAAATATGGTATCTTCAGAACCACCTTGATGATGCTACTACTGAAATATTGGCACAGGAGATTAATAACAAATTAATAACATATGAGAATGTGTATCGATGAAAATGACCAACCTATAATTCGAAAATGGTTACGAATATCAATATGGATGTTGGGATGAAAAATGTTCGTGTTTCGATTTCACATCAAATGGCCTAAAAATATATGGGGTGTTCAATTTGAAAATCTCGAGAGAAATCACTTCCAAAAGTTCTGAATTGAAAAATTATTTTCAGCCACCCTGTATAATTTGAGAGCATAACAATTCTAAAGAAATATCACGCATCTTTCCATGATGATATTATGATTATTTTCTCTTGAACTTCATAATTGTGACTACATCAGTGATTTTTTCGGTATGCATCTGCAGACTTTATTTCGACAAAAAAATTAATAACTTTGAAATGATCGAGATATAGTCAACAATATCATAGGAGTTGTCAGAGGTCGCAGGGGAGCTTCAAAAAGTGTGCTAATATACAGGGCGTTCCATTCAAAAAAAGTTATCCTGACGATTTATTCCGGTGACCCCTGTATATTTGGCTATAATTTCTATAATCATGGACCTTGTTGTCTCTATAATCATGGACCTTATTGTTTCTAGCTATCATAGAACTCGAGCAATTGAGCTCCGACGCACTAATGCTCCACCCTGTATAATGTATATCCATCAAATCACCTTGATTTCCCCTATACACCATTTGGCTATGTGAGTATCCTCATGAATCACCGTGTACAAGCATTATTGAATGAAATATTTTTTCGCTATTACAACCCTTAAGAATATCAGGGTGTGAGGGTAGTTTCAATCGTTCTACAATTTCTTTTGAGTTTCTTCGATTACTTTAAAATCAGTGGAATCCTTTAAAATGCATTTTCGTCAAATTTCATTAAGTTCGTTTCATTCAATTCTGAACAGCAAATAAAAACGTCTTTTTTATGTAAACTTTGAACTCCTCTCACAGACAAACGGTACCTTTCTTGGTATTGCAGCTATTGCACGTGAAAGCTATGTTTCATAGCAATTCTGGAACACCCTGTATATATTTTCATCTGAGAGAATGCAAATTTTCAATTTCAGTAGATTTTATTTTCCAATTCTTATTGTATGTGTTCAATAGATGTAATTCAATGTTCGTCGTGGCATATAGCCAGGAAAGTAGTGGTTTTCTATTGAATATTCCGAAAAAGAATTAATATTTTTCTTCAGATAGAGAATGCGAATTCGAATGTTTTTCTTTATACCTACGCATCAATGTTTTTTTTTTCATGTTTATAATATATCTGAGAGTATTATTCCTTTTCAATTATTATTATTATTATTAGATGGGAGTCCTTGGGAAACCCTGGTTGGGGTTATGACGATGTTTTGCCATACTTCAAAAAATCTGAGGACATGAGAATCGACGAATACCGAGAAGACGACTACCACGGAAAAGATGGGTATCTGACTGTCGAACATTTCAGGTAAGTCCTTCTCTGTGAGGTATGCAACCAAATATTCATCGTCCGTCGATTATTCTCACATGTTTTAGTTGCTACGATAAAAATAGAATAACTACACGTCGCTGACGGAAACTCCAGTCGTTTGAGTATATATACGATTGTTGTTCAGTTATCTAACGGGGAGGTTCGAGTCTCTCAGGCTGATGACCTGAATAATGTTGTATCAAACTGATTAATTAAAACTGATGAAATATGGCATAAAAAGCTTGTTTCCACCTGTAGGGACTGCTTTGACCTTCCTTTTTGCCTTCGAAATTTTAAAATTTTATTGGAATGCATCATCGCATGATAAAAATAATACTTCTATCCTAGTTTTTTTTGCAGTAACTACAGCTAACGGACCACTGATAATTTTAATCCTTTTTTGTCTGACACCACATGTTTCCTGAAGCAATCAAACGATTCACTTGCGTTTTTGGCATCAAATATTGTGTTTCATTAATTTCCAACATAGCTAAGATAATTATGGGTAAACAGTATAGGCATTCAAACATATACGTAGCTACTCAGAGTTGAGGTCAGTAAAATGGAACCGATACACAATACACAATGGTCTATTTTTGGAATGCTCTTTGGCCCCAGAATATTGAGAATACATCTCGGGAGAATGTCAGTGTTTTTTTTTTAATAGGTTGTAACTGTTGACTGTTGAGTATTTAAACAATACTCAGTAATTGTAGTTTCTTCTATAGAGTCAGTCACTGGATGATATTAGTTAATAAGTGTTCGGAGACAGCTGGACTTCTGTCCTTTTCTATTTTCTAAATAACAATGCTTGAGTGAATAAAAGATTAAGGCATATTATTCTGCTCTTTCTCTTTCCAATTTCCCTAATACCTCCTATTGATCATTCTAGAACACGTGATATTGACATGGTTTCTTGAGGGGCACACAAACTATCTGTTAGGTTACCTTTGATGAGCATAGCCCTGGCCCCCCCTGCCACATCCACAATATAATAACAGTTTCACCAAACAAAATTATGAAATTCTATCTGTTTCCAACTCGGATTCCAAGGAAAACGATTCCACTAATTCTGGTATTATATGACAAGTCTTGACAAAATACAATATTTTCCCCTTAGCAACCTGTCAAATGACGTAATTCTGGAATGATTAATTGTCAGATACGATTTTAGAGGTTGGATTTTCTGTCAAATCAATCATAGTCGTGGATGGAAAATTGAAATAGGGTATAAACACCCACTTTAATTTATATAGCGATACCGCACTTTGCGCTGGACAACAGTTATAAAAATGAAAAGAATTCATGTAACAACATTTCAATATACGACAAAATAGACACTTTTTCATCGCATGGTGCGCACGTATGGAAATATGGATATACTTATACAGTGTGCCCCACTTTGAGCAGCACCACCTTGGTATTTTCTTAATCGCTGACAGATTTCAGAAAATTTTTGTTTCAACATTTACTTCTCAATGAGTTCTACATTTCTGAGTATCCAACACTCTGATTGCACTACGACACGGCCAACTATGATTGCACTACGACACGGCCAACTATGATAAATTGAAAATGCCTAAAATCAGTAAGTGATATCAGGAATTTTTTCAGCGAAAAACTGACATCCTCAACATGTTAAGAACACCCTCAAATACATGTGGTAAAATTTTCATGTCGATATCATATACAGGGCGACATTTATAGTCGATTAATTTTTGATGCTCGAAAATGATGAGAAAAGTATAATTAACATCATGATTTCATTGAGATACTACTTAAAAACACATGTTTCATAATGACCTTATACACAGGATGATATTTGAACTATACGAATATTTTTTTTGAAGAAAGATAATTAAAAGTTGCTTTTCCACGGCAGACTTGATCATCATTTTGTGAACTCCTTGAGTGAAAATTGATGGGATCGGTATATTTTTTGGGATAATACCATCAGTGAAACTTGATGAAATATTCTTGTCATCCTGAACTCAAGGGTAGGTATTTCAAGACCTTGATGATTTCTTCTTCATCATGCAATCTGTGATGAAATAACTAGTTGAAGCCTTATCGGCAAATGATCAAACCTAAACTGAATTGAACCATTACTTTTTCAAATTAAGTACGTGCCTTGAGGAAAAAAAAAACAGAAAATATGAAAACTGAATTGAAATAAGTATCAATACATACGTCACCCTGTGTATGAGTCATGAAGAAAAGTATGAAACCGGTGTTTTTAAGTAGTATCTGAATGAAATCATGATGTTAATTATACTTTTCTCATTGTATTCGAGCATCAAAAATTAATTGACAATAAATAACGCCCTGTATATGATATCCACATGAAAATTTGACCACATGTATTTGAGCGAGTTCTCAGCAAGTTGAGGATGTCAGTTTTCCGCTGAAAAAATTCTTGATATTACTAACTGATTTTAGGCGTTTTCAATTTATCATAGTTGGCCGTGTCGTGGTGCAATCAGAGTGTTGGATACTCTGAAATGTAGAACTCATTGAGAAGTACATGTTGAAACAAAAAAATTTTGAAATCTGTCAGCGATTAAGAAAATACCAAGGTGGTGCTGCTCAAAGTGGGACACACTGTATGTTAGGGTTGAAAGTTATTTGCTCAATTTTCCTAGATAGGGTCCTGATAGACGGAAGAGGAAACTTCATTCATAGCAAGTGTTCATAGCCTGATGTGGTACCATAAGTACATTATTGATCGCAAACGCTTTATTTATTGTTTCGATTTTCCACCTTTTTCTGCATTCACTTTTCACTGATAAATTTTGAATTTACTCGGTATTGAAATCGCCATTCAATGATATATCACGTTGCAATTTACTTATTTCCTCCGGATTCGTTCTAGAATTTTCAATAATTTCTTCACGTATGTTGCAATAAATTCCTCCATGATGATTTTGTTTTGCATTTGGTGTGATGATAATAATATTTATTTCTTGATAGTTTGTTTTGTAAAGGGATATGGATTCTCTCAAACGGATATTAAAATCGTCTGTTAGAAAATGGGCATGAAATATAGCTCCATTCTAATCTGCTGTTATAAGAAGTGAATTTTCCTCACAAAGCTTGTCTTCAAATTGGTCAAAATGGTTGATATTTCGTTTGGAAATTTTATTAACAATAAGACATTTTCATGTATGGTTTCTTCTCAAAAGTTAATGAAATTATATTCCAATTCTGACGTTCATAAAACGTATTGTCAAATCAGGCATTTTCAATATTTGACATTATTCAATAGAGAAAAAACCCAAAGTCGTCTCCACAATATTTAATGTATAATCTGGCAGTCAATCCTGCTTCATTAAGGTTGATACATGTTTCGGCCATTCAAATGGCCATCTTCAGTCAAAAGAATACAACAAAGTGCATGTGGAAATACTTCAATGCATCATGAAGGCGAAAAAAATTTTTGTTATTGCTAAATCATTATTCATTATTTAAGTTTGATAAAATGGATGTATGAGGAATTGGGAGGAAGGCAAAAAGCCCAATCCCCCAAGAGGAAAGTTAAATACTTCATAGGACGCTGAAGAAGCTCTGTGTCAACCTTAATGAAGCAGGATTGACTGCCAGATTATACATTAAATATTGTGGAGACGACTTTGGGTTTTTTCTCTATTGATCATTCCACTTCACTTTGAGCATGGACTACTACAGAAGATATATAATTCAATTTCTGCGGTATTAGCAGGAGCGGTATTAGCAGGAGCGTCATTTCAGTGAATATACCAGGGGGGTCAAGATAAACTCAGACAACAATGTAGTACGGTGGAAAATTATTCAGTTTCATGTTTTCAGTTTGTTGTAACTCATATGAAACGTTCTCCAGATTTTACGATTTTTTTCATAGTTTCCTTAGATGAAATAATCTCAATGAGGTTGATGAGCTACTGTTTGAGTAGTGATAATGATCTATATCACTAGCTCTAGAACACGTGCCATTATTTACTCCTTTTCAAGGCGTAAAGTGTGTTTCTACTGCGCCAAGTTAGTTTTCGTCATTTTATGAACCACTAGCCAATAAGGGCATAGACACCTCTGAATTTACTGTTCTTATGCAAGATTCGCAAGAATGGCACTCGAATGATTAATAACGATGGTTTTGATCAAAATTAAAAAGAAGTGCTCTCATAGTGACAATATAGGTCCATATTTTAGTTTCACAGAACTATAATGATTGAAAAATCCTGCTAGTGGTGAACAAAATTCAATATACACCTTGGTAGAAAAGAATAATATCACCACGGGACCTTATACCCCTCGGCTTTACTACCCTGTGGTGTATAAATAACTATTATCGAGCAAGGAATACTGACTCATTATTGCAATTCAGTGAAATAATTATAATATACCTTCATAACAGCAAATAAGTTACTCATCAATCTATTGTAAATAATTTGTTATGCGATATTTCGATGAAATTGTCAAATTGCTAAAGGCGCCAATTTTTATATTCTAGAAAAATTTGCCATTTCCTTCCTTATTCAGGTGAATTTTATGTCCGATATCTACTATTATACTGAATGATGTTCGATAAATTTCGGAATGATATTTTTTCAATATAAAGTACTGGCGCAATACTAATGCACGATGTGTATCGTCATGTGGTTACAGAAAGGTTCTGGGAAGAATTGATTTTTTGTAAAAAATCAGGAGGAAAACTGCTCCCCTGATCCCCCTAAATGACGGCCAGGGGTATGATAGCCAATAAATACTGTGTTTTCTGTCTGATGTTTTGACAATGATCTCCTTATTTCACGAAAAAAACAACAAAATTAAAAGTAAATGAATGTATATAGCATGTAGCTTATTTGGTCAACCAGAGTTCCAGTGGTGCCGTTAGCGGGTATTGAATATTGATGTGATAGCAAAGGAAGGAAGGAATGCTCGAAATAATCTCCACAAATTTTAATGATGGTGTCAACCAATCAGGAGGGATTTGTTTCGGTCTTATAAAATACCATCATCAGCCTAATTGAAAGTTTTGGAGTTGAAAAAATGTGATGCTAATACTATAGCTATGAAATTGTTGTCAGTGTCCTTGGCCGAAAAATCGAGTTCATGAATTAAAAAAAGGGTTCTCTAGCAGGTCTTCCTTTCTTTGAGAAATGTTAATGCACTGATTGAGCAATATGGACTTCTACCAAGGATAGATGTGATACATTGAAAAAAATCACAACACTCAATCTGTCACCATCTACTGTCGAAATGTCGTAATATACTGAATGTTTCGCAGATATCATTCCCCTTTAGCCGACTGGTTCTTGGAAGCCGCTCGAGAATCCGGCTACGAAATAAGGGACGTAAACGGGGAATACCAAACTGGATTCACATTGGCCCACGGGACCTTGAGGGAAGGACTGCGGTGCAGTACAGAAAAGGGCTTCATCAGACCAGCTGCCAAGCGGCCCAATCTTCATGTCAGTCTCCACTCAATGGTGAGATAATGATTATGTGAAAATCTAATCTGTATTATTTCTGAATATCATCGATAGCAGAGAGACCCAAGTACTATTTTCAATAATCACCTTTCTTAAACAACTTCCTGATATTTTCATAAAAATGTAAATAAATCATCAATATAAATCAAATTAACTTGAAAAATTCAGCTACCAATAAAATCTATCCATTGACTATCACTGAACACCGGTATCATGTCATCAATATGATGACGTATATCCTACAATGGGCACTACTACGCACGAACTATTAATCCAGTCGGGTTAATAGTCTGGGTTTCCGCCGAGATTGTTCTGCTGCTATTTTCGCATATAAATTAATGAATGATATGATTAGTGATTGTGTCCTCCTCGAAAGTTTCAATATATTAATTCCTCGGTTGACTTCCCGAAGAACAGATTTATTCAATACGAATGTGAAAACTATACGTAACATCTGCCTGGACTAAATTGTGTCAGGATTCAATAACTTCATGTTATTGTCAATTTCAGTAGTTTGTATACTCATATTTTGAATTATTTTGTTCTTGTGATTACTCCCTTTCTGTAAATGATTTCTGTTGAGTGGTATATAAATAAATAGAATAATAATAAAATGGAATAAAATAAATAGTTATGTATATGTCGGTGTTAAACAGTGAAATCCGTCATTCTCTGAAATGCCTAGTCATTCCATGTATTGCCGGCAAACAGAGTAACTCTAAATTTCGTACACCGTTTGCCTAATAGTTTCAGGCATTCCCTGTAATGACGAAAGCAAGGTTCATTTTGGGCTAGTCAAGTTGTTCAGAAACAATACCTAGTCTCTTTTGTTCTCTCAAGTAATTTTTAGAAACACTTACTTTCTAGGAGGAATAAGGTACATTTAAGCCGAGTTAGTTTAGAATTTGTTTAGGAACATTCAGGGCAATATCTGAAATGACTATAGTCGTTTCAGGGAATGACGGATTTCAGTAATTGAAGCCGACATATACACCAAGAATATTATTACCAAGAGACCTTATACCTCTTGGCTGAAGCCTCAGGATATAATCTTGGTCCCTGGATAATAATGCTATTCTTCAATACCAAGGTGTAAAATCAATTTTTTTTCACCACTAGCAAGATATTTCAATCATTATCGTTTTGTGAAACTGAAATATGGTCCTATTATCACTATGAAAGCACTTCTTTTCAATTCCAATTAAAATCTAGTAGTCATGACCATCACAGCACATGACAAGTCGTTATTGATAAATACCTAATAGATTCGAGTATACCAATACAGAGGTGACTTGGTATGTATTTATCAACTAATAGTTCATGAAATGACGAAAACTACCTTGGTAGTAAAACAGCCTCAGTAAGTTGCACATCGCACAGTTTTCGTTTATTCCGCCAGTGTAGGTATGTCATGATCGTGTAATCGCATCGCCGTCAACAGCGGATGACATAACTGTCAAGAATTATAATTCAGACTGTTTGTCCAAACTTTATTGATGTACTTGTAGGTAAAGTATAGTATGTAATGCGTAATATGCTTCTTACACCACATATTACGTAATTTACTATTATGTCATGAGAAGGAGTAGATAATCGTAGGTTCTATAGATAGTGGTGGAAAAACAGTAATACAATAGACGAGGTAGTACTTCAATTCATTGCTTGACGTGACGTATTCTCAGTGCAATTTCAATGGAACTCCAGTGGTTCACTCTCACACAATTTGATGTTATGTAGAGGATATCATCTTAGCCATAACAATAATAACTACTAAGTACACAAATGACGACACATCGACAAAAGGAAAAAAAAGGAAATGGTAGAATCATGAAAAACACATCAATTATTATCCAACGTCGAAAAAATATTGTTTATGAAATGCATCAGATACGACGATGAACCATTGTGATTTTCTGAGAGAAAAAAAATGATTTTTGCCCAATTACTAGTAGATATTATACCACTCAACAAAAATACGATATATTTTACCTATATCTGTGAGCAAATACGTTCTTAGTATTTTTCAGTAGAGTCGTTAGATTTTTTTACTTCTTGAATAGAATCATCAATCAAATACCTACCTTTCAATTTCATATTTTTTTGGAATTTTTCGGTCGATTTCAAGGTGTCAAAATCATCAATAATGCCACGGAAATTTTCAAACAGCTAGAAATTCACCGCCAGTAAAAACTGGCGTGACGATTTCGTAAGTAGGAGAAATATTAGTTATCATATAAATCATATAAATTCTCAATTTATTATGTATTGGTAATATTCCCAATTAGCATTAAAAAATCTTCTGTCTCAAAATGTTCCCTCATGTGTAGCTTATTCCTTATAGAACATTTGTGTAAATAATAATTATATCAACTCACACTAGAGGACATTTGAACTGGGGAATGCTCAGGTGAACGTGACAACACGGCGCACGACTTGTGGGCGTGGTCTTGTCAGTTCTCAACATTCAGCACAATGTTGCCAAGTCTCCAACATTAACATGATATTTTTTTATTGATCAACATGGAATCAACTATATCATGGGTTCCTCCTATTGAATGTTATATACAATGACAGGACTCTAACATCTTTTTGATGACTTGATCATAATTGGTAACTTGGGAACCTTGCTTCATGAGTGGGAATGAAAGATTATCTGACCAATAACGAAACAATATAAATGACGGTACGGAGTAATTGAATTCCAATAATTCAATATTAGTCCACTCGCCTATTGTTGTTGTTCCTAGACAATTGAGTTGAGGAAACAACAATATCGTATCGGCAATGATTCATATTTGGAGTAAGTAGCTGAAAAAATTACCAAATTATTACTTATTGCCTTCAAACTCAGTGATCCTAACATGAATATAAATCATGAACTATGAATTTGGGTTGTGAGGGGTTGTATATAATCTTAACCAGAAGAAATGGAATGAACGGTCAAATAAATACAAAACGGCTATATGGTAAAGGAGAGAAAAACAACTACTTTCCTGGCTAATGCCATGCAGAACATTGAATTAGATCCTCCCGAACTTTATGCATCGATATGTATGAACGAATACTAATGCAAGTGTTTCTTTCCCTAATGCCGATTAATTTAGATTAAGCCAGTTTACCGCAACGACACATACAGACCGATTTCGAGATCCTTGACTCTCATCAGTGTAGGGTATAGTCATAGTCTCCAGCTAGCAGTCCGAAGACCGCCGGCTAAGCGTAACCTGGCCCAACGAATTCCAATCGGCAATATTAATGGTCTGAGAGGAATCTCTCGTGGGCACAGGTGTGCCAGACGGGTTTAACACCATCTAGACCACATAAAAGGAAAGAAACACTCTACAAAACTGTAATACACAAAAATGGGACTGGCTGATTGTCCGACTGGCGTAATTTCAACTACGAATTGTATGTATTTATTTTACATTACTTTATGATTCCAGGTGGAGAAAATATTGATAAATGAATATACAAAGCAGGCGTACGGAGTTGTTTTCAACAAATTCGGACTCTCGAAGACGGTTTATTCTGACAGAGAAGTGATACTGAGTGCCGGCTCGCTGGCAAGTCCTCAACTACTGATGTTGGCAGGAATCGGACCAAAGGAACACCTCGAAGATGTTGGCGTGGAAGTGCTGGTCGATTCACCAGGCGTTGGAATGAACTTGCAAGTAGGTTTCAAGGTTTCTTGAATCCAACTGCTAGATCTCATAACTAAGAGATTCAAGATTTAACTGAGTTGCCCCGATTGTCAGCAGGAGCAAGACAGTACTGTTTCGATCCACCAGGTCTCATCAGCCGCTCTCGGTCTGCTGACAACTGGTACAACTCTTCGCTTCGGGTATATCACCCATTTCGAAGACGCAGGGTATAACATGAAGTTCTAGTCATGTTGTAGCCATCTAGTGGCAAAGCTCTAAGGTAGGATCAAGTTCATGTCATACCCTGCATCTTCGAAATGGGTGATATACCCAAAGCGTAAAGTTGTCCCAGTTGTCAGCAGACCGAGAGCGGCTGATGAGACCTGATGGGTCGAAACAGTACTGTCTCGCTCCAACTGACAATTGGGGCAACTCTGTTCATCTCTTAGTTATGAGATCTAGCAGTTGAATAGGTCGGTGGAAAAATCCGCTCAAGTATTTGTCAGGTAGTGCCATCTGTCAGCAGAGTGATTTACTGTAGCGTATAGACGTGAGGGTCTGTACTTGTGACTATAGATGGCAGCGCGATCTCTTGATCCTACCTCAGAGTTTTGCTACTAGATGGCTACAACATGACTAGAACCAAATGTTATACCCTGCGTTTCTTGAATCTTTCAAATTCCTATCAGAGTTACTATACGTGATGATCTTCGAAATGAGATTGGCAATTCCACAAAAACTTATACAGCAGTGTGATCAAAAATATCAGAAGTGTATATTGTTGAATAACTGAACAAAAGTTTGAATTTTTTCTCAACTGATATAGGATAAGGGAGTGATTTGAAACTATAAACTATTGAAGTGTCGTCTTTCTACAGATATCATATCCATATCATAGCACCCTTCATAACATAATATGATTTCACTGTCCATATAAGAAATATGAATATCAAGAAAGCCCCTGGGTCCAGGTGAAACGTTTCATGAACATGATGTTTCACTACAGTATATATTATTTATTTGGAAGACTGAGAAAACTTCAACTTACCACAAAATATAAAGAAGACTCTGGAGTCAAGCAAAAGCCAAAGAATTTTATGAAAATACTTTTGCGTATCTTATCTTCTGTAGTTGGGAACTGCGCAATGGTAATTTACCTGGAATAAAAAAAACGATTATTATATGAATGAACATAAAATGGATTGACAATTATTACGATATGGTATGAAAAACAAAGACTTCCAACTGTTCTCTATGTATTTTGGACATAACTATTGGGACATATGCTAAGGGCGGATTATTTGGACCTAATATGCCTTGATAAAATATTACTGTGGAGAAAGTTTAATATTTTTCTCCGTTATTTGCTAATAATTTCACTGTAAAGGACCCCGCACTTTTAGTACGTAAAATGGTTCTCGGTGAAATTTTCTGAATTTTCAGTATGTTGTAGAATTCGATGAACTGATTGAACCTGCAGAATCGTAAAGTTCTTTGATGAACAGATTCTGAGATACAGGGCGTTGAAGTTACAAATCGGTATTTTTCATTTAATTATTTTCTCAAAATTCAAAGATGCCAAGTACAATTTTTTTCGCTCATAATAATATCATCAACGAACCTCTATATCACTCAACATAATTCAGATGGTTCAGATAATGTAATTGTTTACAGAGTGAAACATATAAACATTTCAGTGATGTCTGAAAATTCGATGTAATAATGAAATATCGAAAAAATAATTTAGGCATGCAATATACTATCCTCATTCCATCATGAATCACAATTCATACATTTCATACAGGGTGATTTGAAAAATTGGTGACACTTAAGACCGATTTATTCATACACATCCTGTATATTCGAGTGAATTGTTAACCTCCCAAGATAGCTGATACCTTATGAACATGATTTCGTTGAGATATATAGGGTGATCATGAAGATTTTCGATGATGAAAATGACAAAAAATCGTGTTTTTTGAAATCACCCTGTTATTCATGATTAACTCGGTGAAATTCCCTAATTATTTTTTAATATATTCATCATTCGCTCCTCAACGCTGTCTTGAAAATTCAGTTTCCTATCATGACGGGTGTCATAGTTATTAATTCAGGAACTTACCATTTGCATGAAGAGTTGAAGAGACTTGTTCACTTACATTCGCATAGTGGCCGATATTTTTCACAAATAGTGAAACGTGGGAATCTGGAGAAGAAAATGAGTTTAGTATTCATATACAGGGTGAACATAAGAAATTCAATAACAATAGCAGATATATGAATTTAATAATATTAATATAATGTACAGATAGTTAGGCGAATTTCGTTGGTATACAAGCTCTGCCAAAATGAGAAACGAACAATACCTAGGAGATGGGAGAATGATTCGGTCTTTCACGCTTCCATTTCTAATAGGGAGAGTTGAATCCTGGAATCGAAATTCGCCTAACTATCTGTACATTATATTAATATTAGTAAATTCATATATCTGCTATTGTTATTGAATTTCTTATGTTCACCCTGTATATGAATACTAAACTTATTTTCGTCTCCAGATTCTCACGTTTCACTATTTGTGAAAAATATCGGCCACTATCGTCACCACCAAGTGAACAAGTCTTTTCAACTCTTCATGCAAATGGTAAGTTCCTGAATTAATAACTATGACACCCGTCATGATAGGAAACTGAATTTTCAAGACAGCGTTGAGGAGCGAATGATGGATATATTAAAAAATAATTAGGGAATTTCACCGAGTTAATCATGAATAACAGGGTGATTTCAAAAAACACGATTTTTTGTCATTTTCATCATCGAAAATCTTCATGATTACCCTATATATCTCAACGAAATCATGTTCATACGGTATCAGCTATCTTGGGAGGTTAACAATTCACTCGAATATACAGGATGTGTATGAATAAATCGGTCTTAGGTGTCACCAATTTTTCAAATCACCCTGTATGAAATGAATGAATTGTGATTCATGATGGAATGAGGATAGTATATTGCATGCCTAAATTATTTTTTCGATATTTCATTATTACATCGAATTTTCAGACATCACTGAAATGTTTATATATGTTTCACTCTGTAAACAATTACATTATCTGAACCATCTGAATTATGTTGAGTAATATAGAGGTTCGTTGATGATATGAGCGAAAAAAATTGTACTTGGCATCTTTGAATTTTGAGAAAATAATTAAATGAAAAATACCGATTTGTAACTTCAACGCCCTGTATCTCAGAATCTGTTCATCAAAGAACTTTACGATTCTGCAGGTTCAATCAGTTCATCGAATTCTACAACATACTGAAAATTCAGAAAATTTCACAGAGAACCATTTTACGTACTAAAAGTGCGGGGTCCTTTATCAATTGTCACCAAAATCGGGACAGAGTCATAATTTTATACAGGAAATATTATTTTGTGTATCATTCGAGTGACAACTTTTTGATTGAATAGCTCATTAATTTATGAATAGTGTGGTTTGGACTGTCAGATATTTGTTGCTGATGAATTAAATTTCTTGCCAGTGAATAAATTTTTTTTAGGCAATACTTTTTCGATTGAAACGCCCTGTATCTTTTTTTACAACAATATTTTATTGATGCATATTTTGTCCTATCGCCATATTTTAGTCCAAACAATCTGCTCTCAGCCCATGTTAAAATAGTTATGACTCACCCTGTATATTATGAAATATTGATCGAAAAGTGTATATAATATGATCTCGAGAGAATTAGAGTGTTTGCTGCAATATTTTTCAATAAAATCAATGCAATTTTGTCTAATAGGCAAAATGCATATAATTGAACGATGAAGTGAATTTCGTATCAGCAAATTTTATTTTTCTGCTACCGACACGGAAGTCGTCCATTTCAATACCAAAATTAGCTCTTGAATTGACGTTTCTATTACTGACACAAACATAGGTATGTTGCTAGGCAACACTTTTAGTTCCTAGGAACTAAAAATGAACTTTAGCTCCAAGGAATTGAAAATGGTGTACTAGGTCATCGAGAATTAACAACATTGTTACGGTTAGTTATTCGGGTTGACGGGATTTGAATAACTTTCTCAATTGAAATTAATATATTTGACAACATATACAGCGTGTCTCATTTCAAACGGCCCCCCCTCTATATCTCAGCTATCAGTCGTGCGATCTTTACCAAATTTGTACCGGTATGAATAATCATCAATATGACCAGTTCTCCAGAGTCAAACATCATTTTAGACAGTGCCGTGCATTTTTATTGCAATGAATAGGGGTCAGTTTTTTATTGAATCATATTATGCACTTTTTAACAGGTAATCTGACCTCATATAGTTATTTTTGTATCTAGAGCGCGAAATGCTACTTTGGTGATCGAGATCTGATTTTTTCAACGAGGCGTAGCCGAGTTGAAAAAATAGTCGAGATGACCAAAGTATTTCGCGCTCGAGTTGCAAACAAAATTTTTTCTATAAACGTCAAAAAATATAGTTCTAAAGTAAAAATATGTTTAGCTTGATATAAAAAATAGTGTTGAACTGGCTTGAAAGGCCTCCCCCTATCCTCCCTAGGTACGAACGATGTTTCACGAACATAATAGGAATTTCCTTTCGTGCGCTCCAAGAGATAAAACAAAGTTATCGTTGAACATTCAGAAATAAATGATTTCGTGGATGTTTGCTCGATTGAGGACCATAAAGTTGAAATATAAATATCTCATATATTTTACATAACAATGCGCGAAGTAGGTACTTCGCGCACTGTTTTACATCGCGCATTGTTTTGTGCAAGGTATCATGGTAACGTAGGAAACTGAAAAAAGTGTCACTTCGCAATTCGTTATCAATGCGCGAACCTTGTCATTTTTTGACGTTTGCGGAAAAATATTGTTCTTCATGGTTTCAAACTCACATATGTGGATTTTCATAAGATGAAGAAACAAGCACATATAAACAGCATTTTTGCGAGCGTAATAATTATTTACTCGGAAACGGTGAGTTCAACATAAAAAGAAGTATAACTCGTTTTTCCTTCCAAATCATGATTCTCCACCTACTGGAGCCATTGAACGTTCCAAAATTCGTAGTTGATTTGAAGTCACTATTTATTCGAGACTGAAAATGAAAAAAATGAAGCCAATCCTGTTAATTATTTTTTGCATATGGAGGTTAGAAAGCATGAGTAACAATAATATGAGGTTAGATTTCCTGCAAAAAAATGCCTAATATGATTTTATGAAAAATTGACCCCTTTTTAGTTCAATAAAAACGCACGACCGAGCGCACGACACTTTCCAAAATAATGTGCATCTCTGTAAAACTGATCATATTGATTGTTATTCATACCACACCAAATTTGGTTGGAATCGCATGACTAATAACTGAGATATAAAGTGAGACACGCTGTATATTCAATTTAACAAAAAAATAACAAGAACGATATTGTTACAAGTGTAGAAAATCTTGTTTTTCTGTGTAGACTTGTACAGAATAGTTCAACTCTTTCAACATTTATGATTACTAATTCAAAAAATTTGATGTAGAGACAATGTATGATTAAATCGAATGCCCTTATAACACCCCCTTCTGATAGCATTCACCCTATACACGACCATGGTCAAATTTCAGGATCATGCAGCCCTAGGAGGAGCAACTTATCTCTTCGAACCTACAGAAGAGTACGATGATCAAGTTTGCAGCTTCCAGCTTCCGAAAGTGTTCTCCACTGAAACCATCAACCAGTTCACACAAGAGAAGACAGGCCCTATTTACTGGTTACCAGAATGTGAGGTAACTATAGGTGTTCGAAGAAATCATGAACCGCTAAATGGCGCTGAAAAAACGTCTGAGTAACGTCTATTTCTGAAGTGAAGTGTGGTTTTTGAATCCATATTTTGAGACAATTTTCGAAATTATTATTATGATATTTTATATGACCTATATGATAATGAATAGGAGATGAAGATCTCACATCCATCATGCGATGTTCATTGATTTATTCCTCTAATTTATTAATGAAGAATTTCCTCCATTTTGATCTCCTGTTGTTATTGTTGAAGAAATTTTAATTATTCCGTAACATTTCACCTCTATTCCCGTTAGAAGTAGAGTAAGTCTCTAACGATACAGGGATGTCCCGCAGTGGTTGTCCAATGCACATCTTGTCTGGTATATCCATAGGTTGTTTTATTCATGTCTCTGAGATATTTGATATCAATTCACATCAGAGTAATTGCGTTTCATCTTGATAAAAAAATATATAAGTAATTTCGAACCATGAGGGTTTCATAAACATAAAGGTAATCAAATCATCCTTTGACATTGAATTATATAAACTGACCAAGGAACTCTCATGAGAAACGTGCAAATCTAATAAAATGATGTATATAGATAGTGGATGTGAGGGTTCCAAAGTTAGTCTGGTCTGGGGCTACTCTTGACTTGACAAGAACTCGTCGTAATGGACATTATAATGTAAGTTGTTATTAGGTCTTTATATCCATTGTTATTCTTTTATATTCATCATCACTTCAATCAATCAATCAATCAAAATATGCTTTATTATCAAAGAATTATATCTTATTGACAAAGCGTGTATATATAAATGTAAATTAAATTAATAACATTTGATAAATGTATAAAAATAGTCACTATCATATAAAATTGATTTTAATCAAAACAGTCCCATATTGAAAGTCGCATGCATACACATACATAATAGTTATTTATGTATCAAGGGCGTAAAGTAGGCGTTTATGGCCTGTGGCGTGAATAATGGCCCGATGGCGCTAGCCGAGGGCCATTACACGCTGAAGGCCATAAACTCATTTCACGCACGTGATACATACAAAATTTTATGCACTAGTGGTTTATTTTCCCAAAAGTAATGACTACAGATTTCGATAAACTAATATTCCCCCGAATTTAATTTGTTCCGTATAAATTCAGTAATCAAGGGAAGCGTAATGTTCATGGATGATTTACATATAAAAATTATCGTACGAATATTGCAATTATCGTAATAGTTGAACACTTTCATCTCTAGAAGAGGTTCATTCTTCAGAATTTCACAATATGCATACCCAGTATATATACCTACCTAATTTTGACGTTGTCAAGCAAGCTGATGGTTGTTGTCTATAGCAAACAAGCTGAATTGTCATTCTTTGACTGAAAAGTTAAAATTAGTGACAACAATAATAGCGAGACCAAGCGAGACTATGGAATCGGATAAAGAAGAAGTTTATCAGATACCGCTGGATATATTAGAATCAGCGGAAAATGCAAAGCTCGAATTACTACCGGCAAAGTCAAAGAAATTATATGAAAAGACGCATGATGAATTTATCAGATGGGGTGATGAAAATAATGTGAAGATGATCACAGAAGATGTACTACTAGCATATTTTTTTGAGAAATCTAAGGATCGTAAACCCTCCTCTTTGTGGTCATACTATTCGATGTTGAAATCAACTCTGAATTTGCATAATAATACCGACATAAGCAAGTACCCAAGATTGATAGCATTTTTGAAAAGAAAGAATGATGGATATAAGCCGAAGAAGTCTAAAATATTGAAGAGGAATGAAATTGAACTCTTTTTGAAAAAATCTCCAGATGACGAATATTTAATGATCAAGGTATGATCCACCTAATTTATTCTTTGAGAAATTTCAAAACTGATGATCATTTATAGGGTGCACTTATATTTGGAATACATGGTGCCTGTCGCAGAGAAGAATTAACGAATCTTATGGTTGATGACATTCAAGATTTAACTGATGCTTTATTGATTACAATTAGAGAATCGAAAACTAAAATTCAACGAACATTTACAGTCATCGATACTCAAAACCAACCAGTTGATTATCTGGGTATTTATAGGAAATACGCTAGTCTACGACCCGCAGATACTGAACATAGGCGGTTTTTTGTATTCTATAAGAACAACAAATGTACAAAACAAGTTGTTGGAAAGAATATTTTCGGTCAGATCCCTTCGAAAATTGCAACATTTTTGAAGCTACCGAGCCCAAAAGAATATACCGGTCATTGTTTCAGGCGTTCTTCAGCCACTTTATTGGCTGATGCGGGGGTAGGTATCACCAATATCAAAAGACATGCTGGATGGAAATCAACTACAGTAGCTGAAAGCTATATCGAAGAATCAATTTCAAATAAAATCAATATTGCTAAAAAAATTGCCAGCGATGATATCGGAATGATACCAGATGATCATTCAAACCAACCATCGACTTCTAAAATTAATACTACTCATTGTTCTCGTAGCAATGCCGATACTAGGCAGCAGCTCCCAAGAAGTTCCAATAATTGTCTTCAAGAAAAAAATGAATATCCAAATCTCAGCATTAATAGCTGTACCAACTGTATTATTAACATAAAATTTTAATGTTCAGTTTTATGACATAATTTGATATTGAAAGAATTGTCAATTAATAAATAAATGTTGGTAAGAAGAGTTTTCCTTCATTGATCTGAATCTATTGACTCGTGGACAATATATAGGCATTCAAATACTGTATGAAGGTTAAATCGAGGAGGTGCAATGTTCAATTCACGAGGAGAACGAATCCCGAAAAATTTAGGAAAATGATCATATGTTTTTCATGAATTTCATGACCGGTTTTGCGGGCGGTAAAGTGCAACTTAACGCCCGCAAAACCGGGCGATAAATTGCACTTTACGGCCCGCTAGTGCATAAATATGTAAACAGTCATATACCCTTTTTTTAAACATGGAATTTCATAAAAATCATTTGAAATCCAAAACTTCAAAAATTGAAAGTTTAAAAAATATACAAATTCTAAAATTTAAAAATCCTCAAAATTAAAAAATTTGAAAAATTCAAAATATTTAAAATTCAAAATAAAACAAACAGAAGGTATATGATATCACAGTGTATAGTTTTGGTCTACTTATCACTCTATTCTATCCTCATAACTATAATAGGCTCTATCGGAAAGAACTCTTTTTACTGCTTTTCTGAACCTGGCGTTGGACGGTATATCTTTAATATTATTAGGAAGGTGATTGTACATTTTGCTGCCGTTATATATAATATGAATCCTTAACGAGAGTGGAGGATGGTAATGGTAGTTTGAGATGGTTACTTCGACGGGTGGCGTACCTACTCTCTGTAATGAAATTTTGTTTGTGTTTATTTATGAGACACACTGTTTCGAGTATAAATATTGACACTATGACACTACCGTGAGTAGGTATGTTGTGTTGCTTGAAGTAAAGTCTGCACGAATATCGAATATCTCAAGGCTCGTTTTTGTAAAACAAAAACACTTTGGAGAACATTACCACTGCACACTCCCCAGAATGGGATACCGTACCGCAAATGTGACTCTACCAAGGAGTAGTATACTGTCTTTGCGGTTGAGTATCCTAGTATATTTGCAGCAATTTTCACAACATAACAGCCAGAAGACAATTTTTTATTCAAGTTTTTCACATGTTCATTGAATTTAAGACCGTTGTCAATATATAGTCGTAGAAATTTAGAGCACACACTGTTTTCAATAGTCTGGTAGTTTATATAAATATCAGCAATTGCACATTTGAAAGACACTATCTTGGTTTTTAATATGTTGAAGGACAAAAGGTTCGAGTCGCACCACTCTTTGACTTTTATTATATCTGAATTGATGATAGGATGAAGATCAGCTTCCTTATCTTTTAGTAGAAGATCCGAACCTAAATCGACCTTCACCGAGCTGATAATAGAACGAAATATATTTTATCATGAATTTAGTATATTAGAAAACATATTAAAAATGGGTTGGCTAAAAAAATCCTAGGCGGACTATTTTTGATTATCTTTCGAAAAATGATTTTTAATTAAATGTTGCAACATCAGGATAATAAAAAAAAATTGTCCTGACTGAAAGTATAAAACGTATAGAATGTGCAGCCGTTGGGTTGTCTACTATTTACCTGGGCGAACTACTGGGTTGTCAGGTAAACACAGGTATATCAATGCCAGTTACTTTCACTGGATTGGATAATTAAAAAAAAATTATATCATCATAAGCGCTGTTTAATTACGAACACGTTGATATAGGGTTGTCTGCGAAAATTCCGGTCCTATTAGGGGTTTGCGAATTTTAAAGATTTTAATTTCAACGCGCGTGGAAGTGTGTGACAGAGAGATCCGAGGTAAGTATACTGTGTAATAATAAAGGACCCAACATCGCAGTCGCTTGTGATGGGACCCTGAATAGTAGAAAGTCCGCATGCACGGTGTGTAAACTATGGAGGGTAGAGGTACCTCTACTACCCTTCATATAGTAAACAGTGCGTGTTATTTTGGAGCAACTGATATTTCAGTAGCAAAAAAAAAATTAAATAATTACATAATAATTAAATATATTTAATATAATACTAATATATAAAAACAATATAATATCAATATATTGCGTTATAACCATAATAATATATCTATAATCTATAATAGACAATAAAAATATCAATTACTTACTTTGAAATTTTTTTGCTCTTTCTGGAAATAGAAACAAAGTGGACCGCCAAAAATTTGAATTAAGAAATAACAAAAAAGATAGACTAGACATCTTGTATTACGATTTAAAATTTTATTAAAAAACAGTATAAATACAAAAATAATATTAATGAAAATTAAATTCTAATAAATATTTTCTATTCAATATCTGATTCATCAGAAGTATCATTTTGACTCTCGAATTCGTCTGATTCATTAGATTCTTCCTCATTTGCTTCCATTTCGACAATGTCCTGGATTTTCAAAGGAGTTTGATCTCCGATAAAACCTGTTGGTTTTAATAAATCATCAAAATGCCAACCATAGTTTTCAGGATTCGACTTCGCACACTTCGCACACTTTCTACTATTCAGGGTCCCATCACAAGCGACTGCGATGTTGGGTCCTTTATTATTACACAGTATACTTAACTCGGATCTCTCTGTCACACACTTCCACGCGCGTTGAAATTAAAATTTTTAAAATTCGCAAACCCCTAATAGGACCGGAATTTTCGCAGACAACCCTATATCATCGTGTTCGCAATTAAACAGCGCTTATGATGATATAATTTTTTTTTAATTATCCAATCCAGTGAAAGTAACTGGCATCGATATACCTGTGTTTACCTGACAACCCAGTAGTTCGCCCAGGTAAATAGTAGACAACCCAACGGCTGCACATTCTATACCTTTTATACTTTCAGTCAGGACAATTTTTTTTTATTATCCTGATGTTGCAACATTTAATTAAAAATCATTTTTCGAAAGATAATTAAAAATAGTCCGCCCAGGATTTTTTTAGCCAACCCATTTTTAATATGTTTTCTAATATACTAAATTCATGATAAAATATATTTCGTTCTATTATCAGCTCGGTGAAGGTCGATTTAGGTTCGGATCTTAGACTATTTATGCCATAGTATGGTGGTATCATCGGTGAACAGGGTGACATTTCCTGAAATGTCAAGCGTCGTCAGATCATTAACATATAGTAAAAACAAAATTGGACCCAAGACCGATCCTTGCGGAACACCACATTGTATATTACCTAAGCTTGAAATTGATTTTGTCCTAACTACTTATGTGCGGCCAGATAAATATGTCGTAAACCATGATGAGTGTGCTTTATCTCGAAATCCGTAACGGTGAAACTTCCGCAACAGTATCTCATGATTCACACAGTCAAAAGCCTTAGATAAATCACAAAACACAGCCGCGGCAACTCCACCATCATTGATCCCAGTAAACAGTTCACATAACAGTGAAAATATTGCATCATTTGTGTTCTTATTGCACTGAAATCCAAACTGTTTGATGCTCAATATATCACAAGCCTGCAGAAAGGCAAAGATTCTCTTCTTAACGAGTCTTTCGATGATTTTGGCTAACGTATGAATGAGAGAAATAGGCCTAAAAATCATGGGAGAGTTCACTTCACCACCTTTATAGATCGGTATAACAATTGATGTTTTAAGAAAATGTGGAAATATGCCTTCTCTGAAGGATTCATTTATCAGAGATACTAGTTGGTTCAGGGCATTATTTGGAAGATTTTCAAAAATCCTAACATAAATGTCATCAATTCCAGTTGCGGTTTTATTTTTAATATCATGTAACTTCACCCATATTGTTTCGTGTCATTGAAAATATTGTTATCTTTGAATATAGTCTTATGCTTTCAGTTACTCCTAAACTATTAGAACCTATTTGAATATTACCTCTAGCAAACTATTGAACCAAGCATTACCCCCTATAAATCGATATGAGTGGAGTACCATCCCTATGTCGTGGCATAGTGGAAGTCCTTCCGCTATGTCATGACATGGTGGACAACAGTCCTTTTATTGAATTTTTTTGAAAATGTTTGTTTTTCTTCCCGACAATAATTGTGATGAAAATGAAGACTAGTCTCAGAACTTCTAAAGAAGGGACCATTTCGCAAACAGAAATCGTAAATGCCAATGGCCAATGGAGTGAGGTGCGCGTGCCTGATAAGCTAAAGGTCCCGGGTTCAAATCCCTACTTCACCTAGGGGTCGCCAAGACCAGAATTCTTGTATCAATACAACTTCTTGTCATGTCTTGAAAAAAGTCAAGAAAGTTCGAAAAATCTTGTCTAGTAGTATTTCTTGACATATCATTTCTTGTCTTGACTCAAGAAATTTCAAGATCTTGAAACTCGATTGACCGGTGACACCGTACATGGTGATTCCCCTCGAACTTATTGTTGCGTTACGTGCCAGGGATGCCATCTCGATTTTCATTTCATCAGTAGATATACCTTGTCGGAAATTCTGTAGATTGCTGTCGATTCGTTTCATATAAAAATTTCAGGATAATGAAATGAACCTATGACGTCAAAACATATGTATTTTTCTGTGACGGGAAAAAAAGTTTCACATTTTATCTATGTGACATTTAGCAAAATGTCACTTTTCATAAAATTACTCTTTTCCTGCGAAAAAAGTGAGTACTTTGTAACCAACATATAAAGCGCTTTAGGAAAAAATGCATGTATCTACAGAGCATGCCCAAATATCACCCAAGATATTATGAGAATATGTGATTAACTGAAGTTCAATATTAATAGGTGATTGTGTCATAAAATTTTTCATTCATTACGAATGTTTCAGTAGATTAGCAGATCAATATGGAAATCAGTAGATCTCCTGAAAATTCTGTTGGACTAGCAACCCTGTCGCGTGCTAACACGGCAATCTGGTGGTTCCTCACTCTTTATTTTTGTTTTCAAACGAAAGCAAACGACGTCGCGCACTTGCAATGATGCCAGTTTGTGAAGTGGTGATAAAAACTACATTATATTGATATTATCACACATTTCATCAAGAGTGACAAACGCACGTTTCAGCGTTTTCATTCTTAGTCAAGAAATTTCAAGATTTCCCGTTTTCTTTACGAGAAATCTTGGTATTGACATAAAATTACTTGTCTTGTCTTGAAATCTAAAATTACTTCTTGGCCTGATCTTGTCTTGAGATCAAGACAAGATACACATTTTTTAACGCAACGACATTTTGGAGCAGATCATATGATTTGTCCTCAATACACGTATGATTGAAATAATACTTATATTTTCACTTCATCGAAACGAGGAGAGAAAATCACAAAAAAAAATTAAAAAAACACGAAATCAGTACTGATTCCCAGCTGCAAAACGAAATTAATGCTAATTTTGAGTTCTAACTCAGAATGAAAGAAAACAATGGATGAACTTTCTACGCTATCGAATTATTCGGATCTTGATCTATTGTTTTTTCTCGACTTAGGTAATGGGCTTCGTCAAAACAAAATACGAAAATCAGACCGACGATTGGCCAGACATCCAGTATTTCTTCGCCTCCTATGCCGACAACACCGATGGCGGCCTTTTCGGGAAAAAAGCGATCGGCCTCAGCGACGAATTGTATTCGGCTGTATACGAGAACATCCTGTACAAGGAGTCCTTCAGCATCCTCACGTTGCTCCTGAGACCGAACAGCAGAGGCAGGATCATGCTGAAAGACAAGAACCCGAACAGCCAAGTCCTGATCTATCCCAATTACTTCGACGATCCCCAAGACCTAAGGGTCATGGTGAGTCATTTCAGCTTTATTTCAGTCCACTGATCTAGAAGGGACGTTCTTTTATTCACCCGGTGGCTCCATCAATCCACCAACTGCGTTCATAGTCCAGTCATTATATCCAAATAACGGACCTTACCCGTGAATAATTTTTTAGTGTTTTTTTTTCATAGGTGTCTCGGGAGGGTCACTGGAAGTGTAAATTCAAAATGGCGACCAAATCAAGCTTTTGCGTATGTTTTTGTTAAAAAACGGTTTTTCTTGAATAACTCGGCCATTTTTGATTCTACAGAAAAAGTTTGGGAACAGAAATTGTAGTAAATTCGGTTCTCTACAAGTTTGGTGCTCACAATTTTTCTGATAGGATCGATATTTTGTAAATTAAACCTGAAAAAAGCGACAAATTCGAAATATTTTCTTATCTCGTTTATTTTCAACTTTACGGCATAAATGAACAGAAACAAACTTGTAGAGAATCAAATTTTTGACAAATTTTGTCTCCACCTGTTTTTCTGAAAATCGATATTTTCGGAATTAAACCTAAAAAAAAACGACTCATTCGAAATATCATCATTATCTCGTTCATTCTCAACTTTACACCATAAATGAGAAGAAACAAACTTGTAGAGAATCAAATTTTGGACAAATTTGGTCTCTACCTGTTTTTCCGAAAATCGATATTTTCGGAATTTAACCAGAAAATATGTACCCATTCAGAAATATTCGCAATATCTCCTCTTTTTCAATTCTGCAGGTGCAACGAATAGGGCGAAAGTTGTATACAATAAAATGAAATTGATGAAAATATTTCGAATTTTTCGCTTTTTTCAGGTTTAATTTACAAAATATCGATCCGATCAGAAAAATTGTAAGGACCAAACTTGTAGAGAACCAAATTTACTACAATTTTTGTCTCCAAACTTTTTCTGTAGAATCAAAAATGGCCGAGTTATTCGAGAAAAACCGTTTTTTAACAAAAAAAACAGTTTTCGAACATACGCAAAAGCTTGATTTGGTCGCCATTTTGAATTTACACTCCCAGTGACCCCCCCGAGACACCAATGAAAAAAAAAAAACACTAAAAAATTATTCACGGGTCAAAGTCTATAATGACTGGACTATCATATATCGGGTGACACAGGCTTGTAGTTTTTATATTTGGAGAGATAAAAATTTGAAATTCACAAGAGTTATATTATCGATGATGGCGCTTCCCCTGAACCCAATTACAATTTTCTTCAACCACCTGAATGATTGGAAGTAGACCCAACTTTTTTTTTTAAATGGCACCCTGTATATTTCTGTAGCCTATCTTATTTGCCTTGAAATTCTCTATTCAACAATGTTTCACAATTTGATATTCATTCATTAATTGGCTGTTAAATTGCATTTTATTGAAATACATGAAGTTGGCTGTGGCCCGAATACAATGACATCTCGATGCTTGATGGGGTTAGAAATTCAAAGATCATTACTTAGACGATATTATCAGACTATTTTCCATATCCTAATCGGTCCCAGAAGATTGCCAATAATTTCATTGAGTTTAAAAAAATCATCCGAAAATTAATCACGATATTGAGAAAACTTAGATAGAAATTCAGTTGTTTTCATTTGGCTACTCGTAAGAAAACTATTTGTCTTCCATTTATGCCATGTAGCCATAATATGATCATCCATCCAGCATCGAAATGTCATTGTATTCGGGTCACATCCAACTATATATTTCAACAAAGTGCAATTTAACAGCCAGTTTGACGTAAACCACGCTTTCTTTTATTACTGTTGTATCAACCAAAATTGCAAACCATTCCATAGATGTACAGAGTTGGCGGATGAATTTTGGTGGCTTTCGAAATGACAGCGACAGCATAACCTCAAAAAACTAATGGGTTGCGTGCAAGAACTGTCAGATGACCGACGCTGGAGGCAAAACATTGAAACACAACGTCACTTTTCTTATTTGTTTACAAGTGATCGAAATAGTTTTCCACAATTATTTTGGCATATAAATCGTATTTTTCCGCTATTCATCAATTCGATCATGCCATCACATTGTGCTGTTGTAAAATGTACAAAAACTGCAGCGGAAGAAGGAATCCGGATGGTACATTATGATTTAAAAGTAAGTACCTACCTACTATAGTCACTCACATATAGTTTTCATTTTTGAAATTTGGTTATTTCTCTGATCTCTCATCGGAATTCCTTCTGCAATAGGAGCTAATAGAAATATACCTGAAATTTCTAGAATAATGCAAGAAGATTGGATTCTTGCAATCAATCGGGAGGACTGGTCTGACATGCTGACGATCGTGTGTGTTGTAGACAATTTCAATCTATTAGCAGTATTAGCTTGTATTGCAGAAGTGGCAGAAGGAAGAAGGAATTTTAATAAGGAATGACAACATTTCATAATGATAACTATGTGAGATTACTATTTACCTGAAAACTCATATTCCCTAGTCTCTTGCTGCATTTTTTGTGCATTGTACAACAGCACAATGCGAAGGTATGCTTGAATTAATGAATAACGCAAGAAACACGATTCGTATGCCAAAATATTGTGAAAAACTATTTCAACCTTTTGATTCCTCTGTAAACAAATAAAAAAGTGAGGTTGTGTTTCAATAATTCACAGAAAAGTGAGGTTGTGTTTCAATATTTTGCCTCCAGGGTCGGTCATCGTGCACGCGACCTATAACAAAATATTGGATTTGAAAGCTGTTTGCCATTTGCCTAAACAAAAATATGGATGAATTAATCGAAATCAGTCTGGAATATGAAAATAAAAGAAACGCTGTAATATTGACGCCAACAGAGAGTGAATACATTTCGAGGGGTAGGTACTTTTTTCTTTCACATCATGAATTTCAAAAAATTACTGCAAACATTCAGGGAACTTGAGTACCAAGAGAAATTTTTCATTGATGACTCTATCCATATCAACATAATTTGATGCAATGTTTTGTATATAGGTAGTTGGGAATTTTTAACCTATTTCGTCCTCGTCTACTCCCCAACATGAACAATATTTCATCCTCGGAATTATCAGAAGAACTGCCGAACTTCTGGATCTGATATCTCATGGACTTCAATGTGTTATTGTTTCAAAAAAAAATCACCACCCATGGATAGTCAAATTTCAAGCAATGACAGCCCTGTCTAATAGAAGCACATTACTTCAGAGGGAATCAGATGGCTACGAGGTGAAGAAATCAAAAATGTCGCTGTGATCTGTTACAGCCGTAGAAAAACCATTGTGTATAACTCGCACGGAATGCTAATTTACCACTCGATCACTATCATTCCGTGCTTGTTGAATACTATACTATTTCAAATACATACGATAATAATATTGTATAAAACGTTGTTATATACAAGTGTTAAAGTACTCGTGAGTGAACGATTTAATTTCGTTCTATAATGTGAGTTGAAATCAATTATACAACAATATTATAGAAACATCTTTTTATGAAATGGTATTGTTTCATTATACGCAGTAATTTATTAAAGAGTTCTTTAATAGGAGTTGAATAACAAATCAAATGTTATTCACCTCCTTATGCGTTCTACTTGTAGTTAAATTTCACTCGTTCCAAAGATCGAAACCTGAAAACCTGATAGAGCTGAGTTTCTTGACTAGCAAAACTTTCTTCTGATATAGTAAACTCTGATAAACATCATCACAACCCTATATACTTCTTCTGTCAACCCTTTGCTTACTTATGATGTGAAATTAAGAAGAATTATATACTTATCTGTTGAAATGATGGATGTGTAAATGATCATTACTTTTTTGTCATTGAATATTTTCCAGTCAAATGCATTCAGTAGCGTAAGCAAGGGTAGTAGATTCTTTTCCTGTGATCAACGCACGATGTTCTTTGAACATTATAGGGATTCCCTTTCGTGCGCTCCAAGCGATAAAAAAAAATTTGGAGGAAAGGGATGGGTTTTAGCATGTTTGTGAGTTTAAGGACATGTGCTTTTGACGCTAGTTCCCGAAGGCATAATTGAGGATTTCGACCAATCAGAATGCAGAATTCGGCTGTCTTTCCACCAAGGCAGATTGGGCTGATATGGGGTATAAATACTGAATAGAGGCTGAGAAAACTCACTTTTGATTCTCTCTCTTGCCGCGCTCTTTTGCTGATCTCTTAGTATTCTCATATCTCGTTCGATACCAGTATGGAAAACTATTTTATAGTAAGTTTTGAATAAACTGAATAAGTGTCCCGAAAAGTTTCAGTATCAAGTATTCGTATTTTGGGAATAAACGTTTTTGTGCTTACATTCGGTTTCCACGGTTTTATTTAATATTTTCCTAATTTCCAAGTCAAATAGATTAGTATCTTCTGCTTCTTTCTTTATGGTCAGAGCACCGAAGTCATGACATATAGGCCTATGTGCTAGGTCTTAGTAAATGTTCCTGTCGTACTTCCGTGCGCTGTGGTCGAGAATTCGACATGGAGAAAATTCCTATATTGAGTGATAAGACAAATTTGAATAAAAGGAAAAATAAATAGGAATTAAATCTGTTAGTCATTTGGAACGTTGTTTCGGATTCTTCCGGTTCTAATAATGAAATAGTTTCATTTCAATACATGATTTTCCAGACTAAACCCCAAAATACCAGAGTATCTCCGACAGAGATCTGTTTTGATTCCTGTAAATATCCAGCAATGAATGTACCAACCAGTATTCCAGTCTAAATCCAGAGTTTGTAAGTGAAGCCTACATTCAGGTTTGAGCAATAACATTGACCCCTGATTTATTGTAGGCACCAAGGTAAGTCTCTCCTGAGCCTGTCTTCACTGCCAGGCCTCCTCACAAACTCAATTTGTAGGATAAGGTGAATGGGCTTATATCACGAAAAATTTTTATTTCATAATTCAATAGACCTCACCCAAACTAGCTCACCACCGCAAACCGTTTCTTGCTGTGAGCTCCCTACGTTTTATAAAAAATTATTGAAATCCCCGATTTTTCGGACCTCCGAAAACGAGGCGATGATGTGACGTCAAAACCCTAATACTGAAACAAGACTATTCCAGACAGAGATGAATGATACATGATTTCTGACAGAGTGAATTAGCGCGAGATCACAGTTGAAAGAATTAATATATCAGTTGCCTCAGTCTCCGTCGGGCTTTTGGTATTTTCTTTTAACTATGGCGATATGAGGTTTTTACGTCATTAGGAGGGTCCGTTTTCAGATGGTACTATTATTTATGTCCAAAAATAAAACATTCCAGTTAATTTTTCGATCGAATCATGTCGTCAATCATTATTTATGTATAAAAGGATCCTTATAAACATGGTTTGAGTTGAAAGTTCTACTAAGGTGTACACGCCCATTGAATCACTTTCATAAAAAATCTGGCGCCCGAGATATCGGAATAAGTACCAATAACGCCTCCTCCCCCTGACAACAGCTCTTTATTACCCGCACAAACTTCGCTAGTTCGGCTGTTTCAGGTCAACAAATGAATAAAACATTAAAAAAAACATTGGTGTTTCTTTGACAGGTCGACGGTGCCAAGAAAGCCCACAAAATAGCGACCGAGACTCCGACGATGCAAAAATACAACGCGACGTTCAACAAATTCCGAATGCCCGGTTGCCACGATCTCGACTTCCTCTCCGACGAGTACTGGGCCTGTCAGGCGCAACACGTCACGATGACGATCTACCACCCTGTAGGCACGGCCAAGATGGGCCCCGACGAGGACCCTGTGGCAGTCGTCGATCCGCGGCTCAGGGTCAGAGGTGAGTGGAAAATGGAAAGTTGCCAGAGCTTTTAGGCCAACAGATATCTGCGTTATCTGACAAAGAAAAAATTCAAATAAATTGTGGAATTTATGGACGCAAAAGTTTTCCAAAATGGTGAGACCAAAAATCATCCTTGTTTTGAAATTGCACCTCTTTTTTTCCGGTTCCTCTTATTGAAGTTCTCATTCTCGATTCGACTACACATCACGATGGACATAGCGTTTTAGTCAAAATCATAAGAGAGTATAATATCGTATAATACTGTCAACTGCTACGCCATTGGAAAGAGTACAGTTTTGAGTCGCCCACTCAAACGGCTAATGTTTTCGACACAAAAAGTATACTCGTGGTCATAAGCTCTAAAATTGACCGTTTTTCACAAGAATCAACTTTCATAATGAAAACCAAGGTGAATTTTGGGAATTAATTTTTTTTACCAATTAAAGAAAATCTATTCACACTTCAGAACAAGTATCCAAACCAAAGGTTAACTTCATATTACAAAATGTGCTTCGGAAATCTCTGCTATCATCCCTTCACTAGCAATACCAGTCAGACGAACTAGACAAGCCCAGTCAGCACATCCTTTCGTTGTCAACCTCGAAAGATGTCGAACAGCACTTTACCAAAACTCCTTCATCCATAGAACGGCTAGGCTCTGGAACTCATTGCCTGAGGAAGTATTCTCAACAACATATACCTAATCTCCAGAAGTTCGAAAAAAATTCGAATACCTTCCTCCTATCCCTATCCTCCCTAGGAACGCACGATGTTCTTTGAACATTATAGGGATTCCCTTTCGTGCGCTCCAAGCGATAAAAAAAATCATATTAGGATGAATTATTGATTGTTAAAAATGTCCGCGGTTAGCTTCAATGCAAGCAATTTAAAAAAATTACCATGATTTCCAACATATAAGTAGATTTTTACTCGAAATCGGTTAAATTTAGAGCCTTCGACCAAGAATAACATTTTTCTGTATATAGGAAATATAGGCAGTTCAAATGGGTTGCTTAAAACTGTACTTTTCGAAGTGGCGTAGAAGTTGGGGAGGAAAACACTCACTACTCCTTCAAAATTCTCACCAATTATGATCTAAAAATAAAAGAAATACGCACAAAACATAGCTTATTATGAGTAGAAAATGCTTACGAAGGCCGTTTTTTAGGCGATAATCGGTTCCAGAAATATAAGCAAAAATCGATTTTTTTCTCAAATTTCAACACCTTGTATCTCTCAAATAGTGCATCTTAGAGAGTAAGTTGATAGAAACTTTTTCATATTTCTGAACGAGCTATCACATCCTGAAGTCCTGCGCATATACATTATGAAACCCTGTATACGCCATTGTCTGCGAATGATGTAAACGGAGAAATATTATCATAAAGTCGATTATGTATTTCTTTGAAATTCAAATGAGACGATCGGATTGATTGATAATCGTTCCTCCCTACATACTTACAGGGTTCATCATGTGACACGTTCGTTAGAAGTTTTCGATGTTCCTATTCAAACAAAATTCTGAGAATTTGAAACATCATAAACAGTGCTGCTTGATGGTCGCAGTTTTCCCTATTTCCAGAATAGGTAGAGAGGAAGAAAGTAACCTAGGAGTCTAGAGGTTGATTTTTGTGAAACATCGATTGATATAAACCGCACTCCGATATCTTTGTTAAACTGAACAGAATATTCCGTTAAAAATAACGAATACTACTCCCACTCTGCTACTTTCTCATTCAATTCCTTGTTTTATATCCTTGATCGTCATACAAATAATTATCGGTTTAAGAGAAAAACTCTCGCTTTCCATGGCTAAATAGGAAAAAATCTCATGAAAATGAAATTTTGAAAAAAAAAAATTTATATTGACATCAGCAAACATAACTATACATGTCTTGACATATGTATTTTTGAAAGCTTATTTTTTTCTGATTTTCTGAAGTCGAAGCCAACTATGGTTTATATTTGAAATAACAAAGTTGGCATTGATATTGTCGCAACCTCCGAACAACGATAAGGTCGCAACACATATTATGGTTCTAGTAGGCTATATGGCATTATTGAGAACACACGGTGCTTCCACCATAATGTGGCAACTCAGAATGTCGACCCTCCTTGGTGAGATAGAGTAGGCCCTGCCCTCCTATGGGTCGTAACTTAGCTTCTCGCTTGGCCTTTGACTTGATGAGAGGTTTTCGATCATTTCACCACCCAACCATACTCATCCTCAAATAAAGAGTCAAGACAGTTTTCATATACAGGGTGTTTAAAAAACTGACTTCCTTAGGGTAGGTATTGAAAAAATGATTTTTTTTACACATTTTTTACGATCATGTCAAAACTACTGGCAACACTGTAATGAAATTTTGTATGGATGTTTTCTGGAATCTGACACATCGCATGAATACGTTCTTCTCTGACTCTCAGAGATGGCGCTAGTTACATTGTTCATACCTTTTTTATACGTCCATGCCCTGTATCAATTATCCAATATTGTGATGTTTATGCGCTTGTTGATTGATATATGTTTTATTATGCAGGGATCAAGAATCTGAGGGTGGTAGACTGTTCTATAATGCCCTATATACCGAGTGGTAACACCAATGCCCCCGTCATAATGGTGGCAGAAAAAGCCGCTGACATGATAAAAGAGGACTGGGGAGTACTCCATAGATATGTCGATTCAAGCGAACAAGAAACTGAAAATGAAAATGGGGACGATGAGAACAAGAATGATGGTAAGTTTTGCAAATTCATGAATAATTATATGTGTCGTAAAGACAATAGCAGAAATATGTTGGATGTAGCATTTTATTCGTCATTAAGACAAATCCACAAACGAAATAAAACCTCAAAATGAAAAATCGAGGAAAACTCGGTCGACCACAAAATTCGATAACAATTAATTTTGAAAAAACAAAATATATGACATTTACTTCCCATCAAAATTCTCAACCAAATTTAGGCACTATCAAGATAAATGGAGAAATTGAAATTCAGAAAACTGACTGCATCAAATATATATATATATATATAGTATAATGGTCGACAATAATCTGAAATGGGATCATCATATTGATTATGTCACTAAGAAAATAAGATGCTTCATTCCTAAATTCGAACATTTGAAAAACTTATAAAATATTCGAAATTTAGAAATGATATACTATGCTTTAGTTCAATCTCAATTAGTTTATGGGATATTAGGATGGGGTGGAGTGAAGCAGATATATTTATGGAAATTGGAAATTGCACAAAAATGGATTTTAAAAATCATTTATGGAAATGATTATTTGTTTCCAACTGAACTTTTATATAAGGAATCTAAGAAAATGGATATAAATCAACTCTATATTTACAATTTACTGATTCATATTTTCAAAAATAAAAAGGACATTCAGTTCAAAAAACATATCTATGACATAAGAAATAAAAATAACATAACATTGAAATATAAAACAAACAAGCCATTTGGACGTAGAAATTATAAATTTTCAATTCCTTACCTATATATAATAAAATTCCAAATAATATTATAAAAACAAAATCACTACAATCCTATACAATAAAAATAAAAAACTGGATATTAAACTCCCCTAAAAATTATTTCATTTCTTTAATTAACATTCAATAATATCGTTAGAAAAATTTTAATAATAATTGTGAATAAGTATGTATGAATATAAATAATTATGCGTATTGAATGAAATGCTCAGTACACTATATATTATGGATTAAATCTTGTCAGTTGACAATTTTTCCCTTGTGATAATTTGATATTGTTATATATTTATTGACCTATGTACATTCATTTTTTTTATCCTTACTACAAGGTTAACTTCGTAAGGTTTTTCCCAGTTTATTCAAAATACCTATCTGTTTATTCCAATGTATATTTTGTAAACGTTCTTGAATAAACTTATATTATTATTATATTATTATTATCAACGTGTGCAACTATAGTTTCGGCACCACGGACATCTTCAGACCCAATGAAAAAGTACCTAGAAAATTACAAAAGTTTTCGAATCCTATGCAATTGTTAATCATGATGAATGTCAAGTCACCATTTCCAATTATTGTCGCTTCTCTGATGGCTTTACTAAATATGAAGCTGCTTTGAGTAGATTAAAAAAAACATCTTGTGAGTTTCCCTCGATATTGAACCAATAATTTTGGTGAAGTTCTTCTGGCTTTTCATTCTTTTCGAATACAAAAGTAGTTCAGGGCTGGACTGATTTTTTATTTGTGAGACCTGATAACATTTATATTATAAATATGTCTCCATAATATGTATGTTCATTCTTAGCAATAATATATTGTTAGATTTGAGATCTATCGTGATTATATAGGTACGTTTTTATTGTCTCTGAGATGGCCGTGGTGATATCAAATTTTTGGTCGAACGACTTTGATTCTTTTATCTTTGGAGAAATGTTGGACCATATGCACTTAGAGAATGGATTGTTTACAAGCATAACTTGAAATGAAACCTCTTCACGATTGACCCCTCCTGAAATCGAAATCTCAGGTGAATTATATTGATTGAATCTTCTTGAAATATGAATTACTATTCTGAAATTCAAATGACGCATTCTCAAATTCAAATGACTCTTTCTGAAATTCAACTGACTACATATTTTGAAATACAATGCATGCTTTCTGGGTTTCAATTGTACGAAAGCGCTGAACGGACATGATACTTTTTTTTAAAATTGCCAGTTTGAACTGGCAATTAGCTATAATTGCCAGTTTAAACTGGCATTTAGCTATAATTGCCAGTTTGAACTGGCATTTAGCTATAATTGCCAGTTTGAACTGGCAATAAGCCATAATTGCCAGTTTGATCTGGCAATTAGCCATAATTGCCAGTTTGAACTGGCAATTAGCTATAATTGCCAGTTTAAACTGGCATTTAGCTATAATTGCCAGTTTGAACTGGCATTTAGCTATAATTGCCAGTTTGAACTGGCAATAAGCCATAATTGCCAGTTTGATCTGGCAATTAGCCATAATTGCCAGTTTGAACTGGCATTTAGCTATAATTGCCAGTTTGAACTGGCATTTAGCGCTTCCGTACGAAAGGATCTAGTAATGTTATCGCCATCTAGTGACGCCAAGAAACGCGAACGATTATTTCGACCAATTATGGCTAAATGCCAGTTCAAACTGGCAATTATGGCTAAATGCCAGTTCAAACTGGCAATTATTGCTAATTGCCAGTTCAAACTGGCAATTATAGCTGAATGCCAGTTTAAACTGGCAATTATGGCTAATTGCCAGTTCAAACTGGCAATTATGGCTAAATGCCAGTTTGAACTGGCAATTATGGCTAATTGCCAGATCAAACTGGCAATTATAGCTAATTGCCAGATCAAACTGGCAATTATAAAAAAAAAGTATCATGTCCGTTCAGCGCTTTCGTACAATTGACTATTCTAAAATTCAATATTCGCTTTCTGAAATTCAACTGACTTATTCTGAAATACAATTGACACTTTCTGGAATACGAGTGACTATCCTGAAATTCAATTGACTATTCTGAAATATAGCAGATACTACCCTATACACTGTTTTTTCTTTCTAACCGAACCGATTTTCTTATACGTCTCGATACGTGTTTCGCTAACTAAGTTAGCATCTTCAGAAGATGATTGAAAATAAATATCCTTTTCTAGTGCTGGGCTAGATATATACTAGGTATATATATGATCCACACAACCGTGAAAGACGCCAACCGCCATATCACTAAACTGTCCAGAGGGCTACAAGGAATAGGTGCATTATCCTTATTCATTACTCTATTACCATTCTCAAATGTAGGCTACTATATACTATCTGATTTGGCCTTTATATAGGCCAAACCAGGCGACCTAAAAAAACAATTCTCGAAGAACATCTAGCACATTTGAAGATTGCTAGGTTGATGAATCGTGTGTAGCCGAAAACATGTTCAATCACAAACATAATACACATATTGAAAACCTCAAATTATTTGAGCTAGTTAGTAATGATAGAAAATTAGATGCATATGAAAACCTATGTATATTCAAAAAGAGAATAATGGATAAGGATAATGGAACTATTCCATATAGTATAGTTTAGTGATATGAGATTGAGGTTAACATGTGAACTCAACCATGACTTGGCGGTGAGCTTCTTTAGCTGGAAATAATATACCTAGTATATAAGTATGATATATTCAGTTTCAATCTTATTCTGAAAATGCTAACATAGTTAGCGGAAGACGTGTCGAGGCATAGAAAATGGGTTTGGTTAGTGGTGAAAAGGTTTCTCTCTTTGATATATAGTTGATGCTTCCTGAAGATACAAGTAACTATCATAAAATACAATTGATGCTTTTTAAAATTGAATTGACGATTTCTGGAATATAACTGAAATAGCTTTAATATATCCTTACTTATTCATATTTATGAAGACACTTTTACTCAGTTCATTTTTTCGAAAATAATCGGATCACTCTGCCTCTGTCAAACCATTCATGGGTGTTTTCTGGTACCAAAATGCCTGAGCTTTATACTTTGACTTACTTTGACTTACTTTGACTGGCAAAATATATGAATGATTGATTGATTGAAATATGTTTTCAAATGTTTCAGAAAATATCGAGCTTAAGACAGGACAGAGAACATCTGCGAAAAAGGAACTGATTATGCAAAAAACACCAGCCAGAAGGGATATGGACTATTGGTGAAGTGCATGAAAAAGACTCCTTATTCGAAAATATCAACTATGTTTCTAGACTCTAGATTAAAATCAGAAAATTATCGAAGTGAAGTTCAATTTCCTCAGAATTCCTACAGAAAACCAGGATTATAAGTAGTCCACTAACACTCATTATTTTTTATATGAAAAAAAAACATATTTCAAAGTACAAATTACAGTTTTATTTGAATGGGAAACGTGTAATGCATTCATCCATTACACTGTTTTCACAATGGCGTAGTTGAGTGTCCATAGGGTCTTAATCACCTTCCCGAGATGAACAAAATATATTTAAAAAATGGCACATCAAGATCAGTATAGTCAATTCCACATGAAACTTCATGATTTCCTTGAACCTATGTGAACATGAATAATTTCAGTGGCGTGTTCATGAGGAGCATCAGGGGGATCTGGATACCCCAACAGTGGAATTATGAAGTTAGTTGAGGTAGTAACAATGAATTATAGAGGTGAAACTTCCCCCATTTCTTAAATTTCGTTCTCACCCAATGAAATTCGTCATAGCAGCATTATCTGAAAGGGTAAAGGGCTTTCACGCTGGGTTGATGGTTGCGCAATTCTTGGTAACAATGTCGTGCCAAAACTGCACATCGAAAAATACAAGTAACTTTCGAAATGGGCGATCCGTGTTATCGATTTAAGTTGGCAAAACTGTACACCGATGCCAGATTTATTTGATATTTCTAGAAGCGATTTGTTGTGATCAGCTGATCTCTGCGAATTATTCATTACTGACAATTTGTACTTTCAAGGAATTTTTTGTGATTTATTTGTGGATCATAGGTGAAATTCGATTTATCCAAAATGCCTAAACCATTGAGTGCGTAGGCACAGAAGATGGTCCATTACTTCCAATGACTGCTGTGAGAGATGTAAGTTGAATGATGGTATCAATAATAATATTTTGTGTTGTCCGAATGATTCAAATATGATTTGTGTTAGTTTATTGTAATGACATAGTGGTTTCATGAGTTTTTGTGAGTTTTCCTCATGAATTATATTGAGAATATTGAAGTAGGAACAACTCTTGTATATTTCATAATTTCCAATATAAGTAGATGAACCACTATTCATTTTTCCACGAAATAAAATCAATTGATCGAATTTATATTTCATTTCACCAATTTATAGTGATTGAAAAACATTCAAACCATTCGATAACCTCAAAATTGAATTCGTTTTTATTATTTTCACTCAGTAAATGTGAATACTGATCAGTTTCAGTAAAAAAATCAATTCAAGACATAATTGTGTATTGGTAAAAAAATAAGTTATTTATAATGTCAATATCTGTGATTATTTGTTGATGTTGTTATATAATTAATCATTCTTCGAGTTATTATTCTTTATACGAATTTCATTATCTTTAAATTTCATATTCAGTATATTGTTCAGGTGCATGGTTCATCAAATACAAATATTGAAATTCATTTATCAACTTCAAGTGCTGATTTTGAAACATAAATGAAAGGCTTTTGAGTTGGTTTCAAAAAACATTATAACGTCCGACGATCGTAACACTAGACATATCCATATTCGAGCGGTTGGTCATTCAGTCATTTCCTTCCAACTGGCAACACTGTATGTGTCGACATATTGACGTCACTATCAACCCAGCGTGAAAGCCCTTTATCTTTTTGTATTGAGTGGTAAGTATATTCCTATTGAAAAAATACTTTTTGATAGAATGGCTTGAAGAACGCAATCTGGGTAAGCTAAAATGTGCACTCGCAAACCTAATCTGAGCTTTATCAAAGGTTCATTTCCATCTACATCATTTGGAGAAAATACATCGAATCAACATAAGCATACCCTACTGATATATGAACCTCGATTCCCTAATGCCTAATATGAATGGCCAAATAGTTCTTCATTCGTTTCGATATCTCTCTAAGCTAGGTACCTGATATGAACGTCAATTCCCTAATAAATGTCCATTTAGTTCTTCATTTATTTATTTATTTATTCATTTATTTATTTATTGAACAAATAACTTCCAGACAGAATAGGCTCTGGTATAAGGAAGTACATAATTATATACCTATAGGTAAACATATCATTATACTAAATATATCAACAACTGTAAATTGACAAACAAAGAATAATATTTGTAAAAAAAATGGCATGTACAATTTTATCCAGTTCGCTCAGAAATAATCAATTTTTTCACTTCATTTTTGAATGAACTTATATTTCTGCAATTTTTTATATTGTCAGGTAGTTTATTGAATTCAGTTAAGGCTGAATGAGTGAATCTTTTTTGTCCGATAATGGAGCTAGCGGCGTCAAGATGAAACAAGTTATATTGTCTTGTTTCATGATTATGAATTTCAGAATTCCGTATCAACATAAAATTCGACTTCAATTTTTTATTTATGATATTATATGATATTTTGAGAGTTTCAATTCTATATATTTCATCTAAAGAATACGTATTTGTTATTTCAAACAATTGATTGGTTGGTGTATCAAATGGGAGACGATACAATACTTTTAACGATATCTCTCTCAGTTTGAAGTAACTGAAATAAATGGTGACGATTATTCCAAATTCAATCATTATTCATTCTGATGTGATTATGATGAGATCAATATTTTTCTAAGAAAGAGGCGATTAAATCTTGCGAGGTCTGAAATAAGAGAATCACCATAAGTGAATCAGCAGTATGCCCTTTGCTTGGTCCTTTGCGATTGCCCTGTATGTTATCACCAATTTCTTCATAACAGGATGAACAAGCATGAACTATGTCTATTTATTCCAACGATTCCCAAATAGTTGAACCTTCAAAACCCTTTATAATGCATTTATTTCACCCAGAATTTTCACTTTTTTATATCTAGTGCATGTTAATATTGAAAATCGCAAAGATTGTGTGGAAATGACTTCGAGCTGTTTGTATTTATCCAATAAATAAGTGGCACAATATTTTTCAGTAGATTATAAAATATTTCAGTAGATCATTAGATCAATATGCAAATCAGCAGATCTACTTGAAATTCATTAGAACTGGCAAACCTGCAGCGGACGAAACGTTAGTATCTGCGTTTGGAGAGTAGAACGTAAAATGTGATGAATTTCCAATTTTCAAAATTAATTATTGCTATATGCTCCGGTGGGAGTGACTACTAGATTCGTAGTCCATGGTCATATTTGTTGTATAAAAATTGAAAAAATAGCTAGATTTGCCAAAAAATTGCTGAAAAAATGTTCATCTGGACGTGCTTTCATTTTTAGCCATAATAAGGTTTTCCCAACAATCATCTATGCGCTTTTGAAACTGGCTGTCGGCAACACTGCACCTACAATCTACACGAGGGTGCTGCACACTAACTACGATCTGTCACAGTGTTGCCAGCTGCTGAACAAAAAAACCGCTAGAAGTTGCTAAAGCGAGCGGAGCGAGCAGAAAGCCCGCTGCACGCAAAATTTTTGAGAATTTAGCGACTTTTTTTCGTGATTTAGCGACATTTTTTATCATATTTCCGCATTTTCATTTTATAACAGAAAAAATTGACAAAAAACTTGACTTATTCAGAATCTGGTCAGAATGAAAAAACCAAAAACAAAATGAATAATAATATGGGTGAATTTTTCTATACAATTCCAATCGGTACTATTAGTACCAATGTACCTAATTGGTAAATCACAACATACATTATTTCTCTATCGTATTTGAGGATTGTCTTTGATCTTATCACACATTGATAAACCTGTCAAACCATAACCATGTATCAACTCATATATCTAGTTCAACATCATACAGATCTGCGACTTCATTGCTATAAGTCACATTGGTTCCTATAAGTTTCAATACTGATTTAGGTAAAATGAAATATTCACAAGCAACACAAGTTTTTAAACCATCTCGAATATCCGAAATATCTCGAATTCCGACTTTATTCTCGGGATCCCGACATTAAAGTCGAATCCCGACATTGAACTCGAAGCCATTAGGTTTGTTACCTAACCGTGAAAGGTGCACTAACTGCGCAGTCAGTGTCATGGTTCACATGTTGATTCTGATCCTAAATCACTATACTTATTCATAACTCTCTTATATTTTTATCAATTTTTACTTATTCCACAGCGGTTTTAGAGGGTTTCGAAATCTGATTACTCATTGAAGAAGTTCATGGAGAAGTCCGAAACGGGTGTTCTCAGACCCATGTTATCAGGTATCATTGAATTTGTCTTTCTTAGCTCTATCCATGGATGGAATGAAATACAGGGTGTTACATTCGAGAATTTCGAGAAAATGATCGATTTGCCGAATACGTAATTACTTTTGGTTCTTCCGATTTTTCTTTATATTGACGATATATCAATATAACATATAGAATATGCTCAATCATGATGAAAACTGTGCATCGGAAACTTGTTTCTCAACGTTTCTATAAGGCTTTGAAATTTGACTATTTATTATTGAAGAAAGGTCCGAAACGGGTGATCTCATACCCATGTTATCATATATCATTGAACTCATCTTTATTAGCTCTACCCAAGGACGATATGGAATTCAGGGTATTCCATTTGTAAAAATGTATGTTTATTTTGTCAAAGGCATATAGACATTATTCCTAAAAAAAAGTTCCTTATGACTATGAACAACTCCAATTCTCTAAATTTTTTTATATCTATTCAACAATGAGATTCTTAGCTATTGAGTAAAATATAAACAATCACCCTGATTGTAAAGTGTGATCCAGTAGTTGACAATCAGTGTACATCCAAAAACGTAAAGGAGGTTGTCAATTGATCCTGTGATGATTATCCAATGGATGTTGAATTATTGTACATATATGAAGGTAGGTAACGTTCGGATTATTGGTCGATTATTGTACATTGAATGTACATCCTCAAAAGTTCTGTAATGAATGTTTACTCCCTTTTTTCTTTCGCGATTCGCATTCGTTTGTTCAAAGGGTGCAAAAAGATTGTACAGAGTTTAAAGTCGGGACCCCCGACTTTAAAGTCGGGATCTCGAGATTAGAATCGGGATCCCGAGAATAAAGTCAGGATTCGACAAAAAAAGTACAGGTGGCCCTTCAGCGCCTTCGTTCGGAAGTGGCGCAAATGATGAAAACTAACCCTGTCGCCTGTCATTCTCTTCTCTGCTTATCTCTTTGTCTCGAATGTTTCAATGTGAATTATTCATATCCGTCGTCACCATTCACCAATTCAAATGATCACAATATCTCCATATAAACCATTATATGATTATGTTGAAAACGCTTGAATTCCGACACGTCGCAAATCAGGTTGAAATGTCGCATTCACCTACCCTGAAAACTCTAGATTTAACGCTAAGATGACAACCCTGATCTGCCATTTGAAGATACGAGAAGCTGTCCGTAATCATCTCGCGGGCACGCCTATGGCACTTAAACTAGTACTGGTCGACTACCTATCTAATGTCCCGACCAGGTATGATATTATGAGTTCATGCTCATTTGTTGACTTGTTGAGGTGCAGGCTGCATCGGCCTGTGCATTATTGACTAGTCTATATTGACCGCGAATGCAACGAATTGAATAATAGATGATAAACTACTGATAAGATAATATGATGATTTATTAGGAAGTTGTAGTTTTCCTAAAACCAAGGAACGAAGATCAACAACAACAGTGCGTTGCAAGTTAAGGGGTGAGTTGGCCACAAGCAAATAGGTACAAATAGATTTTACCAATCTTTCGATCATCAACTACCCTGAAAGTTTTTCACTTTCCACAAATTTAGTAGTCTGATTGAAAAGGAATATTCTCAGATAAATTATGGACATACAAAAATGGATATATATATTAATATGAAGCAATACATTGAGAATTCGCATTCTCTATGTAATGAGAATATCTACTCTTTTTCAGTTTATTCAATAGAAAACAACTACTTTCCTGGCTATATGCCACGACGAACATTGAATTATATCTATTGAACACACACGATAAGAGTTTGAAAATAAAATATAAAAAACTTCTGAAATTGAGAATTTGCATTCTCCTTCAGACAAAAATATGTATATGCAAACATCATTCTGAATATTCAACAGAAAACAACTACTTTCCTGGCTATTTGCCACGTCCAACATTGAATTATATCTGATGAACATTCAAAAGGAGAACATCAAAAATAAAAAATATAAAATCCTCCGACATTGAGAATTGACATTCTTCTTCAAATCGGATGAATAATATGATGTATAATGATATAGAAATATAGTAGTCTGAATAATAAATATATCAATAGTTTGTTAGTCGACCACAGGCAAATTACACATGTGATTCTCCCATTGTAGGTTCTGTCAGATTTTCAAACGAGGTTTTCTTGAAAAAGTTTCTGATGCTGATGAGAGATTTTGTATTTTGTAACCGGAATAAAAAATATAAAAATATTGACGACGAGCGAAATCGTGCAGGGTATCCCAGAACATTGTCGTTCTGGATGACAACCTAGTTAGGTAGTTAGTAGGCAGGAGCTATCCCAGAGTAACGCGCAATAAATTCTACAGGGTGAACTAGAGGAAGACATGTCATACCAATTGAATCAAAATACATAGATAGATATTTCGCAGTCTCTGTGAAGAATACCCCCTTTTTATATTTAGTTTTGGACATAAGTGATTGACATTTGAAATTACCTCTCAACTTGATAGACGTCACGTTTCAACATAAATATTTTGCATTATCTACTTCCAGTTTCACCGGAAGTGGAAATAATTATCGAACACTGTACATCATTGCATTCTCGTATATACTATTACAAATAATTTCCGAAAAATGAATTAATAATTACATAGTCCATTATGGCTAAAAACCTAAAGGAGAAGTACGTGGTGAGGTTGAATAAGATAAATAATCCAAGAAAACAAGAAGACACAAATTTGCCTCATTTAATTGTTTTTCCCATATAGTTTTCTCATTACCACTATCAGATACAGCCTTTAATTCGGAGATTAACATTTTCGAAACAAATTGCTACGAGTTTTATCAGTCACAAGCTACTGACCCCCCAGTTTTCAAATCCTTACATTTCTTTGATAATTATTCGGTTCCAATTTCAAAAATTTTCAAAAATTTCAATATTAACATCTCCTAAAGACAAGATTTCTCGATCAAAAAAGTCAGGTGTGTACAGATTGAATTGTAATGATTGTGATTCTTCTTATATAGGCCAAACTGGTAGAAGTTTTGAAACCCGCGCCTCGGAACATAACAGACTCATCCACAAATTTCTCAACTCAGATAACCCTAACATTTCATCTTCCTTTGCAAATCATATTATTGATTTCAGTCATTCTGTGGATGTTAACTCCAATATGGAGATTATCCACATTTGCAATAAAGCTCCACGCCTAAAACTCCTGGAAATTTTAGAAATTAAAAAATGAATCAATAATCCAAATATTAACTGTCTCAATGACCAAACTAATTTTGAACGAAACCACATTTTTGGCACACTTAAATTCTCATGATCAATTTTGCCTTGCTTGCTTTTACTTAAGCCGGCCCTGTTTTGTTCACTTTCCTGAGATTCAACCTCACCACGTACTTCTCCTTCAGGTTTTTAGGCATAATGGACTATGTATTTAATTCATTTTTCAGAAATTATTTTTGGTAGTATCATAACTCATGTTTCGATATTTACTCATAAATTGTCTTTGTCATTTGGTTTGTCACTGTCATTTGTCTTGTTTTCTGTCAACGTCAGTTGCTATGCTCAACGCTTCGCCTTCTCCTTGGATTTTGGCCATTCGAAGATGAAACACCTTTGAGTGAATTAATTAAAAATTTTCAAAAGTTTGTGCCGATGTTGAACCAAATGATAGTTGGGTTCTTTTGGCTGTTCAGTCGGTTCAAAAATTTTACCATTCCATTACCGGACTGATTTTTGGCCAAATGACCACGGCTCTTCAATTTTTAATTTCACCTTATAATTTGATTTCCACGTGGCCTTATAGGTATGTTTGTTTCTCAATATCTTATTATCCTTGTATTGTGTCAAAACTGTGAGCTTATTCTCTGGTGGCAAGATGGTCAGAATGAAAATTGGAAAATTTTCTATGTGCTACTAAATTTTGTAACAAGGTCCCAAGGGCATATGTTACATCTCAATACCTGCCTATAAGAGGTACACGAAAAGGCGTATCTCGAAATCAACCTGAATTTTTCCACTTTTTTTCGCGAAATTTGAAAGAGTGATGAATAATAACTAAGTATCAACTGGATGTATTTCTGGTTGGAAAACCCAAACTGAAATACAACCACAAAGGTTCAACCATCTTCTTGTGAGAGAAGGACAAATTGTATCGAAATTTTATAAAGGTTCTCCTGTAAAATTACAAAATCTGAGATACGCCCTTTCGTGTGCTAAGAGACGATTCGTTACGTAAATATTATTTGGTTTTTTTATTCACATAACTATAATGGCATTTAGCGTACGGATATGTACCACGCTAAATGATCGATTAATCACGGATTGACGATCTGTGATTTATTCAAAATATTAAACACGTTACCATGGCAACACGATTTCTTAAACACATCACCATGGCAACACAGTTCATTAAACACAGCATCAGTAATTTGAGACATGTCTGGCCTGACTGTCAACTGTCATTTTAAAATTTTGTATCAGAATTACTCAAACAATGTTCGTTTGTATCAGAGTTCTCCATTAAAAATATATGCGGAATGTAGACAAAAGTGAAATCGAAGAGAATGTTCTGGTACTTGCATATCTCCAAGAAGTATAAAAATGAAGCATCCATCTTTGAGGACAATTTATTTATTCTGCGTTAAGCATGACAATTAACGTGAAACAAAGGTTAGTAAGCGATGGACTGGACACATCTACAACCAATATCACTTATACGTGTCTCGCTGGTTGCATGCAGTTGCATGTATTATGTTCTCAATTCCCATTCCTTTCGAATCATTTTGTAGGTTAGCAGGAATAGCAGGCATGTCAATGTAATTTTAGGAGTTCATAGAAAAAGCATAGTTCGTAACGCGTTTATAAACTCTTCTACACACTCGTTTATTAATCACTCGCTCCGCTCTGTTCCGCTCGTGCTCAAAATATTCGTTACTAAATGGATGTTTATAACTCTTGTTACATAATATACTATTCTTGCAGCAATCCGTGAACATGGATCCGCCTCTCACTTTGAACGACGTTTGCCCGAATAATCTAGAAGGCGTACCAGGCTACCTATTCCTGACGTTACTGAACACCTTAGTGGGCGCCAAATGCAACCTCGGTTCTCCAGATCCGTACCCAGCAGATTTCGCGCCCCAATTGAGCGACGGAGACGAATTCGATTTCATAGTGGTGGGGGCTGGATCAGCAGGTTCAGTGGTGGCGAACAAACTGACGGAGAAAGGAGATTGGAGAGTGTTGGTCCTGGAGGCTGGGGGGTATCCTTCTGCTACAAGTGATGTGAGTAGACACAAACGGAGATATAAACAAGCAATGGAAGGCAACAGTTAGTAGTTGAACGCTAAATTGAACCTGCGCATATAGTTTATGCATAGTCAGTTGAGAAAACACATCATCGCCAGCCGTCGGTCCCTTTGAAAGTTCAAAGAGTGCGACAGCGCGGCCCGACATTCGTTTGATGATCTGTTCAACTGACTTTGCATAAACTTTACCACGTGATCAGTTTGGAAGAGTTGGTTGACGAGTATGCCGTATGACAAGAAAAATACTAGCAAACATACACATTTCGCACAATACAGCAAATACAATCATCGTGATAATGGATGACGAACAAACGATAATAAGAATGGAGAGAAGCTGGCTCTGATGAAATCTACAACGAGATTGACATTTGTTTTAACAAGACTCCCAAACAGAGATCGAAGACATGCACAGCTGACGTTAATACATACTGCGCAGATGCCTCAATCAATTTAAATGATCTCTTGTTGGTCGTGAGACATTTTTTTTTATCTCTAAGAGGGCACGAGTAAATCGCTATATTGTTCGAAAAACATCATGCTGTCCTAAGGAGGGTAGGGAGAGGAGGTGGGTATAGGATTTCCTGCGCTGTTTCAATGATGTCACCAGGCAAATGGCTCTTCTCAGGATAGAATCTAAAAGCATCAGTATATGTTTGGGTGTTCAACCCCAATTGATAGATCAATACAAAAAAGCAAGCCACCAAATTGATTGAGCCACCTACACAGTATGTATCAACGTCATCAGTGCATGTCTTCGATCCCTGTTTAATGTTTACTTGTAGATTCTATCAGAGCCAGCTTCTCTGTAATCTCATGATCCATCGTCCGTCAGCCAGTTTCATACGTTGTTTGTGTATTTGGTATATTGTCCATAATGTGATTTTTACTAGTGTTTTGATGCCAATCTTAAAAAGTTGTTCATTCATATCGATTTATGAGGGGTAATGCTTGGCTTAATAGTTTGCGAGAGGTAATATTCGAATAGGCATTAATAGATCAGGGGTAGCTGGAAGTATAAGACTATATTCAAACATAACAATATTTATTGAAGCATGAAACATTATGAGTAGTGATGACAAATATAAGTAAACAAAAATGAATATAAAGACCTAATAACAACTTACATTATAATGACCAATACGACGAGCTCTTGTCAAGTCAAGAGTAGCCCCATACCAGACTAACTTCGGAACATCCAATATTTATATACATCAATTCATTAGATTTGCACGTTCTTCATGAGAGTTCCTTGGTAGGTTTATATAATTCAATGTCAACGGATGATTTGATTAACTTTATCTTTATAAAACCCTCATGGTCCGAAATTACTAATATATCGTATGTTCTACTCGTGACATTATCACACGGCATATTGCAGTAGCAGCGATGATATATGGAATGTTTCAAATTATCCAAGGCCGGACCAGTACGATATAATATAATAACGTTATATAAGGAAGGGAAATATCGTTTCTGCATCAGAAAGGAGACTACTTTTTCCAAACAATCTAACCTAACTTGGCCTCCTAAATGAATCTTCCTAGAAAGTATAATTTTCGGAGAATTACCTGATAAAACAAAAAAAAAATTGACCCCTTGCATCAGGAATTGAACAGGGGCCACAGTAATAAGATACACATTTCACTGTACCATTCGCTTACTTGGAGCAATTCACAATGAAGAAGGAAAAAATATAAGGTGTTGTGAGTGACGTCGTATGCGCGCAAGAATTCAGAGAAAATGGTGTAGATTTACGCTTGTGCACTGCGAATACTTGTCAACCAATTTTTCCAAGCTTGTCACGTGGTATGCACGAGTTCAATTCAGCGCAAATCTAATAGCGTATTCGACTGGCTGCACTATTGCGCATTCAACTCCAATTTTTGTCGTGATTGTTTGTTCGGCTGGTATGCACTCAGACTGTACCAGTATTATTTCTATCCGGCTGAACAGGCACTACTCAAGGGTAGAGCAGAATTTATGTTCGACAGCTAAAATTGTTCGATTGTTTTCGCACAACAATTTCTGACGATGCCTAAGTCACGGGCTCAAAAATGCTGTAAGTTAGTGGGCATTTATAGTTGCATACAACATTTTTTCTACGATCGTGCAAAAAGCAATAAATGATTCATTGAGGTGCGGCACTAGGTACAATTCTGTTAATTGTCAGAATTAATTTTTGACTGACGTTTCTATAACCACAGTTGCAATATAAAAAATGTTTGTCATGATGACAGCACGTTGAAGTAGAATGACAGATGAGTGCAATAAAAACTTTATTGCACTAAGTGCAATAAAGAACTTCTTTTTCCACTAAATATAGTTCAATAAAGTTCTGCTTTTTGCATGAATGTAGAAAAAATACATTGTCATGTTCAAATTTCGAAATGAATGTAATGAAACTATTAGCAATTGATTGCCTTATTGTCATTGTCGAGCAACAATGATGGATTCATAAAATCGAAATTGGATGAAGCAGTGAAGGAGAAAATTAATGATACCCAGACATTTCAATTAAATATTGGAATACTAGGTATTCCTAGTAAATGTAATTATTCACAAAATGTCTACATATATACTTATTATGCCGCAAATAATTATCCTCTCCATACTTCGAGATTTGAAATATAATTTGATAATTTGTCAGTTTGGAAATCAAATCTTTGGTTAGATCTGGCTTGATCCAGCATTAGGATCCAACAGCACAATGTCGTAAAATTGAAGGTCGTTTGCAAGTTTCTCGATGGCGCCTACTCTGATAAACCTTTGATAAACATACTTGACGTGGGTAAATCTCGCTAAGCTCATCCTGGTTACAATCCATATTTACAGGAAACATATTACCGACCGATAAATATTTGGATACGTATATGATTTGGATCAGAGCAGTGAACTGATTCCTGATCAAAGGATCGAAACGTCAATATGTCAAAAATATTCTTGAGCTGAAAAAATGGTTATTTCTGAGATTGGGGTCAAGTGTTCGTTAGGGACGTGTTCCCTAGTTTTTAAATTTTGTGTATAATACCTAATCCACCATCATAGAAAAAAGAAAATCTCTGTTCTACAACAGTATTATTTCAGTGATTTGAAATATTAGCGTGAACTGGTGTGAATAAATTCTAAGGTGAGTAACTGTCACCATATCTGCCTATTATGATTTTCGATATTGGTCTATTTCAATAGTTGATACATTCTTTGTTCTGGTTCTTCAAAGAGGAAATCCATCAGATTTCATGCTTTAAATAGGTTCATGTCATGAAAGAAGTGAAGCTTATTAAAATCGGCTACAAAAATGATTTCTTGATTCTATTTCAAATTGGAATTTGAATGAATATGTTGAGCACAGTATTTATTCGACCACAGAACAATGATGGAAATAGATTCATCCCTCACAGAACCAAGGTTTTGAACGATTTTCCGATTATGGCGCCTCTATCGCAAATACCTGAACCCCACGTCCAAAACTCGCTTGCAATTGTTCCATATCGAGAGTTAGTCTGACGAAACAATTGAAGAGTGAGCCCACCAGTTAAATTCCTATACATCTCTGTCGTAAACATACCAGTCGAATATGTCAATATTGAACTTCATCAAGATAAATGATATTGAGGATTGTGAACGGCTATCTTTGAATCTGAAACGCGTTGAACAATGGTGTTGCAGTAACAAATTACCTTTGAACGCTAGCAAATGTAATGTGATGACATATACACTTAGAAATCAACTCATTTTATTTCCGTATGATATTAGTGATACAATACTTCAACGTCCGCCCACATTTACCGATTTAGGTGTCACCTTTGACACAAAACTTTCATTCACACCGCATATTGAAGCTACTTTGTCTGCTGCAAACAGGATGTATGGATTCATAGCGCGGATCTCTAGAGATTTTTCCGATCCAGCCACATCAAAAACATTATATTATGCCTTCGTCAGATCAAAACTGGAATATGCATCTTTAATTTGGAATCCGTCTCATCAGCTGTATATAGAGAAAGTTGAATCAGTACAACGTCGTTTCCTAAAACTTCTTTCCTATAGATCTGATAATGTATATCCACCAATCGGGTTTCCTCATGATACATTATTAGCTAGACATGCTATGAAAAGCCTTAGTTGCCGTCGTGATTGTCAATCCACAGTGTTCCTTTTCAAAGTGGTGAATAACATTATCACTGACTCACACATTTTGCAGAAGCTGAGTTTCACTGTGCCTAGACAAACTTCTAGAGTTTTCAATACATTCTATCTTCCGACACCACGACAAATATTCTGAAATATTCTCCTCTCCATAACATGTGTTCTATATACAATAATTCATCAAATAATCATCCAGATATCTTTCATTGCTCTATCTCTACGATTTAATCTTTTTATTTCAGCTGTATTATTAGTTATTCTTATTTCCCTGTTCTGTAGTTGGGTTTGACCTGTAGAACAGTGTAACATTAAATAAATAAAAAATAAATAAATAAATAAATAAATAAGACAGTGCCAGAATAATTCGCATTATCTACATGCATCTGCTCTAAATGCATTCGAACTGAACGAATTCTGTACGCTATAAGAACTAGCATTGTCTCTTCTTCCGTTGTTTATAGGTCGTGAATTATCATTGATCATTGTTAATATTTTCAGATACCAAGCCTACTGTTCGACCTCCAGGACAGTCCAGAAGACTGGCAGTACGAAGTGGAACGCTCGAAACATTCTTGTTTGGGCTTCAAAAACCAGCAATGCAAGTGGTGCAGAGGCAAAGTGCTAGGTGGCAGCAGCAGCATAAACGCAATGATATACGTCAGAGGGAATAAGAGAGATTATGATGGATGGGCAGATATGGGCAACAATGGATGGGATTGGGAAAACGTTCACAAGCATTTCAAACTGTTAGAGAATCTAGAAGATCCGGAATTCGAGAATAGTACGCAGTATGGCAGAGGAGGATATCTAGATTTATCTTGGTATGATTCAGGTAATACGTTATAGAACAATCATTATAGAGATATAGTGAAGAAGTCTTCGAGCAGAAGCTTGTAGAGATTTGAAACAAAACGAGACGTGGTGGTCGAATCTAAACTTACGACCTCGAACGACTGCCGTTCGTGCTGCCATCTTGGAAAAATGGCGCCCAAAATCAGTTTTTGGTGTTCCTCCAAATTTCAGAGAGGAGGCTTCTTATTGAAAAATTGGTATATTGGATTCTGCTCCAAAACTCGAATAAGTACATCTCTAAGTTACACGACTATGAAGTAGTCTCAAAGTCAGAAGTATTAAATATGAGTAGTGCTTCTATCCGATATGTTCACATTATCCACGGATTAACATCTTCGTGAAATGTTGTACAATGGATTTTTTGAACACCCTCACCGCTCCGTTTCATAAATCAGCGTGGCCGGTTCAGTACAAGATTCAGTACTTTTGTTGATGATTAGTCAAACTCTATATTGCTCCAAGGAGTTAGTAATCTTTGGTATAATGTAGTACACAATTCAATAGCAACCAATTTCCGCCCAGAAGAATGTAGAATACTTTCCGAAATTGACTGAGTTTTCTTGCTTAACACACCGGCTCAAATCCATTCGAGGTATCTGAGGTCTCTGGGGATTAGATTAATCCCCCTCTTCATCTCGCCCTCTTCGAATAGAGGACTTTGAAAGACATTCCTAAATGTTTCTGAGTAACCTACAAGTCAGCAATCTTTCCTAAAGTTTTTGATTACCGGCTTCTTCATGGGATTTGGATTCAGGTATTAATGTATTGTAAGTAATTAAAAGGGATAAAGTAGTTAAAACGTTTCGACCATGGCCAATCTTTAAAGGGTTTCCATTGAGAGACATTGTAACATGAAATAAGAAATAGAGATACGTACCTCAACCAAATTCATATTTCCCAGTTTGATATGTTGACTCCACTTTTCAATCCTTTTCTAAGTTTCAAAACGAACCTCACAATAATTGCGCCAAAGTTAGTGAAACACTCAGATATTCAATGTTAAATTATATTAAGAAAGAAGAAGACAACTTGACCTGACATACGTTCTATACCAATATTGTTTCATGTCATTTTTGTCATAATTCAGTCCCTGTCGAATGTCTATTTCACTGTCGAACAAGTCCAAATTGAACTAATGAAATTGCAGTTTTTCCCCGTTTTAGAATCTAAGAATAACATGATAGCACCGCTCGAATTTTAAATTTTTTCAAGACAAAAAAAATTACAGAAATGTTTGTTTTTTAGGCATAAAATATAGAAAATAGAATGAATAGGAAATATGAATTTGGTTGAGGTACGTATCTCTATTTCTAGTTTCATGCTATAATGACGTCTCTCAATGTTAACCCTTTACAGATTGTTTATTGAATTGACAAAGCCCATGTCACTGGGCGAAACGTTTTTACTACTCTATCCCTTGATTCCCTTGTAATAACTTACAATACAATAATTCCTGAACCCAAACCCCAAGAGTAAGCCGTTCAACAAATATAATTACAGGATTCAAGAAAATACCCCTCATCAAAGAATTCCTAAAGATGATTATATTCTGTTTTACTCGGTATCCTATAGTGAATTTCAACCGCTCTCCTCCAATAACAGAAATGTGTAAGAAACTATCCTGGCCTCCCACGCCGAGACGATGTGACGGGAAAGGTTCGTCAGGAAGTTTTCCATTGTTGCCGTTGGTGTAGAGCACCTCGCCTCTGCGTTAGTCTGCAAAAGCCAGGCTTAGTCACTGAAGTCCAGCAAGATTTGCGATAACCTCCGTTAATCCGCAGTGATCTCTAATGAATATGTTGATTTTGATAGATTCCACATCATGTTAAAAGAGTTGCCTCACGTTCCCAGAAGATTCTCCATATACCTTTAAAAGAAAAAATGATACATGCCAAATATTCATTGACTATTCCTATAGAATAGTCATATCTTGCCGATATCATAAGGTGTTTTTGAGACCTCATACAATTATCAAATTACCTTCACAGCTATTTGGTTTCAGGAATACCAGTAAAAGAAACAATTCTAGAAGCTGCCCGCCAAATGAACTATCCCACATTGCGAGAAGAAAACCCTCTCAACCCTCTGGGATACTTTGATTCGATTCAAACAACATCCAATGGCATGAGAACGAATGCAGCCAAAGCTTTCCTTGGGAAAGTGAAACACCGGAAGAATCTATTCGTCGCATTAAACTCTAACGTCAGGAAAATAATTCTGAACGCACACACCAAAGCAGCTGAAGGAGTAGAAGTTACTATCGCAGGAAAAACGTTGAAGTTGTATGTGAAAAATGAGGTAGTACTTAGTGGAGGGGCGATCAACTCGCCGCAGTTACTGATGCTATCAGGGATTGGTCCAGAAGATCATCTGAGACATGTCGGCATAGAGTTGGTAAAGAATCTACCAACGGGCCAGAATCTACAAGACCATCCCTGCTTCACTGGGTTGTATCTCAAAGTGGACAATAACTCGATTCGACCAAGATACCCCATGACACCAGTAGATGAAATGTATGAATACTTCACGAAGAGGACCGGAGAATTGTCCAGAATCTCGTTGACCAACATGATCAGCTTCATCAACACCAAAAACGACTCGGTTTACCCGAATTTCGAGTTCCACCACATCCTCTTCTATCCAAACGACCAGTATCTTCTTCCGACAGTCAACAGAGCAGCAGGTTTCGACATGAAAATAACTGCTAGTCAAATGTTCCACAATAAGAACAATCCCACCTTGGCCTTTTTCGCCACTCTCCTAAGACCAAAGTCACGAGGTGAAATTCTTCTTCGAAGTACTGATGTCTTCGACAAACCCATCATTCGATCAGGGTATTTGACTGACGAAGATGATGGAGATATGGAGTTATTCCTAGAATCCATTCGGTGAGTATTCATATATTCTTCATAGAAGTTATAGATGATTAGGTAGATTTCATTGTACTGATGGTATCATTCCCTTCCAGATAGCTTATCTCTATTATTATTCCATCTGGCAAATTTATATTTTCATACAGAACATCCTGTGTTTGACTTCTGATAAAGAGTTTGATGTTACCTACCAACATTGTAAAGATATAAGTTGTGTACTTTGACAGAATCTGTTTACACGCATTTGAAAAATACCGTATGTATGTAGGTTGACCGAGAAAATTATTTATATCCTATTAGTTTTTTCTCAATAATTCTTCGCTGTGGATAAATCAGTTGATTTGGTCATTGAATCATCAAATAAAAAGTTGGAATGATCATTAATTAATAAAATAACCTTCCGTTCTATTCTTCAAGTTGTTCGTTGCTGAGTATTGCCTAGTCTTGAATGTGTTGGGTGAAACTCCATTTATCAAACCGATTATATCTGAAGTGCGCAATATGTTATTTAATTTTTGCGTCAGTGCTTCGATATGTTTGGCCGATTTAATTCATATTACACTAGATCTTCAGGACCTGTTGCAACTCTGACGTTGCTTCCACCCCATGTATCAACTCGAGAGTACTCGCTTGGCTATTTGGCGCTTGGTATATGTTCATTTCATTTCAACTCCAACTGCTTGATGGTGATAAAAATGAATGACAATTGTCCGGCCAACCCTCTAATTACACTAAGACTAATATCTTTGAGAATACAGGTGGGGTCGCAAGATTACTCTAGTGTATGTATGTCCGTACTCAATTCTGTCTAAATGTGAATAGCCAGGATCGGATTTGGGATCATTAAGAGATTAAGCTTTTGTGATTAGAATCGATAGAATTTGTTAACATGAATAAATAGGTATAGGATTATTAAACTACAATAACTGTATTCAAAATGAAACAATATTATTGCTTTATCAGGTGAATACATATTCCAACAGTAGTCAATTTCTCATTGGTACTCTAGAAATTGTCCTAGGGCTTGATTTTCATGCCTCAGCTGCACAATTGACAACATACATGTTTTCATTAGAAGTCTCTTTTTCATTTTGGAAATAATATTTCTACATTGCTCGTTGAAAACTTCTCGTCGAGCCATTTTCGAATTCCGTATCACAAGCTGGAAACAATAGAAGAAGTAACACAACACACGTCAAAGATGATGAACACATCCAAAATGAGGCAATTGTCTGGCCAATTTCGAGTCCCTCTCTGTTAATCTACCTAGTTTGGAAAAGAAGTACTCCTTATCGGCAATCCTTCTCTAGTATAATCAATTCATTCAATTCCTCCATAACATTAATGGTAGCTCAAGGAGGAGAGGTACCTGGGAGTATCTTAGGTATATTTGAAACAAGGAAATCGTTTGGACGTATATGTTGTGTCACACCAACGTTTTATGGCGGATTTCACCTTCCGAAAATGTCCCAACTTCAGTATTATCTAGACCAACTACATCCATTCTGAAATAGATAGAATACTTTTTCAACAGTACAACGAACATTTTATTGAATCAAGAACACATGAAATTGTGCTAGAACGACGGATCCGCATAAAACCATATACGTATTAATAAACAATACGGATAATAACGGGTGCCAGGATGAAGCCAAAAATATGAAACAAATGAATATCCATAAGGATTTGGTGGCATGATACGCATGCGCCATGCGCTATTATTGTAGTCATCAAAGACATGCGTTTCGGTGGACAATGACGTTTACTAGCCTTTCAATCAAAGCAGTATGTGTCTGATCGTTTCAAAACTTTTCCTTATTGATAGTCATTTGTCTTCAAAAATCGGCTTCATGTTTCGCTATGGAAACAGATAGAGATTATCCGTATTGATTATTAATACGTATATGCATAAAACAAACATAAAATGAGTGAAACAATAAAAGCAAGAGAATATTTTTTTTTAACTTACATTTTAGTTGACGAGACCTCGTACCATCGAAGTAGCATAATGCCACTTTGGAAGTCGGCAACGGATTATCGGAGATCAAGTAACTGCCCGAAAATGAATTGATATTCGATTCAAGAATTATAACGATTGATTTGGTTAATTGGTTAATTCGATTCTTCCACTCTTCATAGTGTTTTGCAATCTCTTAAGAACTAAAATCTATGAAATTGAATAAACCGAACGAAAATTTAATCTACTGACTAATCAGATCTGGAAAAATAACTGGATCTCATAACTAAGAGATCTACGATGAACAGAATTGCCCCAATTATCAGCAGGAACGAGACAGCACCGTTTCGGCCCACCAGGTATCATCAGCCGCTCTCGGTCTGCTGACACCTGGGACAACTCAACGCTTCGGGTATATCAGCCATTTCAAAGACTGTTTATAGATTAGAGATGGCAGCTTCCTACAGTATAGAACGAGGCCACAAGGCCCTACCTTAGAACTAACGCCACTGCTCGATGCTCGCTCAAAGTTCGAGTTTTTAGAACTGTGTACATATAACACACATTACCATAAATTTCGAGTGGAAAAATATTTGAAACTTAGTTCCTGTAGGAATATCGTGCGTTCTTAAGGAGGATATAGGGAGAAGAGGTAGGTGTTGAGTTTTTTTGGAACTTTTGAAGGTTATAAGTTCTTGGAAATACTTTCATGATTGAGATACAGAAGTACTTCGCTACGAAGTAGCATTAACCAAAATTCAAAATCACCTAAAAGTTATAGAAAGCTAATCAGATGTACAGGTATTGAAAAATATTAATTGTTGATGCAGTAATGATAGAAAAATAGTTATTTCGTGAATGACAATTCAATGCTGAATCACTATTGTCGACATTCAATTGAACATCATTGACAATGAAGACAACATCTTCATTCATTAGACTGTTTCTGGCAGTGCTCACAAAGAAACCACAGAAGGTATAGATGCTCGTATAGATGAATCTATCTTATGTGGATCAGCGGAACCAAATCTACTATCAATGTGCTATCAATAATCTAACTTTGTGATTGACAAAACATTTCTGACGATAAGGAAAAGATAGTCGCACCAACTCTCGAGAAGTATACTTGTATGAACTCTGATCTTCATGAGCTTGAAAAATCATTCGTATCTGTGATATATATTATTATTATAATTTTCATGAATCCTCCTCATACGTGACAGTATCAATGTTCCCCAGGTACACAGAAAGACTCATCGAATCGGAAGCCTTCCAGAAACACAAACCCGAACTGGTCCAGCTGGACCTTCCAGAGTGCGACAAGCTCCCCTTCCGCTCCGACGCATACTGGAGATGCTCGCTGAGGCACCTGAGCACCACCCTGTACCACCCTGTGGGCACCTGCAAGATGGGTCCGAGGGACGACGGTACTTCGGTGGTGGATCCCCGGTTAAGGGTGCACGGCATCAAGAAATTGAGGGTGGTTGACGCTAGTGTGATGCCGAGGATAGTAAGCGCCAACACGAATGGGCCAACCATGATGATTGGGCATCGCGGTGGGTCGATGATAATAGAAGATTGGACAGACGGACACGATGAACTGTGATTTTTTTTTTCATCTTCAAGAACACGTGATAAAGGTTGTCTACAATTTGTAATTGCTTCATGCTTTAATTGTAGTAAACATATATTATCAATCATTCATTTATGTATTTGTCACTTGTGAAAAAGCTACTGTGAATATGTTTTTATTGTTCGTTCCCATATCATATCATAATTTCTTGTCAAACGACTGAAATTTTGAAATTATGTCGTGAACAAAGACTGTACCAGACATTGGCGCACCCAGGACTCAGGCCTGGGAGGGGCACAATGTGTCTAAAAGACTTGCATTTCGACCCTAATAAAAAAGGGGCAAATAAGCAAACTGTCGAAAATTCAACGAACATTTTTTATTTTTCAACTATACAAACTAGGTAGGTAATAAAACGGGAATTTACAAAACAAAATCCAGCCTCCTAGGTCCTCTCTCTGTCAAAATATTCAATACCTCATTCGTATCTACATGTACCTCTCTATGGATATTCAAATTGGCAAGGCCGTTCAGCCTATTTTCTCCCATAGTATTTATTAAATATGATTTAAGCCTTCGTAAAGTCGAAAATGTTCTTTCTGCTGTAGCTGTTGATACTGGCAATGTTGAAAATATTTTGAGTAATATAAAAATATATCACGCTTTGCGGATTCTTTTTCTAATCTCAATTGCGAAAAAAAATCTTAGGAACCGAAAGTATTTTACTATAATTTGGTAAATTACTGAATAATTTTCGGTATACGCTGATCTTCATGTTGATAGGAATACCGAAAAATTGGTAGGTTCCGCTTTGGCAATGGTTGTGTGTGTTCGCGAGCAGTTCTTTGGGGGGGGGGGCACGTGCCCCAGTGCCCCCCCCCCCTTTGTGTGCGCCACTGGTACCAGAGCATATAAGTACGCCGGGGCCTAACTTTTACGATGCCGCCGCGCCGCCGCCAAATATTCAATTTTCAATTGTCAGTTTTTTTTCAGATGAATACTAAAATACTTTTCTTGATTTTTTGATGCAAAGTCGTCAACGGCATCATCATCATCATAACATGTCACTGTTATTACTTAACTTCCACTCTTTTTAAAGTTGAGAATGACCTTTCACCACTGGCATTACTAATCATCAGGGATAGTAAAAAAATTCTCAGTAATTGCCAATATTCAATGAATAAGGAATTTATTGTGATTATCCCTAAAACAACGCTTATAGTCGTGTTCATATTTTGATAATCTATTTTTGAGATTCTAACTCTTCTTTTTCGCGTATCGAATATAAAAAATATAAAACTTATCATTCCTGTCTTGAGATCGTGAAGTTCCTAGAGACGGTTCTGTCGGTTCTGATTCTGTCTCATTTGAATTTAGAAAAAATGAATGTATTTTAGGGCATTTCTTGACAACTTCGTCTGACTGCTTTTGTTTATTGATCTTCTTCCGTTTCCAGAATGCACCACCTTCTTTTTTACTCATTCTCTTAAATTTCAGTTTCAATATTTATTTTTTATTATTAGTACCATTACCAACAATACCAACGACAACCTATTAGATACTGAACTCTGATTTTGTTTTTTGTTATTGAGTTAGACGAATCACGAAATTACCCCTACTCTACTGAGTAGAATGCGGTTTTTCTTCACATCATCAAATAAAAGTATGTACTGCCGTGTATTGTAGCGTTCAACCAAGACACAGCTGACGCTAGATGAGCGCATGTTATGATTTCCACAAAAACAGTATCTCAACCCACAACGACTGTATTGCTGCTTGCTTTTCCTCTTTTCTCTTTTTCTCTACCGCCTCTTGAAATTCACCGCCGGGGGCTGATAGTCTCATAGCCCCCCCCCCCCTCTAAATCCGGCACTGAATGGAGGACACTTTGAGGAGTGAAATGATGATTAAACATCACGTCATTAGAGGATTCTCACAACGCTGAAGTAATGTTGCGGATCACTCACTATTTCATCGCCTCTTTCCAGAATCTTTCTTATAGAAAACTTCATCATCTCTCTCATATCCCTCCTGCTATGCTTTCTAACTCAGGGTTAAATTCTACGTTTCATTTCGCGGGGGTTATGTTGAACTGAAATGTAATAAAATAAGGTAGAAAAAATCAGTGACAATAATGTTTCTATCCAAATGCTTCAGGAAGTGAAAGAAGATTTCTTCAGATATGTAATCAATCGAATACCTTACTCACAGAATAACTTACGTGAGATATCCAAAAGCATTTTTCTCTCATTTTCAGAGCATTTGAATAAAGGCTTGTCTTTTTTCATATTATTTCATCTTTGATTTTTTATTTCAATAGTTAAAGTAATGAAAGCTTGTTTTCAACAATATTTTTCATTTTATTTTTAATAGGATCAGTCCATAATAACACAACTTGTCGGCTATTTTGATTTCATGAATTCCGACAACGAATTCTGAATTTCCAACCCCAAAAACCCTCACATACCAATTTCGAATCGAATCGAACCATAATCACAAATCTGGTCAGCCACATTGGAGCCGCCATAAAGCATTGTCAACGGTCATCTGCCAGATTCTGAGTTGATCAGACGATCAGAAGTAGGTAAAAATTCAGTTGCGAGATTTGACCTAGATAATTGAACTTAACAAGGGGAAGCTTTCGTGACTGTTCTATAATAATATTCTTGGAAATATTAGCTTTCGAAAATGTTTATTTTCTTTATCAAGACTAACTGAAAACATCTTCAAATGAGTCAACCATCATCTATGCCATTTTTTTGTCAAATCATTTCATTTTTATTTATACACCTATGTTTCCTTTTTGTGCTAATTTTATATAGAATTTCATGTTTGTAAGTATACCAATTTCATTTGATGTACATTTATATTCTAATATTATTGTTCCATTCGATGTTTTCAGTTAGTCTTGATAAAGAAAATAAAAATTTTCGAAAGCTCGACAAATAACGAAGAAATCTAATTAATTCATTGGTCCAGACTGCATCCCACTAATATTTCCAAGAATATAATTGAACTTAAGTACATATACCAAAATCGCAATTTAAATGAAAACTTTAAAAAATAAATTTTATTTGCTAATAGTTCATTTTATCTAAATGCACCTTTTCATGTAAATAGCCCTGAGATTTCATAATTTCATGTCAAAAAACTGAAATTGCGATGAACAAAAAAGTTGGGGTTATTTTTACCCCCTACCTCCCTATTTTGACACACCTCTGTATTCAATTTTGGGGTGATTTTAACTCCATTCGAACCGGCACTGAATAGTGAGTGTTGGAGATAATAATACAAAATCATTCTCCGAGGCCCCCCTTTGAGGGGCTGTATCTTTATTGGGGGTCACTTCAGAAAAAAATGTTACGGAGGTTTTCGTAACTATTTCACACACTCTATATGCTACCAAAGTTTGACCACCTATTTTAAAATCCCCTTCTTTATTATCAATCATTCATTTATGTATTTGTCACTTGTAAAAAAGCTACTGTGAATATATGTTATAATTGTTCGTTCTAATATCATATCGAATTCGAGCCAAAATCTCAATATCAGTTGGCAACCCTCTTGAAAGTGTAGGTAATAAAATAAGAATTGACCATCACCGGAAAGTGAATGACCGCATGAACCATTGTCATAAAGTGAATAATGACGTGATATCGGCGAGACAGTTGAAGGGTTTTTCCTGGCGTTTTCCCAATAATTTGGTATTCTTTTGGAATGTAAAATGGCAACGCTGGAACATTCCGAGTAGTATTTACTTTTCTCAAAGGATTATTGTAAAGGATCTGGGTTACTTTATATAGTTTTCGCGCAAACACAACCATAATGACTATAGGAAAAAGCCAAATACTCAATGGTCACAAAAGAGAGAGACTTAAAGTCATACCACAATAGTTCATAAAATGAACGAAAATGGTAGATAACGTGAGAAAAATAACTACTTTCTTGGCTATATGCCACGCAGAACATTCAATCACATCATCCCGAAATCTATGCATGCAATAATTCGTATAGACGAATAAAATCGCAAGTGTTTTCTTCCCAAAAATGCCGAGCTGCGCCTGAGTATTTCAGGGACGCGTGACTACCTGCAGATTGGTTTCGAACTGTTGGCTCTTATCAGTGCAGGGCTGTCCCAGATAGCATTCTTGACCGCTATCTGGTGCGAACTTGGCCCAACGTAAACGCATCTCAGCATTTATACCCTACGAGGCGTTCAACAACCATAATAGTCTCTCATCAGAAGAAAAATAATCTGCTAAGTGAGATTTGCTGGTTTAAAACATAATATGTAGAATGTTATTTAGAGTTTTCTTCGAACGGATACCAGGCTTGTTGAAGTCACCCTCCAAGAAGCTCTCCCCTTATTTTATGTGTTATGTAGATACCTATGATGAATAAAGGAATTTACTCAAAAAGTGAGTGTCCCACTTTTCTCTGTTTGAATACTAAAATTGAACTGAAAATTCGAGGAAGGGTAATCATCACATTACAAGAGATTTCTGAACATGCACAGACTGAAGATGATTGGTCAAATACAGTTGGGCTCCTGCTTGTGCGTTTCCAGGTTACGAGATAGACAGCATATTGAAGTGATTTTTTGAACAATTTTGTGGAAGTTTGTTTTGGAGTTTTGTCAGGCTTGTTTGTGTCACCTGATGATGTGGAGCGAAGGTGAATGTCTTCTTCTGTTATTCTGAAAGCTTTACTTTCATTATGGGTTGACGAGTTATCAACTACTTGAGTTTGATCATACGATTGTGGGATATTCTGCGATTAATTGAAAATCTTTCTCAAGATTTATAATCACTGTTTTCCATCATCTCAATAACCTCTTGGTTGGGAATACCTTTTTTTTTTGAGAAAAAAAAGCAATAAGAGAGAGAGAAACTGCTTTCCCGACTGATATAGTATTCATGTTTTCCGTATCACTGAAAGATTTTTAAGATCAGAAAGCCCTAAAACACCAAATTTTGTATGATTTCAGGATTGATGATAACAAATATAATTGAAGAGAAATGGACTTGGGAGCTTTAGAGGGCTGTAGCGCCGTTAGGAAGTATTTTCTCCTTTCTATCTGCAGGATTGCCTGCCGGAGTATACGCACGATATTCTGGTATACACTGTATAAGGTTCGGATTAGGAAGCCAAGTCCAAGTTCTAACACAGGGTGTTGACGTTTGGGATATGTTTCCTGAAAAAATCGAGTTTTCATCAATAAGTATTGTGAAAATCTTGAGTATACCGATTTGAATACATTTTCTGAGTTTGTTGGGAACTTTATGAAGTCTCTTAGTACACTCTGTAGATTTTATTGCACAATTTATAATTTTTTTTTCATTTATAGACATCTTCATGTGCTTGAGAATTTCTTTTCCAAGATGTATGTTAATGAATTCATTGCAAATATTTCAAATGATATCCATTGTGTGCAATATAATTTCGTAACGGAATAATATTTTTATATTGCTAGCATTATAATCGTTCACACGTTCACAATTCTATCCTAATAAAATTCGATTGATCAATTATCAAAATTGAACAGCAAATTCTATCGATATCCATTCATTGACAGAATCCATTACAAGAACTATATGAACTTCATTATTAAATCATAAATGATACTTTCAGTTTCCATCGAGTAAGATCATTATAAAGATCGACACAATTTTGAGTAATGCTAATCTGGATATTATTCAAATATATAGGGTTTTCACGAAAAAAAATACATACATCAAATTTAAAGCCTGGAAAGCCTCAAGGTGTATATGTACTATCGAATGGTGCCATTGGAAAAAATATTGCGATCAAATATAGTTATTTGTTTTACTAGGCAGAAAAGCACAAGATTCAATGCTGTGGCTGGCGTTTCATAGCCAAGGCGTAGCCGAGGCTAGGAAACCAGCCAAGGCATTAAATCCGCTTTTCTGCCGTGTGAAACATATAATTTTTCTCCAAATCCGTACGATTTCACGCAAACGCCAAATAATCCATCATTTTGCGTTCACCCAACGTCAGCGAGAATTGGGGAGAATGAAGCGGAGTTGCCACAGATCATCAGAATATGCATAGTGAAATAGAAAATAAAAATTCTCACTAATAAATGAACTTAGTTCATTGTACCAGTATATCACCTGATGAAGCTACTGTGTTAGCAAAACATGTCATGTCTTTGGTAATTTTGTGGAAATCATATCATTCATATCGTTTGTGGAGTTTCTACATTTGCCATAGATTTCCATCAAGGAACGGCCGAGTCAATTGAAAAAAAAAAAGATGTATTCAGAAGAGCAAAATATATTGCAAGCAACTCAAATACTTTTGACGGATTGTTTGAGGTAATATAAAAATAGATTCAATTTGAAATATTCAAGAAAATCTGGAAATAAAATTATTTTCCTTCGCCCTCTCACGACTCAACGGTGCATTCTCGTTTAGAGGTTTCCCCCTGTAGAATTTATGGAACGTTCTCCTGGGACACCTCATACATATTAAGATTTTTAGGAGAAAAAAAAAGATCTCTATAATATAGGCAACATAAGAAAGATGGATGCATGAAAGATCATCACTAAAAATGTTATCGAGAATAAATGAGAATAATTTTGAGGCGGCAATTCAACTATATAAAACAGTGAAACAACCCGTATATCGATCAAGAAAACAGATCTTAAGACGGATTTTGGTGGAACTTCTTTGATAGATCAAATTCCTGACATACATCAGTTGAGAATCAAATTTCTGTCAAAGTGTTTCTATTGTAAGGTTCGGTTCTGAAAATTCACAGTTTTTCATCACCATTTAAAATGCATGGAGTAGTGGAATACGACATATCGCCTATTAGAGGTCCCCTTGCGAATGCATTCGTCATTTTGATCAATGCGTTATTTTTCAACATCAGACTCATTGGTCTGAATGATATGTATCCGATGGATTGCAGCAGAAAATTATTGAATGTAAGTCAAGCAATCAAGCCTATATATCATAGTCCCTACAGTTATGGAGATACCGAAAAAAGTTTGGCAAACCTGCATTTATCACGCGCACTGGTTGTCTAATACAGATGGAAACATCTCGTTAGGCCCAAATTTGGTAAAAGTGCACTTATCATGCGATGGGGTTTTTTCGAAAAATTTTTTTGGTACTTACGTATTTTCGTCTGAAAAACACGAATTTTATAATGAAAATGTGAACAAAGCACTATTTATCAAGATATTTCACTATAAAATTACAAATTTCACCATATTTTCCGCCTGTCTTCTGGATCACATTTAGAACAATTTGCCCTTTTTTTTCCATCATTGCACAATTTTTATATATCACACAATGTTAGACACATTTTTTTTATTATATGAGTCAACTAGAAATATGATTTTCTTGTGATTTATCCATGTTTAGTGAAAAGAAGGAAGAATATCATTTGAAATAATGGCGTGTGTAATGTCATTCCAAAGCAATCTATTGACATTTGACATCTCGTATTTGGATTGCATATGGATTAAATGGCCGTCATCTGGTATGCTTGCTCACTAAATAGGAAAAACTCGCCATAAAAATCATATTTCCTGTTGACTTTTCTATCTCAAAATGTGTCAGTGAAGTACATCATGAGTATATAAAGTGTCCAATGACAAAATAATAAGAGCAAGTACCTGTAAATGCATCCAACACAAGGGGGAAAAGAAGGCAAGATTTCGAACTTTTTCTTGAAATATCTCGATAAATAGTGTGGGTTGTTCACATTTTCATTAAATGAAATTCGTGTTTTTCAGACGAAAATACGTAAGTACCGAAAAAAATTTTCGAAAAAAACCCCATCGCATGATAAGTGCACTTTTACCTCATAGTCCCTACAGTTATGTAGATACCGAAAAAAGTTAGGCAAAACTGCATTTATCACGCGTACTGGTTGTCTAATACAGATGGAAACATCCCGTTAGGCCCAAATTTCCATCTACCCACATTTCAATTTGCCTTCATTTCGCGATTCACTCATACCTTGCTTCACGCGGACATTTTGATTCAGCCACAGTCTTCAAACACACACGAACCTTGCTACCAAATCTGATCGATGTTGAAAAATATATTTCTTCCAAGAATAAGATTCATTTGGGCCAAGTTAGGTTAGATTGTTTTAGAAAAAGTATTGTCCTTTTTATGCAGAAGGGATATTTTCATCCCTTCCTTAAAAAAGTACCTACTGTCTTCTTAGGGAGAATGTTCATTTAGGTCGAGTAAGGTTAGATGGTTAAAAAAAAGTAGTGTTTATGCAGGAGGGATATCTTCCTTCCTCCCTGAAGAAAGGGCTTTCAATGAGGTCTTATTGCTGGCACCAAACCTTGACTTAGAAGAGAATTCATAACTGTCTTCCTGATTCCTCAAATGTTGTAAATTTTTGAAATGAAATGAAAAATAGAAAACTTGGCAACCACGCATAGACTCACCACAGGAATCTGGTTTTTGTTTACTCGTTACCATGACGATCATTGCCATAGCAACAGTTTTTCCATAGCTGATTTCAGCTAAACTAAACATGATACAACTTGGCAACCACGCATTTCCTCATCATAGGATTTGGATTTTTGTTTACCTGTTACCATGACAATGGTTGCCATGGCATTATTTTTTCCATAACTGATTTCAGCTATACTAATCCCGATACAACTTGGCAACCACGCATTTCCTCACCACGGGATTTAGTTTTTTGTTTACTCGTAACCATGACAACAGTCACCATAGCAACAAATTTTCCATAACTGATTTCAGCTAAACGAAACTTGAACCTTAAAAATTGGGAATTAATATTTCATCAAATGTGAGTTGATCGAATTATTAGTCGACTAGCTTGAACCAAAACCTGTATGATTTCCTCAGCAGTTTGGCAATTTTTTTCGACTAATTTCAGTGGACTAGTATTGCAAAAAGTGCGATCCAAAAGTGACTGCAATACAGGGGTGTCTTCGTCCCAAGTGTGATTAATTGTCCAACAAAAAATGTTGGATCATTCCGACATTGTTATCTTTTATATAAGTTATTAGTTATCAAGCGATGCGATAGAATCAGTTGAAAATATTTTTGAGGCGGCAATTCTTCAACTATGATCTGAAAAAACCACTTAGGTATACAGCGTGATCCAAAATTCGATGTCAATATTTGACAGGCGTATATTGTTGAGATCAAAATAAGACTTCTTCTTTATATAAACAGTATATATTTTTGCATGCTCAATGTATGTGAAAAGTAGGATGAATCGATATAAAACCCTTCAAGATGTCCACAGTTATGAGGGCGCAATGTCGATCAAAATATTCAATAATTTACTGTCAGACATCTTAAGCATAAACAGGTTCAAGATAGAATTGAAGAACTATTTGATACCCAAAGTTTATTACTAACTATAAATCAGTATTTTTCCAGTAAACCCAAACTGTAATCGAGATGGAAAATTCCATGTTAGTTTCAACATTGTTTTAGTGTGGACGCTACAAGACATTTCGATTTCAATTGTAATTTCATTTTATTTAGTGTCCTTTATTATCTATTGATAAAACATCGTATTTTACATTTTCTGACGCATCTTATATCATACATGTCTGTTTGAACCTTTTATATGGATATGTCTTGATCTGATAGGAATTAAAGAAATTTTGAATTTTGAATTTTTGAATGTGTCTTAAAATACACCCCCTTCGAGTTGATGAAAGTGTGGACCCTTCAACTTCCCCAAAACTGGATTGACGCAATTTTTGAAGCAAGAAGGAGATGAAGTGTTAAAGAAGACATCAGTGGCAATAGTGGCATGCCAATTTCCAGATGAATTAATCCATTATTTTAGTCAAAATTTTTTTTTACCCAACTTACAGTTTACAGCAACTTACAGTTGCTGTAGGGAGAGCATTTTAGGGGTCGCCAAGACAAGAATTCTTGTCTTGTCTTGAGAAAAGGTCAAGAAATTTCAAAAAAATCTTGTCCTGACGTTTTTCTTGACATAAACATCATTACTTGTCTTGACCCAAGAAATTTCAAGATCTTGAAATTTCTTGATTGACCGGTGACACCGTACATGGTGATTCCCTGGCAAACTTCTCATTGCGTTGTGTGCCAGGGTTGCCATCTCGATTTTTATTTCATCAGTAGATAAGTATACCTTGTCAGAAATTTAGTAGATTTCAGTAGATTTATTATATTATGCTATACAAATTTCTGGATGATGAAATGAACCTATGACGTCAGAAAGATATGAATTTTTCTGTGACGGGAAAAAGTTTGACATTTTATCTATGTTGACAGGTAACAAAATGTCACTTTTAATGAAATCACTTTCTTCCTGCAAAAAAGTGAACACTTTTCCATCAACATATCATAAATTAATTCACAGAGCGTGCCCAAATATCACTCAAGATATAATGACTCTATGTGATTAACTAAAGATCAATATCAATAGGTGATTATAACAATAAATGAGTGCCATAATTTTTTCCAGTAGATTATGGATGTTTCAGTAGACTAGTAGGTCAATATGCAAATCAGTAGATAACCTGAAAATTCAGTAGAAATGGCAACCCTGTAGCGTGCTAACACGGCAATCTGGTGGTTCCCCGATCTTTATTTCTGTTTTCTGACAAAAGCAAACGACTTCACGCACATTAAATGATGCCAGTTTGTGAAATGGTGGTGAAATAGCTATTTGTGTATTTAGAGCGCAAAGTGATAGATTGCCGCTCCACAAAGAAAGTTACCGCGCGATGCGGAGCGGAGCGCGGTAATCTTTGGAGAGCGGCAATAACACTTTGTGCTCGAAATACACACAAGATTTTTTCTACTAACGCAGCTTTTAGAAATAACTACCCTGAAAGTATGAGCGATTGAAATAGTTGAGGAAGTTCTTATCCATATTATCCCATATGTCCAAAGGAAACAAAAAAAAAATTAAATAACTGACAAGCCAGAAAAAAAATGTCGGGCCTACCGAGAGAGAATTGAAACTGGACCACCAGCGTGGCAACCTGAGCTTCATACCTCTGCACCATAGTACGATAAACTCTGCAATCAAATTGAACATTACTCATTGATGCGATGTCTTTCTGATGTCAACAAAGAGTTTAAATATAAAGTATAATTCATCGTTTTCAACAGATATGCTTCATCGGGAGCTTCTTGTAGAAATTTGTTGGTATATATCTTGAACGGTGAATGTTTTGGATTTCTCTCGCTTTATATCCAATAGATTGTTTCTTGAGAAATGCGATAAGTTTCAGATACTTATTGATTCCGATATTATCTTCAACATTCAAGCATGTATACGTACCATCGAATATATAGACCAATGAGTTGATGACTTCAAAGTCTTTGATTTTTTACCAAAATAAGCCAGTAAAACGTTTTCTGAATACATATTCACCATCTCGGAGTGGCACCAATTTATGAATGTATCATATTGTAATTCATATTTCTTCCTTGATTTCACCGGTAAGAGATTGAAACTCTTGCGTTTTCTGCTATGTCATCAGGAAGGAGGTGTGTTTGAGGATTCACTGTCACTATTTTCCATCATGAAAGAATTGGCGGTTTTCAAGAATAGATAAGTATAGGTTACAGAGATGTGCGAGCGTTTTTTCAATATTTCCGCTCATGCACGAGCGCAAATGCTGTCAAAGAATGACATTTCTGGGAAAACGTCAACTTTCTGCTGGAATTTGAAAGCGTCAAAGGCTACTTTGTTAAGCGTTTGTAGAAAAAGTACATTATATTGATATTATCTCTTATTTCATCATGAGTGATAAATGCACGTTTTAGCGTTTTTATTCTCAGTCAAGAAATTTCAAGACTCCTGTTTTCTTGACAAGAAATCTTGGTGTTGACATAAAATTTCTAATCTTGTTTTGAAATCTAAAATTTCTTCTTGTCTCGATCTTGCCTTGAGATCAAGACAAGATCTTGAAATTACCAAGAGGTTGGCGACACCTCGACATATGTTCATATGAAGAAAAAGCCCTATTTTGATCCCAACAATATGTTCTTAACATATTTGAATCGAATTTTGAATCACTCTATATAACTATTATCTAATCAAAATTACAATGAAACATAAATACTGGGAAACTATGATTTTGGGTCACCCCAATGAAGTAATGTGGAAAAAAAAGTATCTGGGAATATTCTTCATATAGATGATGTACAAATATTGGCTCATTAGTTAATATTTGTACAATTTCTGGGTGATTATTTACGCTTGTTATTTGTTGTTTGCGAACGTTGCAAAATATTCCATAATTTATTTATTTTCCAAGATTGAGATCAGAACAGCATGGTCCCATGCACATGTTGATTGATGGAACAGTAATATTGAGTGAAATATCCATGGGCACCCGTTTCAATTTTTCTGAGGGTCAGGATCAGATTCTATAAAGTCATTTCACTACATATTTCCCCAGAAGTTGCTTTATTATCCTATCTTTATTATCATTATTTGGTAAAATTTTCGAAGCAGTTATAACTAAAGAATTATTTTTCAAAATCAAGCACTGCATAAATGAGAATCAACATGGTTTTTACCAGGGAAGGTCAGTAATCACAAACTTGATGCCGTTCATCCAAAGTATTTACGAATCAATGGATGGACATCACCAAGTTGATGCCGTGTACACTGATTATTCTAAAGCTTTTGATAAAGTCCATCATCCCACTTTGCTAGTTAAACTGAACAACTTCGGTGTACACGGCAAACTTCTGACTTGGTTGAGTTCCTACTTAGAAGGCAGAACACAATCTGTGGTAATAAACGGGACTGAATCAAATTTCTCAAAAATTACATCCGGCATTCCTCAAGGCTCTCACTTGGGCCCGATATTATTTGGCCTCTTTATAAATGACATTGGTTCCTGCTTTCATAGATCGCACTACAGTTTGTATGCTGATGATCTGAAAATCTTCTCCTCCATCACGTGTCCGAACGACTGCCTGGAGGTTCAGGATGACTTGAACAGGCTTGGTATATACTGTCAATCCAATAGATTATTTCTCAATATCGACAAATGTTACACTATTACTTTCTCCAGGCTGAAAGACACCATACATCACACATATAATATTAATAATAATAATTTATCAAGAGTCGGAAAAATTAAAGATCTCGGAATAGTATTGGATGAAAAGTTAACATTTGAACAGCATATTGATTCCATAGTTCGGAAATCACTAAAGAATCTTGGTTTCATATCTCGAGTAACGAAACAATTTCAAAATCCGCATTCATTAATAATACTGTACAATTCATTTGTGAGGAGCCACCTAGAATATGGATCTTTAATATGGGATCCTTGTTACTACAAATATATAGATAGAATCGAAAGAGTCCAAAAAAAATTCTTAAATGTTCTTAACTACAGATATAACAGAGATCTTCAATTTTTGCCGTACGAACGTAGACTAAATCACTACAAAATGTGCAAACTAACCTCTAGGAGACTGGTCGCAGGTATGATATTTCTGTACAAGCTATTCAACAATAAAATTGATAGTACCGAAATATTGGGAAAAATAGATATACGAGTCAAATCCGTTTCTTCTCGATCCTGTTACTTGTTTTATGCACCCTATTTCACTACGAACTATGGAAATAACTCACCCATCAGCAAACTACAGAGAAATTATAACACTTTTTTCAGTCAGATTGACATTTTCAGTATCACCTTGCGTAGCTTGAAAGTTATATCATACTCTATACTGGGTCAGCAGCAGTGACAGTGAATTAAATATTTCCAAACTATAGAATGTAAATTGTTTAAAATAAAAATACTTATCTATAGCATAACATGAAAATATACTACTATCAAGGCATTTTCTTTTTTAGCAAATCAGGTATTTTTTTTTTCTTTTTTTTCTTTTTGTTTTAGTTGTATCATAGATCTATGGTTGTATTTTGCTCTCATGCTATCACTTTTATAGTAAGACTGATTTATTGTATGTGCCATTATTTTCCTTCGAGCGACCCTGTTATTGGCATTAAATTGTTTGTTGGGTCGCCAAATTGTTAAATAAATAAATAAATAAATGCTTATGTACAGAGGGTATCCCAATTTGGGCACTTTTACGGGGTATTTTCCTCATCAGTAAAGATAGAGCATGCAGTTTTCGCGACAGTTTGCTACTTTTTTATGAAATTAATAATGGCGCAAGCAGAATTGTGATAGCTATTCCGGTTGTCGAGATACAGGGTGGAATTGAAAAATATCAGAAGGCGTCCAAGAAAGCACAACTATTTTGTGTCGCACTGTATATCATTTGTGACTGAACTAACCTATTATTCATTGAATTTCATATTATATCATATTCAAGACTGAGACTGAACTAGAAATGACATTTACATCAAAAATTGCTAAAAAATGACCACCGCCTACTTCGAATAATTTTTTTTATGCTCTGTACCTCTGTTTCTCAAAAACCCAGCCGTTGCAGACCCAGACCCATGTTCATATAAAGTATTTATCTTGAAATCAGTGGAAGATCAACCCTTTGAAGTTTCTACAAGTACTTAATATATCCTGTATATTTTTTGTAATAAGTAATTCTGAAAATTACATCTCATTTTTATTTAATTATTATTGTTTTTGATCAACAGAATTCTATTTCTGACTGGAAGCTATTTTCTCATTAAACAAGAAACTTTGATAAGTTTCTAATGGAACGGAAAAATATTCGTAATTCTTTGAAATGACTCATGATTATTAATGCAAAATGGTACCTTGAATATCGGAAAAGAAGAATTTCTATACCTATATTCAACTGTTTTCTATGTTTTGAGAAGCGAAATCTCCCCTGGGCTCTTGTAAATTCAACTCGGTCTGTAACAGAAGTCATGTAAAAAGTTGCAATTCGCAAATGGGAGTCAGCAGTCAGTTTTCTCGAATACGAATAATAATTGTAAGGCACATTCATCCCAAATTTTCTCGATTTGAGATAATCGACATTCTCATGAAATCACAGGAAGAAGAGAGTATTTTCGACTTTATAGTAGTTGGCGCTGGAGCAGCAGGTTGTGCTGTCGCTAACAGAATTTCGGAAAAGGAAACATGGACGGTCCTTCTCATCGAAGCAGGAGACTATCCTTCTCCAACTTCAAATGTAAGTATAGTTCAAATAATGTTGAGCGTCCTCATGGTAAAGTTTCTCACCAAACTATTTTCCACAATTGAATGAGATGACGGTTTTTATGATTTCTAACTCTGATCAACCTGAGCTGGGTTCAATTCAACTATATACCGCATAGGTTGAGATATGATGACTGTTCCATCATGATCTTATTTTGTCTACATTATATTATTATGATCTCCCAAACATTTTCACAGCAATGCTAGTGTTGTTTTCAAGAGCGCTCAATATAATCAATCCATATCCAATACGACTTTGTTATTCCCAATAATAGTTTCAGGCCAGTAAATGCTTTCTTAGATACTATCCTGGACAGTTTGTAGGCATTTCCATTGCCTTCTACCTATTGGTAAAAAAATCGCCATTAATCGATTCTTTGAGAAGCAGGGATATCATAGTCAACTCACTTGAAAACTAAAAGAACCAAACCACTGAAACAACTTCCAATACCAGAAATCAGATGGTGGGAATGTACCACCAGGCATAGATCTTTCACTAGGTCAAGCACGATTATCGATCCCAATTGCTGTTGTTCTGCTTCAACATATTGACTAATTCTTCCAGGTTCCAGCACTATACACGACCCTGATCGGTTCGAAAGAAGACTGGAAATTCATCATGGAGAAAGAACCCAAGGCATGCAAAGGCTTTGCAAACGAAAGATGCACCATAAGCAGAGGCAGAGTGCTGGGTGGCACAAGCACCATCAATAATTTATTGTACAGTCGAGGTCAACCAGAAGATTTCGATCAGACCGAGTTCCTATCTTGGGATTCCGAGACAACTACGAAAATATTCCATACCATGGAGGGTCATTCTCCAAACAGCACTACTTTCATCCACTTGGATTTCACAAACTATACTGAGACTCCGAAACAGTTGCTAGAAGAAGCCTACCTCGCTGCGGGATACAGAAGAATGCCGAAACGCCACGCTATCGGATTTATGGATCACCTGACGTTGAAGAAAAGTGGAGAAAGGATTAACATGGCCAAAATATTCCTCACACCAGTAAAGAATCGCCCGAACTTATTCTTCTCTAGAAACACTGAAGTAGAAGCGATCGGAGTAACAGAACCAGTCGACAAGCGTGCTAACGGAGTCAACGTAACTATCGATGGAATAAGATTTTTCCTTAGAGCCAGAAAGGAAGTTATTCTCACCGCTGGGGCCATAAACAATGCTAAGCTCCTTCTGCTTAGTGGTATCGGCCCAAAGGATTACTTGACAGCGAAAAATCTGCCTTTCTATGCTGACGTTCCAGCTGTCGGTCAGAACCTCCAGATGCATCTCACCGTACCAATATACGTGGCTTCCGAACCTTCCAATGCAAACCAGAAGGAATACTACTTCGATGAGGAGCTCATAAGAGATACATTCGATTATGTCATGTACAGATCGGGAAATTTCAGCAACACCAATATAAACGAGCTAGTAGCTTACATTTTGACGAAGAAAATAGGAACGACGTTTCCCAACCTGGCAGTGCATCACATGTATTTCCGAATCGGCGATAGAAATCTACTGAGTTGGATAGACGCCATGAACTACCACCCAAAAATCATAAATGCTTTGATAAATTCCAACAGAGGAAAAGCTCTGATATTATTTATGGTAACGCTGCTCAAACCTGTATCGAGAGGGGAGGTTCTCCTGAACGAGACTCACTTCACCAGCAACCCATCTATAAAAGGAAATTTCTTCGCTGATGTCGAGGACTGGGACTATCAGACGATGCTCAGCGGATTCAGCTTCATCGCTAATCTGACCGAGAAGCTGAAGCTGAAGACGCACCATTCTGAGCTAGTTGACTTGGATATTCCCAACTGCAGAAACTTCAAGTTTTGCACGCCTGCGTACGTGAAATGTTACATTCATAATATGGCTTTTCCGGACAGCGAGGCTACTGGTACCGCTAAAATGGGCGCGGACTGTGATGAAACGGCAGTTGTGAAAGAAGATTTGGAGGTTAGGAAAGTGAGGTGTCTGAGGGTGGCCGATTCCAGCGTTCTGAATTTCTTGCCCACTGGAAATACCGTCGCTACTGATGCTATGATTGGTTATAATCTAGGAGAGATCCTTCGGGAGAAATGGGTCAAAGATTACGTGTCTGTCTTCCGTGGAGTCAAGCAAGAAGATGGTGTGCATTAGTTTTTTGCTTTTTGAAAGCTTCATTGGATTTATAAAACTCATGCTTCAATAATATATTGTGTTTAATGAAATATTTCTCATTCAGAAGTGCTTGCAACATAATAATATTGAACCTTCAATTCCAATTTTGAAAACGTAGAAGGCGTTTTACGGTGGATGAATATAAAAAGTATCTGAAGAACAGAAAGACAAATCATTCTAAAAATTCATAGGCGTGAATAATCAAACATTCTTTTTCCGTTCGAAATATATTCATTAATACAGTGTTGCCGCCATTATCAGAAAAAGATAGCTAATTGATATTTCAAATGAAACAGCGCATAATATATTATGTCATTTTTGGAATTCCTAAAGGAGTCCTAGCCTGATTACTTTTTTTGATGATTTCCTATAAAACCTGACAGCTATGACAATGAAAAATCTACAAATGGGTTGATGATGATGATGAATGTCAGTTTCTACACATTGTTATAGTGCCTAGTTCAAATTTATTTCAATTACATATTTTCATTAGGTGAATAGTTACTTATAAGTTGTGCAAAGTTTCCTTGATTATGGAAATAAAACATGGAAATTTCATCCGACGATGAAATGTTATATTCTACTACCCCAGAAATCCAGGAATCAACAATCGAAACGACAAGATGCATGGAAAAAAAACACAATGCGGAAAGCTTCTCCGAGGTAGTTTTATTGCCCTACATTGGAGAATTGAGAAATACGGATAAGCCAAATACTCTCTGGGTAATTTATTCTATGATAAGAACGAAGAGAGAGCAACTCAAAGTCCTTACAACAAACGTTCATAAAAATAAAAAAAACATTTCAGGATCTTTTTTCATTTTGAAATACCCTATATTTTATTCTATAATCCTTGAGAGATTACCTACTATAACGAATTCAACGATACTGGGTTCGATTAGGATATTTTAAACTATTACTTCGATAAATACGAAGATATTCGCGTTCAAAATTGACAAGGAAAGAAGTTTCGATATTGCTTCTTCACACCCATTGAGCAAATGGGAACTTCAAACGTGAATATCTTCGTAATCGTTTGGAATAACTCTAACGAACCTAGTATCGTTGAATTTGTTATAATTATCTCTAAACAGTTATGGAGAAATGAAGGGTTGATGTTGTTTCCAGGAAAACCGGTAGAGAAGAAGAAATTCAGAAAATGTGAGAAAGTGCCCACTAGTGAGCAATTTCAGAAATATATCTAGAAAAACAAAGGAGAAAAGAGGGGTATACCATGATATACATTTTGCTGCCTGTCAGCAAAGCTGAAATGTCGAATTTTTTCCCGTCACAGAGGAAAGCATTTGTTCTCTTCTCATTTCGAAAACCATCTGCATTTTCAACAAGGAATGACTCCCAGAATTGTACTATGCTATGCTACATACAGTGTATAAATGTAGATAGGTGACCATATTGAATTGACTCAACCATTATGTAAATACTGATTGCATACAACTTCCAAGAGTCAGTTATCAATATAAAAAAATCCATCAGTATAGAATGAAAGTAATTCGATTATCATTGGCCAATAACTGTCCTGAATTGACTGCAATGTAATTCATTTCCAGTTGCAGCACCCTTCATTTTAATAATATGTGTACGCTAATTGATGATAGTCAAACCACTATAATAATCATTAGGGTTTCACAAAGTTCAAAAGCGATTGATGATACCTACTTTAAGAAAGTTGTCAACATACAGGACGTTCCAATTGGATTGTCTTCTATTTTGTTCAAAGCAGCAATGGAGCTGGGTACACTTTAGCTGACGATCCATGAACGAACGTCCAAAGTGGAAATATTTGTTATCTAGTCAACGTTGAATGAACTAAATATTTTCCACAGTACAGTGTGCGCCTCTTAAAATGGAACCCCCCTTAACTCCTTTGTTTTCAGAGATGTGAAAAAATGTTGAATCAAACATTTGTTTGAAACGACCCAAACTTTTCCCGAAAGGACATCAACTTTGGAACACCCTATATATTTTCTGACATGTCGATAGAGCATTTTTTTCTGATTTCAAAAATATATATCAGTTGCATAATTATGTGGATGAAAAGTAATTGAGTTATTGATTATCAAAGTTTACCAAAATACCGAATCTTCCATTAAAACTGTCTATTCATATTTCGTTGTACTGAGATTGATCGATTTCAATTTCATAATAAACAATACTATGACATTTCCATGGAGCTCGAACAATATACAAACGTTATTTCAAATCCCACTATATTCAACTTACATTAGATGATATTAAGTGAAGGTTTATAATGCGGTATTTTGGTAAATAAATTTTGAACATAATTAACTCAACTATTATTCATCCAAATATGCAGCTCATATATATTTTTGAAATCAGAAAAAAAAGGTCCTATCGACATGTCGTAAATTATATAGGGTGTTCCATTGAAACACGACACGGCATGTCCACATTGAATGAGATAACTCACTTTTTTCGATCGATTCTGTTCGGATCTTGTTATAACATTGCTGAGATAGCAATATTGTTATATGAACATCACATAGTGCTATGCAATTCTGTATTCTGTTTGGATAGTAACTGCAAGATTGGAAATAGGTTCAAGTGATAGGCGACTGAATTTTAGATCGCAGCGCCAAAGTGGCCGGTTGTGAACTATATGAAAGTACATTGTTTTGAAATGGTTCATTTGCTTGTGTGTATTATTTAGATTTTTTGGTAGTGATTTGAGCAAAGAAAACTTCACTTTTGATAGTTTATTTGTGTGTTCTTGGGATTCGAGGGAGCTTTTCAGCAGATACTAGTTCAATAAAGTATGTTTCACTACGTCAAATATACAAATGCCTCAACTTGCAAAAATAAAATTTGCATACTAACGGGAGCTCTAACGAGCACACAGCCGCTTTTTTTATTTGTTGAAGTAGATCTCGAAAGGGAATCATGATAATAAGGATAATAATAATACGTCTTTATTCACCAAAGTACGTACAAACAAGAATCCAAGTGGAGAACAATTACGTGTGTCACGCTAAGCTGTTTTTAAACTCAACTTTTGTATACAAGAGGATAACACAAAATAGTAAGAAGAAAGGAAGAGGTACTCAGTGATAGTAGTTAGTCAAAGAATCTCTATAACGTTCGAAGAACATCGAGAGAGAGAGTAGGTATGCAGGGTGATAAAATTACAACACTCAACTTTGTTTTTTCTCATGGGCGCCATAATGGATCTTTTCATTTTTAGAACGTTTTTTTTTTTCTGATTACAATGATGTATCACACGATACGAATCTTTCCTGTTGATAAAAATTGGGAAAAAATAAAACATTTTTGCGAAGAGTGCTTTGAAAGGAACGCCAACAGTGTTGTCTAACAAACTGAATTTTGACAGTTCAATTGGGTATGCGAACAGAACTATTGAATTCTTGAGCTTATCCACATAACGCAAGGAGGGTTGCCGAGTGTCTGTCAGCTGTCTTCCCTGACAAGGTAATTTCCACCAACGGAGACATACGTTGGCCAGCGCCGTCACCTTATCTCTCTCCGCTGGATTATTATTGTTTAGGAAGTATGGAAGATTCGATTTTCAAAACTGTACCGATGGATATTGATGAGCTGAGAAGAACCATAATCACTACTTCAGGACTAAGATAACGAGACTGGACATCTTGCGAGCAATTCAGAATCTGAGGAAACGCGTAGAATTGTGTTCAGAAGTGGAAGGTGGAGTATTCGAGCATCTTTTATAACTTTGTTTTGTTTTGCGAAGAATGAACTTGTAGCTCATCACGTCGTTCCTAGTTCAAAACCATAGTTTCCGAGTTGACGAGCTTGACGAAAATGTGAACGTTCTAGGTCCAATTTCGAATTAACTGTCGGAATTTAGCTTGTTAAACAAAACTGTTGGCGTTCTGTCCAAAGCACTCTTCGCAAAAATGTTATTTTTCCAATTTTGATCAACAGGAAAGATTCGTTAAAATCGTGTGATACATCATTGTAATAAAAATAAAGAAAATACTTCTGCAGAATACAAGAATCCAATATGGCGCCCATAAGAAAAAACAAAGTTGTGTGTTGTTACTTTGGCATCAAGAACGTCATGGAAAATAAAATGACAGATTCAGATTCCTTGTAAAGAAGTGCCTCAAGAATGTCTCTGTCGGAAACGTCTAGAGTTTTCCGTTTCCGCTTGAAAAAATAAAAACGAAACTTATAAGTTTTCGTTTTCTTCCAATAATTCAAAAACTAAAGATGACATCAAATTTTCTTGCAGATAAAAGTTCAGCATGAAAATGCCCTAATTTAACCGACCTCATATCTCTTATAATAACTGAGATCCTCATGGTGGAGCTCGAAAAATGGACACCTTGTATATTGAGAGGACATCTTGAGAAGCTCAGCTTGGGAGAAGGAAACGGATTGAGTTTTTCTGAGGAAGAGGAGGAAACCTCTAACCACATACTTATGGAATGTGGCACCCTACAAAACCCAATAAAGGTATAAGAAACCTAGGAGCACACATAATGGAGGAGGAGCTACCCCACCTGGAACCACCTCATATCCTGAAATTTCTAAGGGATATACGACTAGAGACATTGCTATAGCTACGGAGGACAACCTAACCGGGAATAGCAAAAAAGGGGCACAATAGATCCGTTAGATTAGGTCAGGATTGATATGTTAGACTGTATGTCAGGGATCGAAAGACAGGACATAGACTAGATAATTCTGAGGTATCAAGAGTAAGTCGCAGACTTGTATCTGAATCGCTAAATGTCCAATTTTATTGCTACAAAAGGAAGAAACTCAAAGTCATTACCACAATAGTTGATAAAATGACCAAACATGGTAGATAACGAGAGAAAAACAACTACTTTCCTGGCTATATGCCACGCAGAACATCACATCTTCCCGAAATCTATGCAACAATTCGTATAGACGAATAAAATCGCAAGTGTTTCCTTCCTAAACGCCGAGCTGCGACTTGCAAATTTCTTTTTTTTTCCAGGAAGGAAACACTTGCGATTTTATTCGTGAATACGAATTATTGCATAGATTTCCGGAGGATGTATTCCAATGTTCTGCGTGGCAT